CAAGATTCCGGGAACGAATTCGGCTCGGGGCCCGAACGGAATCCAGCACGGACTTAATCTAGATCTGACCTGGACCAGTCTGGATTAATGATAAAATACGATTTAAGCTCAATTCAATTCGATACTCTTTAAAGATTTTTAATTATAAAACGCAGGTTTTTAATTATAAATATATATTTTTGTTGATATATAAATGATTTTATATTATGCACACACAAGACGAGAGAGAGTTCCTTTTAAAATATATTTGTTAAAAAAAAAGAAAATATATAATTATAAAAGAAAACACATATTATATAATTATTAAAGTAATTTAATCGTAAATATTTCATTCTGAATATTAAGAGAAAGGGAGAGAGAGAAGATGCAGTATTTATATTTAAAATGCTTCTTTAGAATCCACCGATCAATGTCCGGCGAACCTTTTCGTGCTGCAGAGCGTGATGCCGCTTTTTTCTTCGCATTTCTGCGACACGTGTATCAGAATAGACGTCATCGCGTCCCGAGTTAGATGCATCCTCCTGGCGCTTCCTCTTTGGAATTCCCGTCGACACAACGATGGAGATATAACAATCGCAGGTGTCATCTGGGGATTTAAATCCATTCGACGATTCTCTATATGACGATTCTGGCGCGCGCGATATTGCGTTCGTTGTTCGATCTCTGTGGTATTCGGTATGCGATCCACTTCCTGAGAGATAACGCCTCTTTTAATCTCGAAATTTTCTCGGTATTCTATATTATTTTACCAACGATTGTGTGTGTGTATATGTATGTGTCAATATCATCGTCATCAGCCGTAGAAAATCGATACGAATCTGCAGCTTCGAACTCGGAATACATTTCAGAACTCGAAGAGAATTCTGTAATCTTTATCATTTGCGGTGACTTTTTAATATCAAATATCGATAAAAGAAAAGTCTCGTACCTTTCGAATGAGATATTATTTTAGTTTCAACGATTTTGAATAAAATTTCTTCAATTAGAATTATAAAAAAATGTAATATTAAAGTTTTTCCTTTGATCTTTTGTATGCCACAATGTCCTTTGCATATAACAGGGACAAAGGGAGACGGGAAGAAATGAATTAATCGAGATTAGCAGGATAATCGACGTCTAGGTGCAATCGGGCAGTAATCTATTGCGAGAATTCCGTTCTTGTTAAATCTTTGTTTCGCCGACGCATTGAATCGTTTTTCTTTTCTCATCCTCCGCAAAATTGTTCGCCGATCGATCCGGCATCTCCTATAGCGGCATCGGCGTCATTAATGTTATTATGTAATAAGGACCCCGCCTGGACTGTCGTGTCCAGGAGAATTGTCATTTATATCCCACGAGTGACAGATGCGCGCGGGAAAATGCGATTATCCGAGTCACGAAGATGCTGGCGGTTCTTGTTACGTATCAATTTTACACGCGTAACGTCAGCGGAAAAATATTTCGCGTCGCGCGTATCGCCTGTTTTTACTCGCAATTATTAATTACAGTTTGTTGTGGTTTGAAAAGTTCGTGGTATAATGTTGAGCTATTAAAGGCTCTCCCGGGAACCTCAAGCAATATCTTATCGCGGCGATATATAACGAGGGCTCGTTAAATCGCACGCAGACCACCACGCCACATTGTATATTAATTTCCATCTACATAATAACAGGAGAGCATATAATAGTAGAGAATGTATCGTCTCTCTCTTTCTTTTCTCTCAGTAACCCCGATATTACACGGTAATTCAATATTGGATTAAATGTAACGACCCTACTTCTCTAAACTTGGAGCAATAGCTCATATTTATTGACAGTTCGAAACATCGTCTACAATCCCTAAAGACCCCGCACGACAAATCCAATTCCGATAATCGAAGACTCGAAGGACAGAGAAAAATCTGTTACCGACCCTCTCGACCTCTTAAGAAAAATCATTCGACGTCCTCAAAGGATGCTGCGGATATCCTGTTTCAAATACAGATACATATAGACATAGTTTCTTTTCATGCGACCATTAAGTGCTTCCACTCGACGTGTAATACGAAACGTCTGCATTTCTCCTCGAATTTAATGGCGGGAACGCCCACGACACGATTGTACAAAAAAGGACATGGTCAGTCAGGAAAAAGTAGCATTAATGGAAACGAGGACGATCGGTATCTTCCTTATAAAATTACTTTCATTGCTCAGCTTTCAAAAAAAAAATATATACGACATATCGAACAATTTAATGAAGAAGAACAATTTTTATCATTTTTGCATATTATCTTTGATATACGATGAGAAAAAAGAAGTATAAGTTAAATTTTTTTAGGAAAGACTAAATAGGTTTAACTATTGAAATGATTTACATCGGAAAGAGAAAAAAAATATAATAAAAAAAATCTCAGCATATTGTTAGATTAATAAACTTTAAAATCTTATTAGTTATTTAGAAATGTTGCGTTGTTAAATTATTTCAGATATGAGCTTGACCTAAGTCCTTTTCATTCAAGATCAAGCAAATATGCGCCCACCCAACGTAATGCATTTCGTCATCAATAAGTAAGCAAGTTATACGAATAAATCGATATCGCGGCGAACTAGAACGGCCGATATCATTTTGCGCTTGGCTTGGCGATAGGGAGAAGGGTAAATGTCCTCTATCTGAACCTACGACATTTCCTGCCGCCGTTCCCAGGCCGCGGAAACGCAATTGCCTGTTCTACTGCTGAGATATCGATGTGCATGTAAGATTGATGCGACCGCAACCTCGACAATCGAAAAATGTCAAGGATATCCGTTGCATAATTTTTTAGATATCTACAATATAATAAATCAAAAAGAGAAAAGATGTGTGTGTGTGTCTTTATATATTTATTATTATTAATTATTATTTAAATTAAAATATTTATGAAAAAATAAAATCGCAAGAAATATCTCTAAAAAAAGAAATTCTTAGAGCAAAATAACATTGATAATGTTTTGATGATTTATTCTTGAAAGTCTTATGGAATTAAAAAGATTTGTCCGAGAAATTACAATAAATTTATGAAAATGATCATCTTACGTAATATCCTTAAAGGATTAATTCGTCGTCGGTCCACTCCGTCGAACTAACTACAATGCTCACAAATGCTCCTTCTATTTTATTGTACAAAGGGACTCTATAATTCTCGAGTACAAGCAGGATTTCGACTTTCTTGTGAGGTATCAAAAGAAAAAGCTTGAAAGAAAGTTTCTCTCGCAAAACTTTTTCTTTTCAAAGTATCATATATAAATTTTTCTACACACATCATTCTTACATCAAACTTCTATTTGAGTTACTCTTTTCTGATATATTTGCGTGTTATTTTGTCCAACTATTTAACTATAAAGCTACTTAGATTTTTATATGTTTTTTTGACTACGCAACGATGTCTGGTTTAATTTTTCTACGCGAATTTTTCTCGCTGATATTTATGCGAGTTGTAGTCGAGTTATTCGTGCAATGTGTGCTTACTTCGCGAGAACGATATATTCATCGACTAAAAAAGGCGAATACAAAAGCTAATAATTATGGAATAAATTCGACAAAACAAACTCTCTCGATAAAACGTGTCGGTGCAAATGTAATACGTTTTTTCGCCATTCATATATTTGCAATTAATTGTTTACTTGATAAAATACCACTGTTAAACGCGGCAACAGATAATCGAGCGTTTTTTACACTCAATTACAGTTTACTCAAGCTAATTATGTCCCATATAAATAACAAATATTGATATTCCGCTCGATGCAATCTCATATCCGTAAACTCGCATAATCAATATTCGTCAAATTTTATTTACACAAGTTGCGCGCAATTTTTGTTACCGATATCCTCTCCTTTTTTCTCTATCAAATTGTTATTTGCCTAATCTATATTCTCCCCTCTAGTAAAAGTATAATTTCGAGTTTAATAAGTAAACTTGGAAAACAATTTTCTCTCTCTCTTTTTTTCTCGCTATGATTCACGTCTTCGATAAAAGTTCTGATAAAATCAAACTTGTTCTACGAAATAGAAGCAATCTTTATATTCCGAGGAAGATACAAAATTAAAAAATGATCGGAATTTTTTCTTATTAAGATATATATATACCTATTTAATATTATAATACTAATACTATGTAATATCAAAACTGCCTGTTATTAAAATTAATAACCTGCAATTGCGGCAGATATCCAAACCAGATTTCGTCGGTCGATCTCGCGGTCGATTAAAATCGAGTTTAATAGTTGTGACAATTTTAATTATTCGCCAGCTTAAATTTCAAATCAAATCTAAATTTCCAAATTAACACGCATTAATTTTAGTAATTCCAGATTATTTCTCCGACGGATTTAATGCACCCGGGAATCGCTAGCAAGTAAGCGTGACCGGACGATCTGCGTCTGCCAATTACTATGTTTTTCTACTGCGCACAGTGTAAACTCGGTCGAATTGTAAGAGGACAAAAATATTCTTCCTGCGACTATACGTGATACGTTCATTCTGCATTTCCTTTCATCTTGAAATTTTTTAATTTGCATTAATTTGTAATTCCAATTCAAATGAGACACATATATATACAGTACATAGAAAATAGAAGATTTATTCTTTACATTTTTTTGTAAAAAATTCAAATTACATAATCCTTATATAATGAGCTCTATCTAAAAAACATTCATCATGTGTTTAGCTCACATTATTAAAATTAAAAATATTTACAAAAAAAATCGATCGATTTGACATCCGAGAAAGGCTCGCATAATCAAAATTTACACACGAAATCCAACCTTTGATTTATTTATTTCACGCGACCGGGTCAGAATATTTTTCTCCTCTCAAGTCCCGAGAAATCGGCAACTCTTCAGCTGCACTCTTCCTCTATTCAAGTATAATAAATAAAAGAAACAATCAAGTATATCGGGAAGAAGGGAAAGAAGGAAGAGCAAAGAAGGAACGAGACCGCGCGGAGAAGAGTGCAGCCGAAGAAATGAGAATAGTGTGCGTGCACCAGATTCATAGAATGTACTCACGTGGTTCTCCGGTACGGCGGGCGGGAGTTGCGACTCGGTCGCGACGAGGCCGGCCGGCCAGCCGGATCGCCCCGCGGAACTGCTGCGGGGACCACGGATGTGAGGCGCGTTGCCCTGGCGCTGTCGCTCTCGCTCTCTCTTCTCAGATCAGCGATGCATCGCCGGCGACGTTCGGCGTCGCGCGTCGCAACCTCGCGCCCTGCAGCATCGTGTTCGGTCTCCGTGCGAGTTTATCGGCGGTCGCCGCCGAATCCTGCTCCTCGTCGAGGCTCCCTCGTCCTCGTCCTCGTCCTCGTCGCTGCCGTTGTCGCGCAACGACGCGCGAATTCACGGATGACTCTAGCCGACCGCAAAGTGACGGTCCTCGCTGCTTCTCGCTGCGGGAAAGAATCGCTCTTGCCTCGGCAGCGACCGCGGCATAACGCATACAGGATTCGCGCCACTGGCCGCCGCTGCTGCTGCTGTGCCGCCTTCCTGCTCCGTGACGATACGCGCTGGTCGACGTTCCCTCTCCGACTGAGCGGATCCAGCCGAGTGAAGTTGACAGCTACGCGCCGCGGTGGAGCGCTGTCGTCGTCGTTCGGTGGGCGCGTTTCCATGGCGCTGCGCGGGTCTCGTGACCGACTCGCAACAACGTCGGTCAAAACGACTCGCGACCTTATCGACGCTCGATAATGATATGCGTACGCAATTAATGGCTTATTGTTTTTATCGAAATTATTTTTATTCGAACGTAACGCGCATGGAGAGCCGATCCATTGATCCCACGAAGAATTCGATGCATGTGTCTTATCGTTTGCGAATTACAAGAGATTTCCTTTGCCCAGCGTTATTTTCTTGCAAAAGATACATTATCGGTCCGTGAATGGCGCTTCGAGCGACGCCGGAGGATTGATATATGACATGTGGCCTCTCCGGAGTCTTTGAAAAATTCAATAGTACAAGTGATGCTGAACCAGTGATAGTATCAGTAACAACAAACGGCGATGGAAACTGTCGAAATTTCTCTTTTCCGTATTCTACGAAAATAAATAAGAGACCCGGAATACGTGGTAGTCGTGATCTTTGGACAAGCGACGATATCACGCGGATTTAATCATTTTCGCGTGACACGCTCGTTTCTTGCCAATTTCATCGATCAAGGTTGCTGTCTGTACACGTATCTCGACGCGGAGAAAACAAAGCCTTTTTTTTTACATGGCTCTTACAAAAAGATTAATCGTACTTTTTGCATATTCCCCTAGAGAAATTGACAAAGTGTTGAGCGTTGTATCTCTAAAACCTCCACTATCTCTCTTGTAAATGTTACAAATGACAAATTGCTAATGTTTTGACAGTCAAAATCTTTTGACTGTAGCGAGGAAGACTTTGTACTTACGAGTATAAGAACAATACCAAAAGAATATGAGCTCGCATCATCACTTGAATTCATCATCCGGTGAAATAGATCATGTTCACTTTGTCTCCGAGGATATCGGAGCTTTGTACCTCTCCGAGGAATATTCGGATGTAACGATAGTGGTGGCGGGTCACAAATTCTATAGCCACAAACTCATTCTTGCTGCACGTAGCGAGTATTTTCGGGCACTGCTGTTTGGCGGCATGAAAGAATCTGCGCAAAATGAAATAGAATTGAATGCCTCCTCGTTGCCTGCATTTAAAAACTTGCTCAAATATATATACACTGGACGTATGTCTCTGGCTAACGAACGCGATGAGGTATTGCTCTTTGAAATTATTTATTTAAAGGCTGTATTAATTTAGAATCGTATATTCTCATCAACTGATTTACTTTGTTGTAGACGATACTCGATATTCTTGCATTAGCACATTTATATGGATTTGTGGACCTTGAAGCTGCTATATCTGATTATCTTAGAGAAATATTAAACATAAAGAATATATGTTCAATTCTAGATACCGCACTTTTATATCAATTAGAATTTCTAACTAATGTGAGTATTAGTCCGCAATTACATAAAATATATATACAATTAATATATCTGTAATATTATATTCATATGACAATTATGATTCGCTGTCAGGTTTGCTTTGAGTATATGGATAAACAAGCGTCTGACATTATTAAACATGAGAGTTTTCTACAATTAAGTCCAACAGCTTTAAGCGAATTAATCTCCAGGGATTCGTTTTATGTACCAGAAATAGACATTTTTTTAGCCATGCATTTATGGATCAAAGCCAATCCCGAAGTTGATAATAGGAAAGTTATAGGTAATTTTTATATAGAAATAGTAATATTTCTTGTTGAATGATACATTTTTTTCATTGTTATATGAAATGTATTTTTGCATATAATTAATTTTTATATTTGCAGCTCAGTTAAGATTGAGTTTAATTAATCGCAAAGACCTTTCGAAAGTTGTAAGAAACACATTCGTATCAGACGCAAAAATTTTAGACGCAATTGAAGAACAAGACGATCTAGGTACTTTAGGACTACCTTATCGCGGTCGTTTGCTGATCGACGAAAATGTTGCCCATCCAATGCATGATGCCCAAGTGTTACAAGGAGAAATGCGTAGCTATCTACTTAATGGAGATACCAACAACTATGATATGGAACGTGGTTATACAAGGCATACCATAACTGACACACACGAACATGGAATTCTAATAAAATTGGGGACACAATATATCATAAATCATATAAAAATGTTACTATGGGATCGAGATATGCGCTCCTATTCTTATTTCATAGAGGTATATACTTTACATGGCAGAGTAATGCAAGATAAATATACATTATTATTAATATTTATACACACACACACACATCCATACATACATACATAGTTTTAATATATAGTTTTAATATTATAGAGATTCTTTATCCTGTTACTTTATCATTATTTGTTAAAGGGATCCATGGATCAAGTGAAGTGGATCAGACTTGTCGATTATACAGAGTATTCTTGTCGCAGTTGGCAATATTTATATTTTCAACCAAGAGTGATTCTTTATATTCGTATTGTAGGAACAAATAACACAGTTAATAAGGTAAATATCCTGAAAATTTAATAGCTTATAAATGTCATTTTCTCTCGTTTTAGAATTTATTATAATTGCGTGATAGAGTTTAATGAAACTTGCATTGTTTGATTTTGGGTATTTTAATAAAAATCTTAATAATTTTTATTCTTTATATCACTATATCACTATAATATTTATTTATTAATTGTTCTTTCGACAGGTTTTTCATGTTGTCAATTTTGAAGCATATTATACAAATCATACAGAGCAACTTTCCAAAGGTGTTATTGTACCAACACAAAATGTTGCTCTTGCGGAGAAAAGTGCATGTGTCATTGAAGGTGTGAGCAGGTGTGTAAAATTTTTTTTGCTATATTTTAAAGAAATATGTAATATATGTATTTATTTTTAAACCTTATTTCTTTTAACTAGGTCACGTAATAATTTACTCAATGGAGATGTAACTAATTATGATTGGGATAGTGGTTATACATGTCATCAACTTGGCTCTGGATCTATTTTAGTGCAATTAGGCCAACCGTATATGATCGATTCTATGCGGTATGATTCTTGGGTACTTTTTAAAACAAGCTTATTATATATTGTATTATATATTAAATTATAACGTTTCTGTAATAATTTTCGCACAGATTACTACTTTGGGACTGCGATAATCGCTCCTATTCGTACACGATAGAAGTATCGGGCAATTCCTGGAATTGGGTAATGGTTGCTGATAAAAGAAAGGAGTCATGTCGATCTTGGCAAATAATACACTTTCATCCACCCCGTCCAATAGTTTTTATACGTATAGTGGGAACTCACAATACTGCAAATGAGGTTTCTATATATTAATCAAATTTGATATAATTTTTCTATATTTAAGATATATATTTAACAAATAATTATTTTAAACGTTTTCAGGTGTTTCATTGCGTTCACTTTGAATGTCCAGCGCAATCTGATGATAAATCTCCGAAATCGCCAATACAACGAGGGCATTTGTCAACATCATCGGATAACAGCAACACTCCCTTACCTCCTCCTCCTCCGCCTCCCGAAGTAGCTACGGAAGCAGTTCATATCGACAGTGATGAATAAAGTAAAGAGTAAGTAATATAATAGCAAAAAACACAAGTAACTCTATCGATGATTCTGATGATAGTTGCCACTCTTATTCTTCGAGCTAGAATTTGAATGATTCATCAAATGACCTCGATATAACTTTTTAAGACTGTTCAATAATATAAATTGAATATTGAATTGTAATTAATCGTCTTGTTCCTCGTTTACAAATTCTACTTTTGTTTCTTCATCACTTTCGACTTTAAATAATACGTACACGACGGCTGCCAATTTCATAATCACAGAGATATACAAATTAGTCATATTTTATATATAAAAATACTCAATATTTTTGTAACGCTATAGTAGATTTTTTACTTTGATTCGTATGTAAAGTTTTATTTTTTTTATGAGAAAATGGCTGTAATATTTAAAAGTGTATTGTTATTGAACGTGTGATGTTTTTTTCTGTTTTGAAAATATCAAATTTTTAATATTACGTGTGATTTTATGTTTTAATATTACAAATTGAATATTGTTTTAATTATTAATTATTATAAAACTTATAAATTATGTTACATATAATTGTTTCTTATTTTATATATAATCATTTTTCTTTATTAAATTATTTCTAATTATAAATGTAAAAATATAATTGAATATATTAGAATATTGCACTCTTATACATATATAAATGTGTATCTGCCAATTTTTATATAAGGTGCTAGAAAATTTATTTTTCCACACAAATTTATATTTATTATATATAATAATTTAATTTATTTTTTTAGTATAATATATTAGATACGTTCAACTGAAACATGGATTAAAATTATTGTTTCATAAAAAATTTAATCAATGTTTCAGTTGAATACACTAAATATAAATTATATATATATATATATATATATATATATATATATATATATAAATTTATATTAGATTAGTTATTATGCTAAAATTACAAAAGACTGTTATATATCAATTGAATGTAATCAATTAAAATATTTAAATAAATTGTAAATTTAATATATCCTAAATTGTGATTGAGAAGGTAGAATTCTGCTCTCAAAAGATGAATGAATAATAGATGTGATTGAAAATTGGCAACCGCCACAAATTATTTTGCATAGAAACTATTACATACTTGAATTTTATGTTACCGAATATTTTTTATGAGCATGCGATTACACTTATAATATTGACACTCTGTTAATATATAATGGTGTCTGGTTTCTCAGTATTTCTCATTATATAAGAATCTTTTTAGTAGAAATTTTATTGTGAATTTAATCTTATGTACATATAATGTAAAACATTATTTTTCTAGTCTACATATGTTTAATATAATATGTCTCGAAAGAAATCGAATGTATAATAAATTATATGAAAGGTTTGATTGCTACGAGAGTAATAAAATATTCTGATATTTAAAAAAATCTGATACATTAAATGTTATTCCAATCATCATTCTATTAAAATATATCTATTTGAGATAGTTATATTTTTAGTTATATTTTTTTATCTTACATTGACATGAGAAACAGAATATGTATCTTTTAATACTCTCGAGAGAAATTAGAGTTAGAAATTAATCCCGAATATGAATTCGCAGCTTATTTCAATTTGATGTGTTCTTTGTTGAAATGTATCTTTTTCTAATTTCCTAAAATATATAACGTTGATGATGTTTTCCAACTCTCTTTACATTCAAAATTTTCAAGAAACCATTTTTGCCTTACTTTTCTCTTCAAAGATTATATATATATATATATGAAACAAACGGTTTTTTGTTTCTTATCACTTATTCTTCTAAGTAATTAATTATTTAATAGAAATGTTATATTTTGCGATTAGGATAGGACGACGAATATAACGTAACGTCATTATTTGTATCATCACTATTATTATATATGCTCAAGTGTATAGTAAACATATAACAATACGAACTGGTAATACGAATCATACTTAAGCTATATTCTTATTTACAATAGATTAAAACTATTTTAAAAACCAAAACATAGAGATGATATATTAGATCAGTAAAATCTAAACAAAGTTAAGATAAAGTTTAATAAGAGTAGATTCTGCATAAATAGTATCAATATCAAGTGACGAGTAATGTACAAAGTTTACGTCAATACAGAGCATCACATTTGCTATAGATAACTGTTCAGCGCGAAAATTCGTACACACGTAATTACGAGGTGTAATTACACATTACATGTACAAAAGTACACATATAAGAGAAAAAATAAATGATTGAGCATAATTTTTATACTGTCTTTTATCTCTTACGGTCATTAGATCCACTGCGGCGAGAATGAGATCGACGACTGTGGCTACCACTTCGGGAACGTTTTGATCTATAATTGATATAATAGAGCATATAAAACGTTTTACTTTTTATAGGAAATCAAATATTTTCTATCGTTTTCTTTCGTTCTCAATACGTTTAAATGACAATTTCTTCAAATTCTTTGCTTAAATTTGAACATTCTTTTTAATCTTTCTTCAGATTCAACAATACACATAATAATTTATTTTTACTATTTAATTTTTATATAAATATTTTTTGTACATCTTTTTTATTATTGTGAAATATGTTTATATCCGATACACTTTTAGCTTTGCATTTTTTATCCATTAAAAAAAGAATCAATCTTTTAATAAATGAATAATAATAATTGACCTACCTTTTTCCACGACTGCGACTACGAGATCGTGACTTTCTCCTCTCTCTGTCTCTGCGCTCCCGATCGCGATCACGCTCACGATCGCGTTCGCGATCGCGATCACGATCCCGATCGCGTTCGCGATCACGGTCACGGTCGCGCTCACGGTCGCGATCACGATCACGTTCACGATCCCTGTAGCCCAATCCTCCGCGGTTCCGATCACGATCCTTATCACGGTCCTCCCTGTCTCTGTCCCGTCTCCTGTCAAGCATGGATTCGCGCTTTTCCTTACGCCTTTCCTCGACAGTCTTCTGAAGTTCAGCGAGCTTTTCGCGGATTTTAATGAAGCCGAGATGCAACTTTCCGCCGAAGTGATCCGCTAATCGTCTATCGTTGTCATGTATGCCAAGATAGGCACTGCACACTTCGCACACTCTTAGCTTTTGCTGCTGGTAACTTGACGCCGGCATGCTGTTTCGATACTCTTGTTCTGCTTCATTCTTCTTTTTACGCAACTCATCGATCTCGCCCATCAATTTCATCGATTCCTCGACAAAACCTTCTTCGCCTAGCTGTTCAGCCTTGGCTAGTTTCTTACCAATCTCCTCGGCGAGCACGTGGACGCTGTTTGCCTTTGCCGCTACCTCTGCACTCAGCTCCTCCTGTGTCTCCGCCAGTCGCTGCTTGGCCTGTTCTGTACGACGATCGCAGTCGGCGATGAAATTTTGAAGATGTTCCATCGCCTAGAAAAAATTTAACAAAGACACATTGAAATCTCAGTCACAATCAGTCTTTATCAATAAAAACTTTTTGATTGTCATTGCACGCAATGCATGGCAATGTGGTGATTATTACGTTTAATTATGAAAGAAACGTTGTTAGAGATATAGGATGCATAATAATAGGTTCAATATTATTTAAAATTTTAAACAATAATCATATTCAACAACATGAAAAATGATTACTTTCTTGAGTTTAAATGAAATTTTTTTTTGTTAAATTAAGTAATTACACATAATTTGACTAATACTCACATCAATGTCGTAAAAGTGATCCCTTTTCTTTTGCGCGGCCTCGTAGTCAGCCCGTAGGGCCAAGTCGTGAATCTGGGGGCATTCTCCCAGGTCCATGCGCTACGATTTACACAAATCAGTCTGTATTAGATTACGGTTCTTCCAATCGCGTATGTGGGTCTTATCGATTCTATGCGTATTATACGAGAACTTAGACCCTTTTCTTCCCAAGTTTGTTTTAATTTGACAAGAATATATATTATGTATATACATATAACGTACTTGGTCGCGGTACCGCGACTGGAAATTAGCATGAATCGATAATCTAGGAGAGAGACAGAGATGATACACGATAAAAATTCTGAGAGCTTATATCGCCTGTATCCTTAGGATAAGACGGTCCCAATAGGCTTTTTTTTTAGTTTCTCTCATTTTACGTGAATTCACGGAGAGACGTCAGTTCGTCTTCCTGCACGAGCTAGGATAGAATGTACAATAATGAAGCGATCCGATCGTCAATCGATCGCGTATAAAGTAGGAAATGCAGTTTTTGTTTTACAGATAAATAGTTTGTTGTTTTCACTTACAGGGTGGCAACAGTTCTCCGCCTGACACGAGAATGCGACGGCAATGAAGCTATAATCAGCACACATCTTTTAAGTTTTATAAAGTTTTATAAGTTTCACTTTTTTTTCTACGAAAGAGAACTTACAGCCTATAATGATTTAATATACTATTTTACGTACGGCACACGAGAATCGTGTCTTACGTCTTATTGGCTGCTAAACGGATTTTTAGAAAAGAAACTGATTCAATACGTACACATCCAATGGTTGTAGGAAATTTTTCTAATGGACCTGGCACTTGTTGTACTAATCTCCACCTAATCTCTCTGCGTCATGCTACCTCTCGCATTTTTTCTTGTCGACACGTTTGGGTGTTGCAAATTGCCAAAGCTAAATATCGCGAGACGATCCCCGAAGAGATCCCCACGTTCTTCATTCGAAGAGTTTGCATTTTATCAACACACACACAGCGCGTGTGCTTCCATAATAAAATGAAAATAAAAATTAAATAAAATAAAATAAAATTAAAATAAAAATCTACATTTTATTTAAAAATCTATACAAATATCTAGTTGCAACTTTTAAGCGGATAAATCGAAAAATTAAGGAATATAAACGAAAAAAAATCTTGGTTACGAGTCGATCTAAAAGAACGAATATGTATACTTGTTTTTCATATATATATTTTTATAACGCGAAATCGCGAGATGGATAATTTTTTAAAATTCTGATGCGAGAGGAAAACTCGCGCGAAGAAAAATCGATAGCGATCGAACGGGTTCTTGGCAATTCGCAAATCTTACTTACAGATCACTGCTTCATTTCCTGCACCCTTTACTTCCACAGGATGATATATTTTTTTCTCACACACATTCTCAAAGTAAACTTCTCTTATTCCTACCTGCCGTAAACGGCATTATTAGTAAGAAGCGACATTAAGACATCGTCTCATGAATCAGCATGACGCTACTCACCGACTCACTGTTTACAGGCCTTTTCGGGGGTCTGGGAATTTATCATTCGGCATTACTCAGCCTCGCCACCGTGTAGAAAAATCGGTAGAGGGGCTGAAGTAAAGCCCGCCTGCCTTTACGTCTCATATATCGAATTAATATATAGATATATAGATATAGATATAGATATATAGATATGCATATATGTGTGTATGTATATCTAGTACTTGAATTATGGTAAAAAGGTAATCAAATTGTAGATGTAATACGTACGTCTTTTCAGTTTTCAGTACTTACAGTAACGCGCGTGTGAGAGTGACAAGTACAACACGGACATATGAGCGGACAATACTCGCAACAATATTGTACAATGGATCTGATTGGAATTGCTTTTTCCAGAGACTCTGGAAATAGAACTGTAGTTACGTTGATATTAGTGGACATCGGTACATCTCACATTTGAGCGATTTGCCGTTAGTATTTTTCATCTTTATTTTCTTTTTTTTTTTTTTTTCATTTTTGCTTTTACTCTTTCTCTACATTTCGTTTTCCATCTTAATGTTTTTCGTTATGGAAACTTTATCGCGAGACCTTCGGGGGTGTTTGCTATCTTTCACTGTTGAGTTCGCTTCCTAACTTTCACGTTTTAAGAACGTCGTGTCTTTTAATAAATTTTGCTCGTATCAAAAAGAGAAAGGAATAATTGCATCGACTGTTTTAAATTTTATTTTATATTTGATTTATATCTGAATCTGAAAATAATTTAGATCAATTGAGACTAAAAAGAGAATCATTTTCCTTATTCACTACTTTATTTTGTACTTTAATATTTACGGAGAATTTAATTATAAGATTTTAAGTTAATTGAAGATAAATGTACAAGATAAAGCAGACTTTGGAATTGACAGAAATATAAAAGATATCCTTCGTTTTTTGAAGGAAAAAATATATTAATCAGAAATGATAAATCTGAGATGAAATAAATGAACAACTTTGTTATTTTCATAGCAAAAAAATTGTAAACTTAATAACTACCTTTTGAAATTCTTCGATATCAATCAATGTCAGTGACAGACTCTCGAAACTTACATAAGTGCAGATATTTATGTAAATTCTAACATCTGCAGATGACATTAAAAACAAGCGATTGATTAAAGATTAAAAAGCAACTCCCCTTAGAGCAAACACTGGCACATTTCCCGAGAAGAAACTTTCCTACATAAGTAGCTGTCTAAGAGGAGAGCAAGATGAGACGAAACTTTTCTGTCGTATAAACTACAGCAAGTCTAGAATAGCTTGAGACAGACGGAGATTTGTATATATGTATATCGGAGCATCGATTTTGTGTTATAAAATTCAAGGTATGAAATCCAAGGAAAATAGTTCAGACAGCTACATATAGCAGAATGCCAGAGAAAGAGAAAAAGAGAGAGAGAGAGAGAGAGAGAGAGAGAGAGAGAGAGAGAGAGAGAGAGAGAGAGAGAGAGAGAGAGAGAGAGAGATAGCGAACACCCCTGTGACCAATTCGCACAAGATGACACTGAAATGCATGAAGCAGTATTTGGAGCACGTTACAGCTCATATATAATTAAAATATTTGATTAAAAATGTTGCTCGATCGACCGCATATATGCACAATATTACGCAATTACATCTTCCTCTATAAAAATCTGTTGTCTGTGGCTTCTTCTCCGATTTCATTGCGCTGCGAATAGCGAGTTGCAGTATTCTCGGTACATATATATATATATTAGATATACAGAGTATCCTACTTTAATTGCCCATCTCGAATATCTTGTACATAGTGCATTATCGTAGAAAATGTTTCAGACAAAATTTGTTTGATCTTGAGGGGACCATAAAAGTCTACTATAGTGTTTAATCTGGAGGGAGGTGTTAAAATCATACGAAAGAGGCATAAATCGATATCTCCGCGTGGTACAATTTAATAAATAATTGGCATGGCTTTAGCATCTAAAATTAAATAATAGTTTTGTATGGCCTCCTTAAGATCAAATCAATTTTGTCTGAAATATTTTCTACAATAATGTGTCGTTTACAAGAGAGAGCAATTAATTCGAAATGGGCAATTAAAACAAGACACCCTGTATATATGGAGATTCAACGCGCTCCCGAAACTAGAACAGACAAGACTATATAATTTTGACGGCTTGGAAGAGAAATGGGACAGACTTTCCGTATGTACGGGTACTTTGTTACCCTTACTCTTGCTACTTCCAAGCCACATCAAATACATTGGCTGTTCTAGATCCAAATATCTCGTACGTATGTAATAGTATAATAAAAATGCCTGCCCCGTGTTGCACTTCGACGGTATCCAGTGTGAATTGATCGTAATCAATTCCTGAGGTACGCGTCGGTTACATTAAATGAGATAAAAACGTTTTCTTTTTCGGGCGCGCTTATTAAATAATTTCGCTTATATTAAATACTACGATATACGAAGAACGTTCCTACGGATTCTTAACTTACGGTATTGAATACACACCAATTGGCACCGAGATAAAAAGTAAAAGCGCTAACGAATAATCAAAAGTTCGATGAATTACTATGTATGGATCTATCTATTCGATTATGAATAGTCTAAAATGTATACAGCACTAAAATTTAACTTCAAATTTTACTAGGCTATATGGCGTTTCAACAATGTTACACAGATATATTTCTGCGAGTAAAAAATTATAAAAATAGCTATGTAAACGTTCTTCAGCTTCTACATTCAATATGACTAATTTTTCTACGCATTTTCTACTTAATTTTACATTAACATACATTTCTATATAATATGTGTAAAAATATATGATATATGTGTAAAATATGTGTAAAAATATATAATATATATCGTGTATATATTAATGATAATATATATGAGTGTGTAACGCGAGATTACATAAGTCAGTGTGCATCGGAATCTATGAATGTGATAGTAAAGTGATATATGAAAGAAATTCAGAAATACGTTATTATTAATTTAATCGTCAAATTGATAAAGTTTGCCGTCAAAACAAACTTTATCACAATATAACTCCATAAAAAGCAGCAAATGATGACATTATAAAAAAAGTTCAGATAAATTAGAGAGATAATATAATAAACCAATTATATTTTACAAAAGATTTCACAATTTAATTAAAATATATAAACAATTAAATTTAGTTTTTAAATTAGAAATAAAAATACTGTTCAGAGAAATCTACATGATTTTTACATTGTAATATATAAAATAATCTGCCCATATATCACATATTAATTATTTTGCATTTGGACAATATATAAAATCTATTTGCATTGGTATGCATAGATTTTTTTATGGCTATTATACTTAATTTTGGTAGCTATACTTAAGAATATATGTGAAAAAAATAATCAAATCATTCACAATAATTACTTATATATATTACTATTATATGTACTGTAAGAAAATTATTATGGTTACACGATTTCATTTACTACATTCAATGTTAGTTTTATTGATTATAATATCTACTGATATTATAATCAATATGGTATAAATAACAAAATTAATTTTATTAATAACTAAAAAAATATATAATTATACATCTATTTTAATATTTTATTTACGACATTTTAATTTGTTGAAGTATATTTATATATATAAAAATTAGTCGTAATCAAAAAATACAAATTAATTAATTATTATTATTAATTAAAAATCTTAGTTTTTTTTCCTTATGTTTCATATTTATTATTGCATGATTATTTTGTCATTAATAATACTGCAATCAGTACAAAATCAATACAAAAGACTAACAGATTGAGCAATAAATCGTGTAACCAGAAGTTTGCAAAATAAAATAAAATCTAAAAAAAAAGAATAAAATTAATTATAATCTTTATACTTTACTCTTTTCCTCACTGCAATAAATAATATTAGAAATAAAATCAGATATATTTATATACAAGGTGCATTACTCTGCGCACAGTGCCAATGGTGTGTCATTCGTGTTTGGAATTAATGTATTACGAGATATACTCACCGTTGATGAGAGGATTTCATGGGGACAGCAGGCCAGCAAAAAACTCTTGCAGACCTTCGAGTCGGAGTATTTCACTTGAAATTTGTTATTCTCACCTAGAAACACAATGTAGATTAATAATTACACTTCAACAGCATACATCTATATATGCACACATACACACAGAATATATGTGTATATGTATACATATTGTATATACATGACACAGGATAGCGCTATTACAACAAATATGGCCGCGTTTGACCATCTTGCAATTATCAATTAAACTCGCGCGGAGATCTCATTCCGTCACCTCCGAATTAAATAACGTATGGAATAGAATACATACCATTTCGTCCAGTGCCCATTAACTGGTCGAGCATAGCTCGCATTTGATCGTGCGCCGTCATTTTTGCGAAGGTAGCACAACCTCTCTGAATACGCACCGTCAGAGCGCAACCGATCCACGGCCAAAGCCACCACCGTCCGATGTCCGATATACAATTCGAGACTTCGTCGAGTAATCGCTACGTCACGGCTTTATCGACTGCAACGTCATTGCAAGGCGCGTTTCGATGAGAACCGAAAGCACATGAATTCCATTGGTCATTGGATAGGGACTTCTGGGTATTTTACCTAATTTTTGCGGACTCCATTAAAAATTCCTATTAAGCTACCAATAGGATCGTGCGACAGAAATAGCACGAGTAGCCGCGAGATGTCAGTCTTTTAATTGAACATTGAGCAGAAAATGACGTCACGAACATTTCGTCGATCTTTCGAACGGAGCACCCACCATTTTGTCGGTAGAGGAACAGCGAGGAAATTTTTAATTGTCATAAATATTATGAAATCGATTACGATATATTCGACTCTTGTAAGTTTTGTTATTTATTACAATAAATTTAATTATTTTATCCTTCTGACACTTAAAACTTGTGAAATAAAAATTTATTTTCGAAAATACAAGAGACATTTTTTCGATGTAAAGATATTTATGTACGTATTATAAAATTAACTTATCAAAATTATAAAAATTAAATGAATGTATAAATCTCTCAAAACCTTGACAATATATATTGTCGATAGAGAAAGGAAGAGAGAAAAAGAGAGAGAATACGAGGATTTATGCCGACAAAGTTCCAACGGTATTTAAACCAAGGGGTGCTCGGTGGCTTCCACTCGCTAGAGTGCAATGACCGGCAAACTGGAGAGACTTTAGATTTATCAAATTATACATACAGTATGTACAATATTCTGTACGTTTAAATTTAATCACATTTCTATAACTATCAGTTTTATTATATCATTAAAAATGCAAATATTTTTTTTAATTATATAAAAATCTTACAATAATTATTGCACACACAATCATATAAAAAAGTAGAAAGTATTATGAAGCTCTTCCTCCATATCTTGGTTCCATTTAATCTTTTTTAACGAGACTAATTAAAATGGTTTAATATGCGAGTTTAATAATTTAATATATTTATTATTTTTTTGTAACAGGTGATTTTGAATAGCAAACGACTTACACGTGTATCTTTTTGTTAGTCGACCAAATATCTGACCTCGAGTGATGGTCGAATTGCATAATAGCTCCCGAAAATTTCTTAAGTCAGCGAGCCAAGTCGAGCCACGCGATAGTTGCAAACCGCGCGCAGAAACCGCATACAGAGGAAAGAGAGAGAGAGACTTGCAACCGGTAGCGGAGGTGGTGGCGATGATGGTGGCGGTGGTAGAGAGACCAGGACTCCGCACTCTCGATCGTGACCTAAGAGCGAGCGAGTGAATACAACGAGCAAATGTAAAAGCGAGACCAAGAGATTAACCGATGCGGGGGAGGAGGAGAGAAAGAGGAAAGACCTCGGTACAGAGTGCGAGAGCAAGAGGGAAAGAAGCGGCGAAGACCAAGTAGTAGTAGGTGGACGATGAAGCAGGCGATGGTGGTGAAGCAGAAGAAGGAGAAGATGGTGGTGGTGATGTTGGTGGTGGTAGGAGAACCAGCCTCTCCGCCAGTCCACGTGTTCAGTGTAGTAGCGCGTTATGACCCGGATGTTAGATCGTAGCCGCAGTTTCGCGAGTACCTGCCGACCCGGATGTCCTCCCGCTCGCTGTCCACCAGTGATAGACCACTAATGACTTCCTGGCCACCGAAATATGTTCAATCGGTAAGTTACAGCCGCGAGATCAGCATCCTTTTTCCTGTCGTCGTCTGATTAAAACTGTCACTTGGTACTTCGCCGACGACTACCCGCTCGAATGTACAATGCGTCGCGTTAAAAATTACCCTAAAGAGTCCTGCGCGGTTTTCTTCGCTAATTAAAAATTTATATGACTAGGAAAGAGAGATTTGATTTAATATAGAAGATTTCTCAATCGTTACTCTGATCCTCATGCGGATTCGGGGGTGAGTTTATTCTTTCACGATCGTCTAAATACATAGGTATCTCTCCAAGGATACGTAGCGTTTCATGTCAAAATACGAGATGCTGAATGTGGATTTAGTGGGTGCTACAAGGGATTTTTTGCGCGCGAAAATCGGACACATCGTATGGCGCATCACGCACGTGTCGTATGCGCGTGCAGCAGCAAATGACAGTAACGTCAGTGTGTGCTTGAAGGATAGATGCGAGCAAGTCTACGAAAGGCGCCAGCAAACTACGAAGGGACCTGATAAACGCCGAAATTGCGAATCTACGTGACTTGCTGCCGTTGCCGCCCTCGACACGCCAGAGGCTTTCCCAGCTGCAGCTTATGGCCTTGGTCTGCGTGTTCCTGCGAAAAGCCAATTACTTTCAGCAAGGTACGTGAACGGCAACTTGCATGCGACATTAAATCTTAAAGCTCTGTGTGTGTATATTTTAATATACGTATTAAGGTTTGAAATCGAGGTGAGCTGTGCTCTGTGAGCGTTTACCTTTATAATTTTGTATGATATTGAAAAGGATCTAGAAGATTGAAACGTGCGTTTGTCATTTGTCGTTTAAATGCATGTATTTAAGTAATTTTTTGCTCTGACAGACTTTCTCTTATTAAATTACTTTTTAACATTAGTGGCTCTGTCTTAGCATTATTAATTATTAATTGTTATTTCGTACCACCTACGTCATGGTCCTAAGCCTTTTCTTATTTCAATTTTTTTATTATTACTTTACGTTAACCCCTCTCGTTTTTTGTATATTTTAACATTATGAGCAAATTTCCCTTGCGAGCTAGAAATCTTTGTGAGAAAGTAGTTGTTCAAAAATTCAATTTGAGATGTCAAAAATGAAATACGATGTTTACGTTGCTAAGAATTTTCAAAGTTTTAAGTTATAAATACGAAAACTTTGCGGCTTTGAAATATTACTAGCTTCAGTTGTTGAATATTATGCATAATTTTCTCATATATGACGCATAAAGAGTAAGATAAATCACTGATAATAATAGTTACGAGATAGTTTATTAAATATTAGCGTAATAAAAAAATAAATAGACAAAAGACAAAAGCAATATACGGTCCGGATGATAACAAAACGCAATAAAAAAGAAAGGCTAAAAAATCGTAGCGCGAGATGTTAGAGCGTAAAAAATAATAAAAGACTCTAAATAAGAGACATAATATATTAATAATCAGTTAGATATAAAATTACGTACGTATTTCGATCTTTTCAAGATCCTTTTCAATATTCAAGAAGTCGTTAGAAAATAAACAAATTTAAAATAATAATAATAGAGCGCGATTAAACAATGAATAATTTTCACGTATATGGTTTTATTGCGTTTTTTTTCTGGTGAAGATATGACCGTTTTTTAGCTTTTCTTTTTTATTGCGTTTTGTAATAAAAAAATTTGATTAAACATTTCCGTATGATTTTTTTGAAGTTTTTAGAGAACGAAAGTCTCTCGAAAATTCAATTCGAATTGTGCGAGCATATGATGTATAATGTTGAGGAAATTATATCTAACGCGTGATATGATATACGCGTAAGTTGCATTCCGCCAAGTTACAACTTGTTGCTCCATAAAATAAGGAATGACGATAGGCGATAAAGCGAGTCCATCGCGGTATCGCGATTACTATATCTTTATTGTAATTCATATCCATCGGTCGAGACTTCAATGCCGGCAAGCGCGCGCTCGTGCCATGCAATTCACCGCGTCTGTACTCTGATATTTTAGAGAGCGCATTGGTACTGTACTATACGTAATGATTGGGACACATTGTATGGCCAAATATGTCCAATAGTTAAATCAGCATTATTCGATACTGTAACACACAGGAATATTAATGCACACACACACAATTTTTTACAATAATTGAAAATACTCTTGGGTTTCTTTTCTTTGATAGTAAATTAGCACTGAAATACAAGTCAAATAATAAACGCAATAAACTTTATCATTACTAATAATATCTACTTTTTCTATTATTTTAATAAAAACTGTATAATTAAAATTATATCAATGTAAGAAAAAATTTTGCTTGAGTTGTCTCAATAATCAATGTGAAGAAGAGACAGAAAGAGAAAAAGAGAGGGGAAAGAAAAGAGGCAGGTAAAACATACCGTTGGCACACGATTGCAAAAGAAAGCATCGTTATTGCTAAATATATATCACAGAAGTTTCGAGATAATTTCTACGGTAAAAAAATCGTTCATTCGTTGATGAAAACCGATTAATTTTTTAATTGATACTTAAAAATTAAAAGTTTGGCTTACAAACATTGTCAGCACGTTTTATTCGAATATTTATTCGGTCTATTTTGAGGAAAACATCATTTTGAGGAAAGCATTATTTTGTGATAGTAGCAAAATTTGTAAAAAAGTAGGAATTGTGTAAAATGTATTGTTTCAATGCTGATGATTCTATAAATTTAATTCTCTGAATAAAAAACATTCGATAGTATCAAGAATTTCTCGTGTGCTATCATCAATTAAACGTTCTGATTCCGAGATGCTGAATTTGGAGAATCTTTTCGGTGGTTCTCGAGATTTCTGCTCGCTTCATCGTCATAATCGGCCGACGGTTCGCGTTCAAACAATCCGCGCGAAGGAGAATTTCTATTCGGTCGCGCGGGAGTCTGTCGGGTAACCCGGCTACGAGGGCTTCTCGTAGACACAGAGAGAAAGAGAAAGACGGCAGGGAAAACGCGGTAAACCCGGTGGGTACCAATAACGAGAGAGGAGATCCGCAAGAGAGAGGAGAGAAGAGGAGAGGAGAAGAAAGAAGAGGAGAGGAGAGGAGAGGAGAGGCGAGGCAAGCCAAGCCGAGCGCAAAGCAAAGCGAGGCGAAGCGATGTAAGAAGGCAAGATCGGCCGGCGCGCGTTCAAACTCAGCGGAGTCTAAGCGCGAGTTCCGGGTGATCCGCTGACCTGTCGGCCTTTGCAACAACACTCTCACGCTCCTGTAACCCACACTCCTCCCCCTCTTCTCTCTTCGTCTCTTTCTCTCTCTACGGTTTCTTCTCTTCGCCGCCCGCCTCGGCCTCCCTTCCTCTCTCTCTCGCTCGTTCTTCCTCTCCGCTCTCCTCTCCGCCATCCTTGTCTCCCTATCCTCCCCCTTTCTAGCTATCTCTTTTTCTCTCTCTTTCTCTCATTCTTTCTCTCTTCCTCGCGCTCATTGTCTCGCAGTGTATATCGGATACTATAGTCCCATGTAGCGCCGTTAGTAAACGCTGCCGTGCTGCATTAGCATACGCATTTTTCTTTACCCTTCTCCTTCTTCCTTTCGTTCGCGAGGTACATGCCTCTTTCCCCTTTACTTTTTCGAGGAACCCCCGAGCAAGAAGGGTGGCGAACGCGCGAAAAAGCATGAGATTGAAATGGGTATCTCTCTCTCTCTCTCTTTTCTTTCTCTCTCTCTCTCTCTCTCTCTCTCTCTCTCTTCTTTCTTCTTTCTCGATCCTTTCCGTTGGAAGACCATCGTGAGCGATTAAGGCTCGAGATACAATGAAGCATAAGAACAGCATATGAGGAATCAATACCTTGGTATCTCGGTCACATCTGCAAAATACGAATTATATTTCCAGGATATCGATCGGACGCGAATGGAGTTGAAAACAGCTTTTTTACAGTCGCGATATACGTTATCGAATGCACTCGCACGTTTTCGCTTTGCGTAAAATAAAAATAGAAATAACGATTCGCGTCTATCGACACTCTTACTGGTAATAAACCCACATTACGATTATGTATTGATAATGAATTATCTTTTCTTTCTTTAAATATATTACATTATTTTTTGTTTAAATTGTACCAACAACCAAATATGCGACATTATAATTTATTTTTCACACATTACACGTTTGATTTTTAGATACTTTGGTCTTTTTATTTTTCAGCGCTGAAAAACTACCCGTCCGAGTCTTCGAATATTCCAACACCCAACATTGGGTTCTCAAAAGTAATTTTGTTTTCAGTTCACTTACATTAATCATTTCTAATAATTTTTTCTTTTTTTAACTATCGTATCTAACTATTATATCTTTACATTTGTCTGCTATGTATTACAAACCTTTTAGAATCCATCCATGAAATCATAATCCGTGCATTTTTTCCAGGCAATGTCCGGTTTTATCATGATGATGACGCAGCAGGGAAAATTATTGTACATATCAGAAAATGCGGCGGATTATCTCGGGCATTCTATGGTAAAGTAATTTCGTTAATAATGTAACATCGGATAATATGGCGCGTTAAGGTGATGTTCGCGAGGAGCAAACGTTATTCGCTACATTTGAAACACAAATCGCAATAAAATAAAAAAATTTTCAGGAGGATTTACTCATCCATGGGGACAGCGTGTACGACGTGATCGATAAGCAAGATCATATAGTAGTGCAAAATCAATTATCCAGAAATAGCCCGATTCCAAGTGACAGAAGATTATTTCTCTGTCGAATCAACGTGTCGAGAAATTCTCGCAGACAGCTACGATTCGGCGATCAAAAGGTGATTAAAGTACCGCCAGTTATTCTGACATCATCTATTTTTCGCGAATATCCCATTATTTGCTTCTCGCCACAGGTAGTCCTCGTAGAAGGTCATTTCCTGCCATTTGTGCCCGTCTGCAACCGCAATGAATTCGTCTTCCTAGCTTCTTGTACTCCGGTAGTTTTGCCAGAGACTCGAGAAAGCATCGTTCAGGGCGCAACCAATATCTTTACCACGATTCACTCGATGGACATGAAGTACCTGCACATCGATAAAACGTAACGTTTAATATCGACGAAACGTTTAATATCGATAATATGAGAAAATTAGTTTTGTTTGCAAAGCTCTGGTTTTTTCTTAAAAAACTTCCGTTTCTTCTTTGTAGCGCGGAAAGCCATTTGGAGTACACTCGTGCCGAATTAGTCAACGTATCCTGGTACAATTTGCTTCATTGGGACTCCATAAGGACCGCTTACTGTAAACATCAAACCGGTATGTTAAAAAGAATTCTTTTAGCAATAGAAGAAGAATAAAAATTTTTCTGCACGAGAAACTGCAACAATGCTTAAAAAATATATTTTATTATTTTTCTTAAAAATTAAATTTTTTCCATTTAATTCACGATTTTAGTTATTCAATCCGATCAAGAGCGATCTACTACCGCTCTATTAAGGCTGCAGAGTCGCTCTGGGAGATGGTTCTGGGTACATTGCGTGTTGCAGGTCAAGGATACCTCCGATGAATGCCAACATCCTATCATCGTTTGCACAAATCAAGTACTCACGTAGGTTTACGGTTTTTTATATAATTATTCTTTTCAATATCTATTTACTAAATTACTAAATTTATTATTAAATTAATTGATTAATTAATTATTTAATTAATTAATAATTAATGTATTATTCCGATTATATCATACACATATATACACATATATACATATACGTACAAACATAAATAATTACAGCGATAAGGAGGCAGAAGTAATGCGCTCCAGTTCATGGCTATATCAGTATTCCTCTCAGACGAAATTCACCTACGGACTCTGTCCCGGCGGTCAAAGTCGCAGCATTACGTATCCTTCTGCAGGACAAACTGTCAATCAAACTCAAGAATATATTCGAACATATTCCAATGATACTGATGCCCAGCACTCGCCGTCCCTTCATCCAGACCGGTCCGAATCAGAATCACACATGGCCCCGAAGAGCGCACAGTCGATAGATTATCCCGGTAGGCGATTGTTGCGAGACGATGCGGAGCCGGTGGACATGTCGATAAGCAGCGCGGAGCAGCACGAGGGTAGGAACGTGCAGACCGCGATCGTGGATCATCATCATCAGCAACAGCACACTCTGGACGATCCTGTCAGGTATCATCATAAGCAGTATCACAAGAGCTCGCTGCATGTGGCCGGCTATCGGGCCAAGTTTGTGCAGTGCCACAGCGGACAATACGTCAGCGGCGGCTGCGCGGATGTGCTGTCAATGCCTGGTACCAAGTATTACCTTACCGACCTAGACCGGGACTACTGTTGCGGTCCAGAACGCAGCAGTGGTCTGCACAGCAAGCGTCCGTCGACGAAGGCATTGATTGCACCACCGACACCATCACTGACAGCCGATTCAGCGGCGCCGCCGCCACCGGATACCATCTCCCTGGAGAACTGGGGCGCCAGTCCAGCCTGGTCGGATGCGTTACAAAGGGTCCCGGACATGGTGCATCAGGAACTTAGCCCGTATATCACCACGCCGACTACACCGGTTAACACACCTGATTCCGATACCCTCGGTCACTCGGAAGCGCCCATCTTCAATTTTGATTGGGCCGGCACTGAGCAGCACGTACCCAACCTGAAGATCACCTTCCACCGTGGCAGCACCACGACCACCACCACCAACCATCCCGTCGTCCAGCCTAGGAAGCCGCATCAGGACACGGTGCAACCTATTACGCTACAGTTACCACGTAGAAAGGGACAGTCCTCAGAGAACGATAGCAAAGACTTTTCGAAATGAGCGTAGAGGGACGTAGTGTAAAAACTTACTAGAGAATGTCGAAAATAACGATTAGCTTCTTAATAAAAGAAAAAAAATCATGTAAGAATCTAGAAAACAAATTAGAAAAAATGATAAAATATTATAAAAAATTCATCTAAAGGAGTCCAAGTCGAGAGGATCGAATGTAAACATAAAAGAGGTGTTCAGACATAGTGTCATACTCTCTTTCTCTCTTTCTAACACATAGTTTTTGTCACAGACAACGGAGTATATTCTTCCAAATTCTCTATCGGTATCGCATTACACAATTTTCTACACGCTCGCGTTCGTCTTTTACTTTTCTTTTTTTTTAAATCTTTTTCATCACTGTCTCTTTGGCGGCTTATACACACATTTTACTCTCGAATCGTAAATTCTTCATTAATATAAAACACGTATATAAACATAGACTGATTACATCGGTGTTTACAATAATCTACGATTAAAAAAAGGTCGTACATTGTTTCGTTTATCTCCGGTATACGCTTTTATGCGAGAACATTCGTTTTGAGATAAATAGCACGCATCGTACGCGTATATATATATATATTCCAAGTGTATATATATTTATATATATATATATATAACTATATGTATGAGTGTGCAGTGTCGTAAGAGGGTACCCAGGTACATGCGCTATATGTGTTTGAGATTTCTTTTGAAAAATACCTAAATCTCTTATAGTTTAACACACGATCATGAAATATATTCGCTTTGTACATTTTAACGCATTTTCGACGAAGGAAACTTTCTTTTTTTCTCTTTTTCTTTTTCTTTGCGCAACGTGTATGTTGTGTGTTACATTATGTTTCGACGTGATACTATGGAAATACATAAATAAGGAAGAGAGGCAGTTAATCATCGTATCGTAGTACGTAGCAGTTCCCATCAGTTCTCGTCTCTCTGTTCTATTTTTATTAAACAATTATCGATGTTTCAATCGGAGGTCCAACACGGAAATCCATCGTGCATAAATACGTGCAGTTAACTTAATCGCGACCAACGCGCACGTTTATGGATTTTCTTTTATAATAAATATCGAAATTAATATTGTGCGAACTGTACCTGCGAAACTAAATTTTAAAAATATTCTCCGCAGTGGAAAGAAATAATTAAAAAGTTTACACGCGAAAGCATATATCGGTGAACGATTTTTTATACACTTGAGGATAACTTTTCTTTCTAACTTCTCATCTCGCGTGAAAACAGACTATAGAATGTATTCTCAAGCTGTTATGCTATTTCTGGCATTCCTCGAGGAACGTGAATTCTTATGTAACAAGATAACACCTTACACTCTCACACTCCTTATTTAACATTGTAAGTTCTTGCCATGCTAAAATTGCCATATTAATAATCTTACACTTTAGCATTTACTTTCCGAAAAATGTATAATAAATATTCTAATGTGATTTGTACCGCGCGAAAGGAAAATGAATCCTATTTTTTAGATAAGATTCTGAACCATTTGATTATATTACTCCTTAAAAATAATCGATTTCCTTGATATTATCCCAGACTCCTATAAATTGCGATTTTTTATTCTGCGTTAAAATGTCGAGGTATAATTGTCTCGAATTCTATAAAGTATCAATTACACAAACTCTTCGCATTATCACGATGATTTTCCTCCTAACGCGATCTCGTTGTCAGATCATAGATGTTTCAGTGCTCTCGGAATCGCGATACATATACGTTATAATAAGCCTAACAAAAAAATCTGCAATCTACTTCGATAATCTCTTCCGCGCGCTCGCAAAAAAAATACGAGTGCAACGAAAACATCTTTTTGTCATGTTCGCGTGTACGTTGCGTTTATCGTTTGCGTTTTAGATTCGCGGGAGGTAATTCGCATCGCACGATCGAGATCGAATCGCGCGCGCGGAATCAATTATAAAGGTAAAAAAATATTACCGCGAATCCCTACTCGCACTATTCCTTTTTCTTGTCTCCGTGTATTCGGCGACGTACTCAAAAATGCCGCAAAAACGCGAGAAATTATACAGATACACGTCTTCTTAGAGTGTTTCTCTCGTGTGAGACACATCTTTCCGCATACCGTTGCCTTTCGCTATAAAGATACATATATAAGATATATATTTATATATATATATTAAACATGACAATTGCTTGTACAACATCTCGATTATATATTATCAGACATTTCTTTTTCTTGAACTTTTCTTCAACATTTTCTTTAACATCTATTAGAGGAAAAATGCTTTTAAATTTGTTATCATTATAAGAGACATATTGGCTGTTGGTTTGTCGCACACATTGGAAGAAACAGAAGTCGCGTAGTTTATCGGTGCAATTGCTCGCGTAACGGCCTTTAAATCGAGCGCAAATCCTCGTATTAAAAGTACTCGAATAATGAATCGAAATCATATATCGATTAATTGTACTCGATTAATTGCGTAACTAACGACGCGCAACTGTGTCATCGCGTCCATTCGATGTACCTAGGTTCGTGATTAACGTTACCTGATGTAAATTACATCATCGAGTTTCTTTCTCGTTGAGATACGCATATACCGGGTGAAGTGTATCGAAAATCTCTCGGATTATACGCAGAACGATGAGCGATCGAGAAAGACGCATAGAGATTTTCGACGACGCGCCCGTAGGTGCGTATCTCCCTTGCGAATACTTTTCGCGACACTGCACCGTGTGTATATGTGTAATGTTGATTGCGCGCGAGAGTGCGTGTTTAGTGTGCGTGGGTATTTTGTACAAAGGTACAAACGCACGCGTGCCGACGCGTACATAGGAACGTCGCTTGAGCAGGAGCGATTATGTTTCTCGCTTTGAGTAGTGAAGATACGCAAAATTGCTGGAGAGAAAATATTTTCAGATTCACTTCACAGGAGATATTATCGAAATATCAAAAAGTGGAGATGAATTTTATTCATTTAGGCTAAATCACGATTAGTTTCAACATTTGTGACAAACACGTATGACTCGTGAAAAATAAATTACGCAAAATTAATGAAATGCACATGTAAAAAAATTACATCTTTCTACTAATATAATATATATATTCAATTAGGGAAATGATTGCTAAATTGATCAAAGTGAAAAGCTCGCAGTCTTGATGGTCACTATAGGCATGTCGGCGCGCGTACGATTGACTTTGATTACTTTACGAGCCTTCGATTGCTAAAGTCGTGTATCGTCACAGTGCTCTTATCTTATTTGTTTTATTTAATTTCATTTTTTTATATATTAACTATACTTTTTCGGTATCGTTTCCCAAAGCCTCGAAAGTGCGCTCTACAACATTCCTCCCTTTCCACCTCTGTCTATCTTTTTCTCTCTCTCTCTCTCTCGTCTCGTATAATCTTGGTATAATCTTTTAAAGCTTCGTTTGGCACGTATAATTAGAATGTTATTTTTAGTTTTACGGAAGAATTCGATTTAGCGTTAATCTCTCTCTCGTTTCACCTAATCGCTAATTATCCTCCCGTATTCTCCGCTGGCCGTGCCAGCCATCACATCTATATCACTGCCCCCCTATCGTTCCCTCCCCGCATTATTACATTTAAACACATTCATTTACAGTTTTATACTTCGCTACGTCGTAAAATTTACATCGAGTGTTTACATCGCCCATCGCGGCTTCGCGCGACGTATAGAGATATATATCATCTCGTAATCCTTTCGATATTTTTTACTTAAATAGGTTCTTGTGCGACTTAGCTTTTTTTTTCTTCGTGTCTAAACCCCCATTGCTACTCGCCATCATCCTCCTCTTTCCTTCTTCTGGAAGGAATTTCTCGAGAGCAGCGCGATGCTTCCGGACGACGGCGAACCGCATCGGGGGACACCGATACACCCGGATGTACCGAGTATACCGGACACGTAATATAATTCCGAACGCGCGACTCGCGTAAGGTTCGCGCTGTTCGGAGAGATATTAATGAACGTTATATTCATGGCAGTATCCACGTCGCGTTACTTCTTGCGAAACTCGGAGACCGGAGCTGCATGCGTTTTGACTAGTGTTGACGGCCGACTCGCGCTTCCCATCGCGAACGGGTCCGTCCCTCTTTCCTTCTACAATGTCGCCAATTTTTCTCAATCTTCCTATAGAGATAGCGTCAAGTGTTATTACATTTCCGGGAAGATAACCTGAACATCCGACAGAATTATTCAAAGAGAGAATTTTGAACAAAATCAAGATGAGAACCCTCAGTTTCTTCAAAAGGTCCGCGACCCAAAAAAGATTATAAGAACCACTGCGGTATATTAACAATTCACGCGACCCGTTATAGACAATCGATACCGTTGAAATTTGATATTATTCGCGAGAATATTGTGAACAAACAAACCGTTCTTACATGCATAGAGCAAGGACCCGCTCACGTCGATCGGTGTGTCATATCGTTAACCCCCCGACGGAGAAACATTAGTTTTTTCTTTTTAATAAACATCAATGTAGTTATACAATAACGCAATTACATTAGAGAGAGAAAGAGCATTAAAACTCTGAGATGTTACACATTGAAGAACCGGATTAACAACGTAATCATCAACGATAATAAATTTTTATTATGACGAATAACGCGAAAGCGATAGAAACGCGATTGTCAAGGGGCTAATCTCTCTCGTTATCGTGATTCAATATCACACGGGAGAAAAAAAACACATTTGAGAAAAATCTAGTGTCAGTTTCTCTACGTAGCGAAAGTGCACAAAGGATTGATTGGATATTGTCGATCTAACAATCAGAATCCGAAAGATGCGCGGCTCAAATGACCGGACGTACTCGAACAACGTCGATAGGAACAGGGTAGTTTGGCAGTCGCGAGCGCCAAATTTATTCGCGGCAGTTTGCCGGTCTCCTCGCTTCCATTTCTTCGTGCGTTCTGAAAAACGCGCAAAAAGGAGGAAAAGTAAACGGCAATATAATAATAATAATGCAGCATTGCGTATGTATGTATATGAATATGTGTATGTGTACGCGTATGTGTATATGTGCGCGAACGCGCGATCGTCGACTTCCAATTTTGCGAGATGTGGAAGTGAGCGAAAGGGATTGAACCGATGCGAAAAGATTGAATTACGCATCGGTTACTGATATCATCCCCGGTCGACCGCGGTGCCGCGGTTCCTGCTGTGCCACTTACACTTGAGAATCCTCACGTAGGTTCTGCGGAAGGCCGCGTTGCACAGCGCGTAGCACATCGGATTCACAGTACTATTGATGTAGCAAAGGTAATAAAAAAAGTCCCACAGCTCCTGTGGTATGTACCACGAGCAGGCGGTGATGGACTTGAGGAGTACCAGAATGTTGTACGGGGTCCACGTGATGATGAACGCCAGCAGAATCGCCGATAGTGTTTTCGCGGCCTTACGATCGGCCTTCTTCTCCTGCAGCTTCTTCTTCTTCTTGTTCGGTTGCTTGTTCAATATACCTTTGCCCGTTGTCGGCGCCTTCGGTATGTTCTTCGCGTTTAACGGTATCCTGACGTCCGGCATTTGCGACGGCCTCCTCATCACCGTCGACGGGCTCGGTCCGGCACCGAGACGATAAACCTTGCCGGCACCGCCAACAGTGAGACCGCCGCCGCCACCGCCACCACCACCATCGTCCTCGCTGTCCATCATGCTGTGCAGTTGAATCGACATAGACTCATCGTGGATCATCTTTATGCTCGGCCCCTCGCTGTATTTGCCGCCGTTGCTTGGCAATTTGATCAGAATCGTATAAACCTGGAAAACGAAGAAGGCGTGCGCATACTATCGGTCCTTGAATAATCCACTCGAGTGATTTCGTAAGATAATAGAACATACTAATCAGAATTTTAATTTTTGTATTAATCATACGTGATATTAATTTTTCTAGATAAGATAACAATATAATTGTCGCTTTTTGAAATATATAATACTGATGTCTCGCAAGACCTAATTCTCGAATAGGAGCATTACATACGGAATCACTGGAGATAGTCTTGAGATCGGGCGGCCGCATCGGCCTTTTGTACTCGTGCTGAGCTGCGGCCTTGTCCAGGGCGATTCCCGCAGCCTGTATCGCGCTGAGGGAGGGACATCGCGATACCGTGCTGGGAAGCGGCGTTTCAGCCGATAGCGGCGTGAGCGTGTCCTCGTAGCCGGGTCCGGTGCGGCTGCTCTCCGGTCCCGCGATATCCTCGTCGTCGTCCTCGTCTTCCCGTCCGCTGTGCCACCACGCGATGCACCACATCTTCAGCCAGGTCCAGGAGAATGGCCTGTGCTGCTTGCCCGAAAATGAAAATGATAAGATTGTAATCGAGCGATGATGAATGAACCAAAATCGACGAAACTTTGTGCATAATAATGTAAAGTTAATTTTGCATTTTTTGAATTGATAGTAACAATGTAAAGAGAAATATAAGATGCTATGGAATAATAATGAATTTTTTTTGAGTGTGCAAAGATTGGACAAATAGAGAGTTTTAATTTTTCACTTATAAGAGAATAAGATCTTTAAAAAGGGGAATAAGTGCGACGGAAATTTTACTTACGCTTTTGTATTGCGGATAGTGTTTATCAATGTAGGAAACGGCAATGTGAGTGGCATGCGAAACATCTTCGCCAGTACTCGACTCGCTTCGCTGTCTTCTACCATCCTCCATATCTAAAGCCTCGTCGCTACACGAAAAATATTACAATAAATACACTTTGAACTGCAATGGTCCTTTCGACTTTGCGATATTTGCGATACATTAATTACTCGCGTTGTCGAAAAGAATGTTTCGTTATGTTGATTTGATACAAAAATATTTTTATCAATATTTTGATTAAACATATAAAATACATTGACATAAATAACGAAATCTGTAGATCTGTGAAATTCAAATGAAAATGAAAATCATACAAATAGGAAACATCAAAGTAATAAAAAAAGGTGAGGGAAACATTTAATTTGAAATACTTCATTATTTTTTAATATTACGAAAGGTAAGAAATGTGTGACCAAAATAATATAATATAGGAAAAAAGGTTGAATAATTTAACAATACTTCTTAACCGCTCATTAACTGCATGTGCATCTCTCCTGTGTCACATTAAATCAGAACTAGGAAGGGAAATCAACCCTCCAAGTAGGGCATTACCATCTCTCTTGTGCAGGGGTTTCAGTTGCGTATTTTTGGTGATGTGCTGACGACAAGTTTGGAGGGAAACAATTGAAAACGTTAGTTACCACCTCGAGTTGCTGCGCTTGCTCGCGTCTTGCTTGCCGGCCTGCAAATTCGGCAGATCCTTCTGCCGTTTCTTGGTCTCCTTCCAGATCCGCCAGTACAGGATTATCATTATCATGACAGGAACATAAAACGCGGCGATGGCCGTGCCGAAGGTGATGTAGTGGTTCGTCTCGATGAATTGGATGTAGCACGCGGTCTTTGGCACGGTTCTTTGACCCTCGATGTACGGCCACGCGTAGATCCAGGGTGGCCAAAGAAGCAACGATATACCCCAGGCGGATCCTGGCGGAAACGATTTAACGAATATAATTAATTCTACGCGATTTATCGCGATTCATTATATGGTAAAATTTCATAGCAAGAAAATCCAAGAGAATGTAAAATGTGATTAATGTATAAATTACGATACATTTCACTATATTCACAAATCGCAACACTCACCGATCATGACGGCGGCTTTGACGGTCGTTCTCCTGGCCCGATAGGTGAGCGGGCGCGTGACGGAGAAGTATCTGTCGAAGCTGATGATGAGCAGATTAAGGACCGACGCGTTGCTCGCGAGATAATCGAGGGCTAGCCACGTGTCGCACACGTGGGGCCCGAGCGGCCAGTAACCGAGCACCGTGTACAGCGTGAAGAGAGGCATGGAGATTAGGCCGATCGCAAAGTCGGCCACCGCCAGGCTGAAGAGGAAGTAGTTGGAGATGGTTTGCAGCTGTTTGTCGATCTTGAACGATATCATGACCATTATGTTGCCAACGACCGTAGTGAGACTTAGGAGGACGGCGATCACCACTATCATCACACGCTCCCATATCGCGTATTGATGAGGCTCACCGCCGCAGTCGAGACCGTTGCTGACGTTGTAGCTGTCATTGCCGGGTATCTCCACCATCGGAGTAACGTTCATGTCTGACGGACTATCTCTCGCCCTCTTTCTCTCTCTTCGTATCGTTTCGGATCGCAAGATCGTCTTATCTATCCTCGTCCCGGTGCTCCGCGACCGATGCGGTTCGCGCGGGCGATCGCGCGTCCTCTGCTACTCTCGCGAACGATCCTTCGCGTTTTCCGCTGTACCCCGATCTTCGGGGCACCCCTCCGCGAAGCCCACCTCACTCTCGTCCGCTCTTTACCATGCGCGCGTTCGCCCACGCGCTCGTTCGCGCGCGCGCACGCACGCCCGCCCGCACGCACGCACGCACGTACGTACGCACGCACGTACGCGCGAACGCGCGAACGCCACGCTTCCGGTCCTTCTCGTCGGGATACCGGGATTCGGCGTGCGACGTCTTCGCCGGTGCTACCGACCGCTTCCCTTCCGCGATATCTTCCCTTCCCCTCTTCCTTCGTCTTCGTCTCTTCGTCGTCGTCCTCGTCCTCCTCGTCCCCCTCCTCCTCCTCCTCTTCCTCTTCCTCTTCGTTCTCCACCTCCGTCGTCGTCGTGCTCTCGCTAGGTGGAAGGTAGTGTCAACTACATCCCACACTCGCTCCTCTGGGCGGAGACATCGAGTCTGCGAGCAAAAGATAGAGCTGATATACTGAAGAATCATGCGGTAGATATGAGGATAGTAACGCGTATAGCTTCCGAATCGTATTAACGACTGCAGTTAATATCTATCTTTTATGGATATTTAATATACGTATATTTTACTTTCTTTCAGATAGACTTATTTTAATCGATGTTTATTTAACGGAGAATTTAAGATGGATCTAAAGCGCTGAGAGACGATTATAGAAGTGCTTTCAAGTGTCTATTTCTGTAGGATGATAAATTAATGAATCCAACATAAACAAATTTCCGCGATTTAATTCTTATTTAAAAGGAAAAATAGTCTCGGCGCATCCTTTCGGATGAATTTCTCGGGATACAGCTGTCTGTGATCTTGACACACAAGTGCTCGCATCTTGTTTCGCTCGACAGACGAACTGTCTTAATCCTCGATTCACCGTCAGCGCGGAGAAGTAATAAAGGAGAAAAAAAAACAACTCTAGCGGTGATAAAGAAGAAAAAAGAAGTAGGAAGGAAGAAGAGGAAGAATTCTTTTGTCGTACTTTAGCACGACAGGTAAACTGTGAGAAGCGCAACCGAAGCCGCGGGGCTTCCACTCCGTTTCCGCCGCTGGATGCGCGCAAAAGACGTCTTTTTTCCCCTAAACCGCATTACTTTGTCTCTAACGAGCAACTTATTCGCTCTTCTCGAAACAAGATGTATCATATACGCAAGAAATAAAAAAAAGAAAAACAAAGAACATTCCGTATTAAGCCTTCGCTATGTCAGCTTCGAGAAGCTCGAGAGCGACAGAACAAATTGTCGATAATTATAGATCCTTTTTTTCGCTAACGATGATCCCGAATCTTTACATTTCATGAAACGAGCCATCGAGATTTTCCGCTTCTTCCTTCGAAAAATTAGGAAAAAAATTTCTCTACTTTGTCTCTGTCACTCTTAATACGAATAAGATGTACACATGCACATATGATTATATCATTATGTAATATTGTATATAAATATATAAAATTTTATATATATGCTTGAGAAAATCCGCAAAGTTGTCGACTTAATGCGCGGGTTTTACACCGGATAACATTGTGGAAGCGGTGAGAGCAAAGTTTCGGGCTTGTTATCGCCTAGAATCACACAATTCGATCGCGTTCCGCGTGTTCGTCCCGTGGAAGGAAGACGAGGCAAAGTCGCAGTAGCGAGAGATCTTGATGTAACCGGCGGGGCGCGACGGCGCTTCAATTACGGATGTATTTCACTTGTCTTGCGAAGGCGGCCTTAATACGCGTAGGAAATTTTGCAAGTGTCACGAATCAGATCCGTCTACGTTTGCATCCGAAAGGGTCGTCGTCAAGCCCGTAATTTGCACAATTAGCTGACATTTATAAGCGCAGGCTGCATAAAGCACACAAAGACGAGGTAAATGATTCGCACGCGCTAATGAATAATTTTCGATCTCTCCTCGCTCATTCTGACACAGTTCCCTTAATTTTTAAATTGGATGTTAAAAAAAGAGATATTTCACGATTCAGAGAAGCGTATTCTCTTTCGTCAATTTGGCTTCTCTTTGGAAAAATATCGATATGTATCGGAAAAGAAAGATCGCGTTTGCAAATTAAACTTCGGAAATTAATCACTAATCAAGATTCGTCCCGTATTTAATTTCAAGTAGGTTTTACCGTAATAAAATGTCATTAAAGTTTAAAATTAAAAGTGACTGAGGAAAAAGAACATTCTTTCGATCCCTGTCTTCCCCCTAAGTCTCTTCGTCAAAGAGACTATCGAGGGAGATTCCCCTTCGGAAAATTTCTCGAGTTTCCGACCTTACCGCGAAAGGACACCGGGAAGGACGATGGGAAATAACGTACTCGATAACTGCCATAATTGCGACAGATTCCTCATCGAATGCGGCCAGTTCGATATCCCTGGCGAGGCGGTCGAGCTGCTGCTGCGGCAAGGGCGTGGAAGGATGCATGTTGCGCCAGGTGTGCAACGCGATTACCTCCCCGTTAAGTGCGCATGGCATGCTCGACGCCTGTAATTATAGAAAGGCCAGCGATATTTAAATTATTCGCGAATAGTAAATAAGTTTATGCGAGAGCTTTGCCGTGTACTGGATTAACGGCTCTTCTCCTAGGATTGAAGAGTTACATTTATAGAAAGGGCAAGTCGAGCGCTGCTCTTAGCTTTTTCTCGAGTTGCAAAGTCGTCTTGGAATTAGTTACGTAAAGACAGAACTAAATACACTTTATGTATTATCTTGTCTCTATAACCGCCCCCATTTTACATCCGTCTTATATCTTGCGAGCGCATAAATAAGTTTTCGTTCTAAGGTTCACGCGTAAAATATATTTTCCTTTTAATCCCCGGATTTATTCGATATTCGCGAGAATTACTCCGAAATTAATTTCTCTCCTCTCGAAAACAGGGAGAACTGCCGAGGAAATCAATGATATTACAGCGCACATATCTGGATCAATGGCGTTTTATGCCAGTCGACATTTACCGCGAGAACAAAAGCGCACGTACTTTGCTGTTATTCGTTGGTATTAACGTTTCCGCGACAGTGTTTCTCGCGCGACGAGTAGGCGCGAACTCGGTTATCGAGCTTCTCTCGTAACGTTTGCGAAGGTCGAACGGCGTCGTGTCCGCCTCGAGATAATCGGAAGCGAGTGACGGGACGTCGTTCGAAAATCGATGCGGGTTTGCAATTTTTACCTTACGCCGTTTAACGAGGCTTTCTATTGTGCATCCTTCTAGATAGCCTCGTTTTCCACGAGGACGTATGAAAAAGTTCATTGAATTGAATCTCTTAATAAAAACACCCTTAGATATCTCGCATTTTTAACGATCTTTATTGGCAGATTCTTTCTATTGCTGCTTGCACGGAATAATCAGAAATAAGTAGTACATGGTAGAATAAAAATTTCAAGAAGCGTAAACATGTGTCTCAAAATTGTCCGGAAATTGTAGACAGCAATGCTATCAAAGTGCAACAGAGCGTTAAAGATGGTCCCGGGACGGGGACATTTAAATCGCAGTGGATGCTTGCCAAAAAGTTGGCGATAGCGCTATCGCTACTTTAGACTTTGCGGTTTGTTTTTTTTTTACAAGGAAACTCATCGCATTAACAATTTAATGTTTTTTTTTTCATTTTTATCGTAAAAGGAAATATTATGTAGTCGGAGTACGTGGCATTCAAAGATGTATATCTAACAATTTTGATACTCAAATCGCGCTTTTTTTTTACAAAATGATAATTATTAATTACACACGGATGAAAATTAAATTCTCATTCAATGTCGATCTCACGACACATCGTACGCAAAAACATTGAAGAATTAACACGAATAGTTAAGCGACACGCGTGATTTTTTCCACCCGTTCTCGGTTTTAGCGGTCGTAAAAGCGGTTATGCGTTCGAGCGGAAAACTTTGGTCCCCGTCGACGTCGGTTCATTTCAGGGAACGTGTCACAATAGTGTCACTATTGTTACACGACGCCTCGCGGCGGTATCCGATCCGCTGGAGAATAGGTGCTATAACGCGGCGAGGGAGGAGAGGGTCGTTCTTGCTCTCGGGATAGTAGGTGCTGGCTGACCCTACGCCACCGTCTCACGTGTGACCTGTTCCATAAATAAATATAGAAACGCATAGAAACGCGCGGTCTCGTTAACGGCGTGCTTCGGTATAACGAACACTGGCCTTAATTAGTTTGTTAATACGCTCAGACAACTCGCGCTGTTGTGTCAGCATACGCGATTCTGGAAAATCGCGTTAACAAGTTACCTCGAGACGTTGCAGCTCGATCTTGAGGACCTTGTCTCTGATTTAGGACGAGCGGTCAAAATTATGCGCCGGCAGAAATGACTCAACGACGAGAAGCGAGTCGAGTAATATCGATAAATATTGATCGCTGGAGACTCGAATCCTGAAAGTTAGTCGTTAAAAGTCTCGGTGCACGATTAAACAATGGTAACGGAATCTACGGCAGTCGTTCTCGCATTAACGCGAGTACTTTTAGCATTTATCGTATCCGAGGCAGCACGCGGTGGTATAACAGAAACGGCCATAATGCCGTTAAAATAACGACAATGACAGCTACGGGTTTGCCGCGTGCAGATAACCGCGTGGCGCGCGCGTGTCCGCATTCATCGCGGACAATGCGAGGGATCTTTTAAAAGAGATCTACTTCGCGCATCCGTATATAGGTAATACGAACAGTGGATGATGAGTATTAAAATCGCTTACGTCACTCTGTCCGCGATGTTCTCCGCCAAGTGGATAGGTAGGCCGCTCGCGATTATTCGCTGCCAGGATGCGTGTCTAATAATACGTAATGCACAATACTCGGCGTATCGCGCGATCGGACGTTGAAGTTCTTCGGCTCCCACGTGCTGGCGATATCGCGCGCGGAATATCATAGTTCTCGCATACACAGTAATAAATAAGTATACGATTGTACTCGCAAAATTGCTCGAGCAATCTTAAACACTCTACGACATTTTTTTCTTAATGCAAGAAGACGAAGGAGCGAACAGAATACATTTTTCTATGGCTCCGTCTCTCCTTCTCTCTTTAAGATATTTATAAAAATATACATATATATATATTTCATATTTATTTTATACTTTGCCAAGATTAGTCATAAGTTTGCCAATCGAAATGCGTTTATTTTTCGAATAATTTCATAATAACAAGAGAAAAGAATCGAAACTTGTGGGGAGAAAGATGTGAAAAGAAATGTGGAAAAGAAAAATTATTCTCCTTCTCGCAATGTTCTATCGTATATAAAAGCGATCGAGCTTCGTAACGATATTTATCCTGGAGGAGGATCTGTAAAAATGCACCGGCTCGCGTGCAAAATGTAAAAATAATGTTTCAACCGCGTGTAATAATGTAAACACTTTTATCGGCTATCGATTTCGGTCGACCTGCGCCGCTTCTTTTATTACGAGAGTATATATCGGGATACGTGATCCGAGATAGATTAGCGGCTAACTAAGTCTAAGTCGCGTTGTATTAACAAAAGTCTCTCTCTCCCTTCCTCTCCTCTCTGCCTCTCTTTCGATTCCCTTCGATCGGCTTTCACGGAATCGCGCATCTTCGTTGAGGAGACGCGTGAATCGAGAAAGCATTATTCACACCAAAAGACAAACGCTCGCGCGCGTAAAACATATTAACGACTAAATAGAAAAGAATAGCAGAAGGTCGTGATCCACTTATATACATCAATCTACTTATTACGAGGCGTTACAGCCAGCCGCCGTTGCGGCTATCCCGGCCCCGCTACACAGTCGAACTATAAATAAATTTTCCGATACGCTGCTCTTTTTGCCGATAAAAAAATGTATATATATATTCACACATACATATTCCTTCCTTGCACGCGCGTAAAGGCGCGCGTAAATTGCGCTGTGCATATTTTTACGGGCCGTCCCCGATCATGCACGGCCGCCGTTAACGTCAACCGATCTCCGGATGTAAAAAGTTTCCTCTTCGAGAGCATGCGCGCGGAAACCGCGTTTCGAAAATCGAAGTCTATCGGATAGCGTACCGAGACTGCCGTTAATAACCTTTGATATTTCATTAATGAAGAATATTTCTTTGTTCCCCGCTCCGGAAAGGTTACGAAGGAACGTAATAATAAAGCGGTACTTGTCGGACGCGCTAAACATTCGTCTCGAACAAGAGAATCGTATGAAAAGTATTGTACGTACTATTAACAAATATAATAAAATTTATCGCGACCTATATTTGCGTTCGCTTTAAAGAAAAAAATTCCGCTTTCAAAATTCAATTAATGTTTGATTGTATTAATATTATACAATCAAGCGTATTGATTGTAATATAAATTTGGTGATAAATTTAGGAAATAAATTGGACGGAGGCTTTGGCATAATCGTACAGTCGCGTATTAAGGATACATGTATCGTTCTATAGTCAAGTGGAAGATTTGCAGGATTATGAATTTAAAAAAAAAATATAAAAAAAAGAATTCCGATTAGGAAAAGAAATCGCATATCAATCGTCGCACACGCCTCGCCATTTTCCCAGGATGAAACAGGTGGCACTCGCTATTACCGCTGCGGCTTTTATTACATTTTGCTCGCTAGTAGACATAAATGGGACATGTCGATCGAATTACTTCTAACGCGCGCCATACCTGACGATGAGGTGGACTATATATCGGCGATAGCTCGGCGGCAGTAGCTAGGTCGGGGATGTCTCTTAAGAGAAAACGGTAGATGTATGTACAACCTAATTCGAGTATAGGAGTATAACACATGGTCGCCAACCAGGTATTTCTCGTCGATATACACGATGCATCGGAGAAGCATCCGCTTGCGATCCACTTTCCCACGGACGAGAATTTTGAGCTGGCTTTTCTTGAGCGCAAAAGACTTTGAGGAACGTTTATCCGATAACGTTTCACACACGACGTGAGAAGGCTGCAAAGACGAAATAAATAAAAAAAGTAATTTTGAATGAATTGAAAAGTAGTTGCTTTGCAATAAAAAACACGTTATAAGGGTACAATTAAAAATGAAAGGGTTGATAACGAGCGCTGGAGATAAGCGGGAGAATAAAGTTCGTCTAATCTTAAATCTTCTGAACACAAGTTCTCTAGTCTAAAAATAGATCAACTCTGAAGCTTTTCAGAATCTGCGACTGCGAGAAAGTGTGCGATTTCTGATACATTCTTTATAGTATCGCGCCAAAGCCTCGCCTTCGCGTCAAAGAAGAACGAAGCAAACATCTTTGAGATGCGTAGAATCGAGGTCGGAGCATTATTCTCTCTTTCTGTCGGAATAATAGGGGACCGACGAACTTCGTGTTTTTATTTCCTGATGGAACATCGCGTATAGCGAGCGATTCGCCGAGCGATCGCGATTAAAATACCTGTCCGTTCATACGATTTAAACTAGCGTTAATAGATTTTTTTAGAGCGTCATAAAATCAAACAAAAATAAATTTCCCTTCAACATAAGGCGTATACAAATACCGCGATTCTTTTTCGCATGCAAACATTTTCGGGAATTATATTTTTTTTTTCAAATTCGCCCATCACGCAGATTATACTGTGCAGGCAATAGAAAGATTTAGCTGATCTAAAGTTAACGAAATATTTTGCTATTCGATAAGGCGAAAATTGCATAAAGACTATTATCATTATCGCTGGAAGCTGTCATACTCAGCTGAAAGGTGGGACAGGCGACAGATTGTTATCGTGGATTATAATAGGTCTGTTCTCTCCTCGGCTGCCACTTTCCGCACTTGTCTACACTCCTCTTTCTCTCCTTTTTTTCCCCTCCCTCTCACGTTTCTCTCTGCCAAGCGTAAACTACAGTCGTTTCACTTAGAGTGCAGAAAGTGTAATAAAGTGCAGCTGAAAAGAAAGGATCTCCTAATGCGAGGTCGGGCCGAGGGAATTCAAAGCTTTCGTGCGATGTGACCGGAACTGCAATTGCAGTCTGACATCACGCGAAATGTTGCGTCCACCGATTCGATCTTCGCATTACAATTCCTGAGTATAGTATATCTATCGTTCTTTAATTTTAAGAAGCTATCGATTTATTTATCTATTTAAGCTCAAACAATTAATTATAAATCTTTCTGAAAATATCGTTTGCTATTAATAATCAAAAATAATAATCAAAATATTTTCGAGTAATGAGGAATACAAATAATTAACATGATATCGTAAGTAGACGCGAAATTGTCGTTCATGTTTTTTGACGTCTAAAAAAAATTTGATATTTCGATAGTGTTTCAGTGTCGGACAAAATTGGCAAATTTTGCTGGTGACTTGAGACAAAAGTGACATAACGGCGATGATACGATAAAAGTGCTATAATAATATTACGTAAAACCGGAAATGTGTATATTATCGGTGATACGCGATCGCGAGTCACAAATTACAAGCGGAAGCGCAACTCCGCCCACGATAAGGTAAACGTCATGTGTGTGCCTGCTTCAAGAGATTATTTTTATTTTTTTCTATGCATACTATGTATAATCGGTTCGCTTGTAATATTTGATATCGAATAAGATCGAAATTATTGATACGTGTGTTGTTTTTTATTGTTTCGCTATAATAATCGTATCTAAATCACATCTGTATTTATCAATAGTTGTATGACACGCAATCGCATAATTTTTTTAAAAGATTGAAAAATTTTATCCATTGTTCTCAATTTACATCACAAGTACTAGGAATGACATAAATAAATTAGACGAAAAAAATAAAATTACCATTCTTATGCAACTTCCTAGAATATATACAAGTGTATAATACGATTGCAATCAAGTATGATGATACGCAAGAACAGAAGCTTCAAATTTAAATATTCGTTCTAAAAAAAAAAATCGCCGAACGTCTATTAATTGATTACTTTATACATGCAATATCTCGCTTAATCGTGTGCATAAATACCCCGCGCCCCTCATCATACAGGTACACGCAAACACAAACCTGCAAGTCGACACACGTACACGAGCACACAGCCGCAGAAAAATAGCGACTCGGGTGCACGTTGTTTTAATGAAAAACGATATCCTCCGCTCCTTCGTCGGTTATTCTCGAATCCCTCGCATCCTGAAAAACTCTCACGTACCATGTCCCTCGTCAATAACGCGGAAAAATTTCGCGTGCATTTTTATAGATAAACAACCGACGCGACTTATCGCGTCCGCGGAAAGGGCGATTTCTCGCCGTCGTCGATTGTGTAATAGATTAACGAAAAGATCGCGCCATCTCTTTTGTAAACGAATCTCCCGGAGACGAATTAAGCTACGACGATTACAGCAAACGGATGTTGTTACGGAAACTTAGTTGCGAGTTTGTGGCAAAGTCGAAATTGATTAAGTGTACCTAGGTAAGGAAGCGCAAGGTAGTTAAAATGCAGACGATTATAACGCACGCGAGTGCATCTATATTGCATGTGATTTTTCGATTCTAACATATTCTTTAAGAAAATCATGAATAATTATGGATAATTATTCTCATGCAAGCATCTATACATGGACGGTGATACTTTCGAAGGATTGGCGTGGCGAGATCTTACTCTGAGTTAATGCGCTTCTCTTCTTGTTTTCAACGACGTTAGCACTTTTAAAAAAAAACGATCGCGTCTATTTATCTCGTTTCCATCGAGGAATCTTTAATTCAAAAGTCCCCTGACGCACTAAGAGAACGAATAAGTCGAGGAAGAGAGGTCCATTCTCCTCATTGCCAATCTCGCGGCACACCTAAGGGATGATTTTTTACAGAGCACTGCCGCGAAAAACACTCCCCGGGCCGAGAGAAGTTGTCGAAAGCGACCCCGCACTCCTAGAAATCACTTTACTCGACTTACCCCGACACGCACACGCTCCGATTCCGGATTGATTTCACCCGAGGATACGCACCCGCCGTAATCGCGTTATTTAAGGTTCTCGGCCCGAGCCGAGCCGAGCGAGAGACACGACGCGACGCGACTAGAGCCTAGATAGCCCCGAGAAAGTAAACCGTCCCGAGGAAAAGTAGGGTGGCTCGTCCGGCGGCGTGCTCGTTTGCCGTACCCGCCCAACACGAGCGAGACCGATCTCTCGGCTGTACGAGGGAGATCCGAGACGCCGGCCGATAATCGCGCTAGGATAACGAATAGAGGAAGAAGGAGATAACGAGAAAAGACGCACGCACGAACGAACGCACGCACGCACGCACACACAGGGGAAAAAGAGGGAGAGGGCCGCCACCTTCTACACCCCCGAGCTATACTCGCCCGTGTCGAGTGCGTCACGCATCCTCTCCTGATGTTCCTGGAGCGAGGCGGCGAGAACGGATGCGCGAACGAGACGAGGCGAGATGATGCGATACGAGACGAGATGAGACGAGACGAAACGAGACGAGGCGAGGACCGATCCTCCCTCTGCGAGAGCGACCACCCCTCGGTCGGCGCGGTTGCGAGCGACCGTCGTGGGATCCTTCTTTCTCGCGAGTCGCGCGCGCGTTGCGAGCTCCGCTTTTCCGCCGTGCGTCTCGGCCGGAGGATCGCGCGGGGGATGATGGCAGCGACAGCGGTGAGGGCGGGGGAGGGAGAGGGCGGATGAGAGAAGGCGCTCTCGCACTCACATGTCTGTCGTGTGTAATCGGCGCGCGCGCGACGTGCCCTCGTATCACCGACGACGGGACCCGCGCGAGGACGAGCACCGGTCCGGGCGCGCGATCATCGCGAAGACGACGGCCCGAGAAAGGGATCTCCTCGCTACTTGCTGCCGGCGAGGATCGTTGCTGATGCTGGCTGCTGCTCCGCTTTGTGCGATCGACGACGACGGCCCGTCGTCGGGGAGCGACGATCTACCTCGCGCTGCGCGTGGAAGCCGTTAGGCTGTCGCCGACCGACTGACAGCCGCGTATACGGGTACATGCATGGTTTAACGCGGTCCGACACGCTTAGGGTGGGACGCGACACACATTCACGCGTGCTTTAGGCGAGAGAGAGAGAAAGAGAGAGAGAGAGAGAAAGCAGTTAGATAGGGGTGGCGAGACGAAAGGGTAGATGGGATCCAGTGAAAGAGATCGAGATTTCGCTCGGAGAATGTAGGGAGAAAAGAGAGAAAAAGAAAGAAAAAAGCATAAGGGAGATAAAACGAGAAGAGAGGATGCGCATAAGAGAAGCCGCGTTAAACACAGAGGGTTGCTCCATACGTAAATCGTGAGCTCGCCGATGATGCTGACGCGGGATCGGAGGAAAGACTGACTGTGATGGTAGTAGTAATGGTAGTGGTGGTGGTGAACAGAGAGCGCTTCTCGAACGAGTAATTTAACCCCGTTCTCTCTCTCTCTCTCTCTCCCTCTCGGGCAGTTTTGCTTCAACTTGGTCGAGGGATGCGAGAGAGAAGAAAATGAAAAGGGTGCGAAAGAGAGAAACGAAGAAAGAGAGAGAGAGATTGAAAAAGCTCGTATGTATGTGTGAAAGAAGGAAAGAGAGAAAAAGAAAGCGATATTAGATATATAGCAGAGGTGGGAAGAGAGAGAGAGACTCTGAGGGAGAAAGGAGCAAGTAAATGTGCGTATACATGCCTAACCCAGTGTACGCTTGTGTACGCTACGCGAGTGAGAAAAGGAGGGGAGAGCATGAAAGAGAGAGAGAGAGAGAGAGAGAGACAGAGAGAGGGAAACGACAAACGGCACTGCACTCCGACAACCTCCGCGCTGGGAGGCGCACTAAGGGCGTGGGCAATCCGCGAGCGAGCGAGCGAGCAAGTAGATCGGTGCGAACAACGGTGAACTACATTGATTTTGATTTTCGAAGGCGCGCGCACTTGGCGCTCTCTCTCTGGATCTGCCCATTCATGCCGCTTAGTTACCGAGGACATTGGTCCTGTCCTGTCCGCCCGAATTCGGGGGTACCGCGAAGGATCTTTGGGACTTTAAATGCGGGACTTTAAATTCCAAACGTACGTTGCAATATACGCAATATATACGCGAATAAAAATTGCGCAATTGTCAATCTTAACACATTGATTCGATAATGTAGTATTAATTTTTAAGGCGTTTAAATTACTTATAAAACAATGATACTATCGTTCACCACGTCGCAAAATACTGTCGGTTCTTTTTATGAGAAGACTGATTTCTTTAGCCCGTTCTTAAGGAAATATTTTATAAAAGAAAGATGCGGAGAGAGATAATTTTTAATGACACTTATGCACGCAATTATGATTATTTACATGATGATGTAACTAATGAAGTAATTGGAAGGAATAAGGCTTGATATATCGGTCGTTCTCATACAGAAAGAACAGATTAGATTATCATCCACTATCTCAAGATCTCATTTATTAGACATAACATCTAATAATATAGATATATTTAATAAGTAGAGAAGTCACTTGTAATGTCGCACGATACGTCGCGCAACGATATTAATTTCGAAACTTACATGAGGCGGTACCAAATATACGAAGAGAGAACAGAGTAAAACTGTGCATATCGGGACACACTTCTTTCCCACTGCGTAAATTCGTCAATGCTGCCACAGAAAGTAAGCATTCGCGCAATTGTGTCTGATTGCGCACATTGTTCTACTTAGCAATAAATAAATATCCTTTAAAATGAATTTTGATCACATAAAATATCCGAAGCCGAAGGTACGTTTTATGGCGTCCCAATAATACCTATCCCAATTTTCCTTCGTAGAGATCTCCTCGCTAAAAATTGTGAGATTTTTGCATAATAATTTCGATCTTATCGCTCAACAATACGGAGAGGCAATATCGAAAAATCAATATTTATGTTTACCTAAGTGGAACACCAGTTTGCGTCAAAATGACCTCGGTATGATCGTTCTTCTCGCAGATATCGATTGTTACGTTGCTAAAATGTCCGGATGGCCATTGTTTACAGCGCCATTTTTGGATGATCTTGGTCGGTGTAATTTCCACAAATTCTCCATGAATATTACCACCAAACAACTCAAATTGACCATGTTTCTTTGCCTCTAATTTAACCGGGTTTCTCGTAAAGGCTTGTACCATCTATAAAAATTAAAGACCCCATTGCAATTACTTGTGACTTTGTTTAAACTAATGAGTCATGATATCTCAGTAATCTGCAATTATTACCTCAACTGATGAGAGGACATTGTAAAACTCTTCCGCCCTACACTGAAACTTAACATTTTGCTTAATTGTAGTGGTTGAGATTTTACATCCTACTGTTTCATGATTGTTTGCTGGTGTTATCGCAGTATTCATCTGCATCTGAAAAGAAAAAAAATTGTTGCATTTATAATTCCTTTACATCATAGACATATTTTGTTACCTTAACATTAAAACCAGATGTTATATTTGAGATATTTTCCTTTATATTATCTTTTTTGGGAAGTATCATTCCTTTCGTAAATTCTGTAAAAAAGAGAGAAATAAAATTATACATAAACGCTCTTAAAATATAATACTTTAAATCATAAAAATTAAAAAATTATCTTATCTTACCTTCTTTTAAAGAAGATATATATTTTTTCAATTTTTCTCTTATTGCATCCTTCCCTTTTGTATGCAAAAATTGTTTTACTTTTTCCCCTTCATCTGTACTCTCTTTTAATGTAATTTCAATCTAATTAAATTACAAAACAGCATCAATATAATTTCGATGTAATGGATTTTGTTTGCATACACACAATTATGTGTATGTTTACATAGACACAATTTAATAAAAAATATTTACATCTACTTCGCTGATGTCATTTTCCTCAGAAAGATTAGGGATATTAATTTTACCCTCAATTTGCTCACTTGAATTCTCTTTTGATGTCCATTTAAGCACAATATTCCATTCATAGAAGAAAATAAGTTTTCCTTTCCTATTATTTGCTACTGCTTCGCCTTCACATTTTTCCATTTCAGTTATTTTACACAAAACTACAAATTAAATAATATTCATGAAAAATATATATATGTAATTATAATAATGAAAATATAAATATATAATATAAATATATAAAAATAAAAATATATGTATTACTCAAAATTTTCTCTCCAATATTTGACATTTATTTATATTCACATACTATTTAACTATATGTACCTCCATCTCCTTTAATTTCGGAATTTACAAAAAGTTCCTTTAACTTTTCTTGTGACCATGCACAGGCATTTTTTTCTGTCCTGTAATATAAAATTTTTGTATAAAATAATAATATAAATATATCTTATTCTTGTAAATCTATCAAAGTTTTAAAGTATATATATATATATATATATACTTTAAAACTTTGATAGATTTACAAGATAGTATTACAATATAAGGATTTGGATATTAGTGACTTAAAATAGATAGAAATAAAGATATATTTTAATTATCATAAAGTATAATTATATTTATTAACATACCAATGCCAATTATTGACATTAGTTGCATCAGGCCTTTCTTCTACGATCCAACGTGGATCACCTTCGCCCCATTTTGCCATGCTTCTAAGTAGTAACTAAGACGCCAAGAACACAGGCAATACTCTAGAACTCAACAGAAAATTCAACCTATAATACTAATTAAAATCATGGAAGAAAGTTTTTCAAATACTTTAGTTGATTCCAAGAAGATTTATATAGATATAACCTACAACTTAAATAATGACACAGCGATTTTCTGTGATGCTATTGCTAATAAATATCTCGTCGGTAAGACGAGTTTAAGATTTTTGACAAGTATGAATTGTTCAATGTTGAGCTACTTACTACTGTTAGAAAAATGCTTCAAGACTTGGATGTCCGGTCGTGTTTTTTGTGACAGTTCAGTCGACAACGTTTCAAAGGTTGTCTCGTATATGTTTTGACACGAGACTTCGCCAAAGAAGTCGAATAACGTTGACAGAATGCGTGATCAAGTTAATAATTTCGATGATACTGGTATTCTTCGCGAATTCCTCTGCAACGTCGAGATTACCGTAAGGTCAACTCGACACATGAAACAACGCGAACTGAAAAGCGTTCTCAAGAATTCTGGAAACTTCAGGCATGAAGCATGCGATGATATCAAGATGACGTCTCACATGCGAATTTTGGATGGCGGTAAAAAAAGTTACTAAACGATCTCTAGGAACTTCTCACCGTGGACAAGCTCTATTTGCAATGATCCAACCAGTAACCACGTGCGAGTGCGACATCTTAATATTATCTTGTCTATGCTTGAGATATTCAAGATGTCTTGAACGCGCGCCTTCGATTCTTCGCTTCGCAAATAATTTCGGAGAGTTTATAAAATGCGTAAGTAAAAAGAGAAGCCTCTTGTATTGTTCATTTGCAGACAATATTCTTCGAAATTAAATTTTATCAATATATTTAATAATTTATAACGATTTTCGTTATAAACGCAAAGTTCTCTTGATAAGATTACTGCGTTTCAAGTTTCGATATATCTATATAAAATCGTCTGACTGAATTTTTCGAATGCTTATCTGCGGATAATATTTATTCTCGATGTCTTAATTTGTCGATAATTTTATTAATAATATTAGAAAGTTTATGATATTTATTCCAAGACACGTTTGCATCATCGACGGGATATACTATATTCATGCTACTATTCACACTAGAGATTTAGAGATGCTACTACATTACAATCGCATAAAAAAAGTGTAGCATATAAATTATTATCGGAAAATTATTATCGAAAAAAATAAAGATTTTCTCAAATTTTCCTCAAATTATTTATTACGCATTATAAATAAAATAATAGTTGTCATTATCATGGCAAACATTTCGTTCATGTTTGTTCTCCGAACGAAAGATCATCCGCATTGTCCGTTACATCATTTATTCGGGTCGCATAACTCGAATGCCCGCAAAGTATTATTCGTTCTAGCATCCGACAACTTCGCTAATTACTCGATAATTCGATTGCTTGCGAAACACGATCGAGCTCGTGATGTATTTATATAAGAATTGTCTTTACAATAATAGTAGTTAATCTTTTCGGAATGCGTTTAAAGATCGGTGCTTAACCACGAAAGAGTTAAGGCCTTAATATCTGTAGCCTTCATCCTGTCCTCCCGGTCCTCCTGGCGCGGGATAAGTCGCGGTCCCTTCGTATCGTATCATCGGCCGATATCCGGCCTGATCGGCGACGTAGTCGACAATCTGGGTCCTACCGTCCGGTAGTAGCACGTGATAAGTCCCGGTGGCTTCCATGTCCTTCCTCATCTCGCGATGACCGAAGTCCAGACCAGCCGCCGCGTCTTGAACCTCGTACGAGAACTCGTAGTTTGCCGGATCCTACATCAATTTTATTAAGAACGTTCGATCACGCTTTCGGGGAAAATGTCGTAAAAAATTATATTTCAGGAAAATAATAAAAAAACATATTGAGATAAACTTCCGATGAATCGTGTCGTTTTTTTGTTTTTTATTATTATCAAAAATTTTTTTTCTTGTCCGAAAATACCGTAATACATACTTACACCGGCCCATTCATCCGGATGACCGGTCCCCCCTCCTCCTGCAGCTGGTCGAGAGCTGGGTGGAAGATAGGCCGGGCCTTGCGGTTCGTTCCGAACTCCTACCAAGACCATCGCTAAAAGTACCGCCTGTTCGAAAGAAGAGCGTGAAAACTTGCACAAGTTTAACGAAAAAAAATCTTATTTTAACAAACTAACGTGAAATGATGATTCTACATAACGGTAAGAATAATTTTACGCGCACGTTTCATTCAATATAATAAAATAACTCACAAGAATAAAAATAGAACAAAATAAAACAAAATTTTAACACAAATAAAAGCACCGTACATTAATTTATACATGTCATTGAATATTTCGAATTTTGTGTATTTCAGAAATTTATTTAATGTTTTATAAATTTGTTTATAAAACATTAAATAAATTAAATTTTTTTATATCTGCATCATGTAAACAATATTTTAAAACTTTTAGTTGTTGTTGGTATTATTATTGAATTATTATTGATAGATAATTGTTGAAAGTCGATTATTATTGAAAGATAATTGGAAAAAAATTCTTTTTTTAGGATTCTAGCTTGTAAATGTTTTAACGAGAAGTGCTTGTAACAAGTACCAACCTTCCGAATCATTAGCAATTCGGTGAAATTCTACGAGCGTTCACAAAACTGAGATGACTCGACGCAAACGATTCGGTTTTATAGCGACCAATTCGATCGTGACGAAGATGGAGATGGAAAATGCAATAGTTATTTCGAGAAGCTCTCTCTAATGCGATCGTAAAACCTCTAATTATGGTTAATAATAAAACCGCAGATTTCTGGAGGCTCTAATCATTCGTTCGACATAATTGCAACAGTTCCTGATTCTATGCAATGCTATTATTATATCAGACATACAAAATCGCGTCTCTTCCTCTTAATTGTAATTTTAGAGTAATTTAATAACTGGACATATTCACGTGTGTTATATATTTCGGAGCTAAATATAACATCTTTCAATTAAAAAAAATATATATATATAAAATTTTCCGTGAAATTTATCATGTACAATTACTTATAAATTTATTTGTTATTATAAATTAATTTTTTATTTATTAATTTATATTACTTATTATACTATATTAGATATACTTATTATACTCTATTTAGATATATTTTAATTTTGTTAAATTTGTTAGATTTGTTAAATTTGACATGAAAATCGCGTTTGGCAATTCCCCACGACTGATTTGTTAATAGATTGGGGTTACCATGTAATTTACACGAGTCTTACCCAACAGATAACAATAAGTTAAATTAATAATTCTCTTTTTGATTGCGTCACCGTTCATCCTCTTAGATAGACTTGCGGCAACGTTTAAACATTGCGAAGTATCGCTAGATATCGTAATAGATATTGAATTAATATTCTAATAAACGGTACTATATTTCAGCCACGAGATAAGTTGGTTACTATCTCGTTATTAACTTTTACTTTTTTTACGAATATTTGAAGGTAAACATGTTATATTAAAAATATCTCAATTTTTATTTTTTATGAGTATTTAAAGATTAAAAAACATCATATTAAATATATCTTAAATTTGATGATAGATATATTAATTTAAAATTTAAAGTTTAATTACGATTGCGCGTAACAATAATAAACATGACTAATTAATATACTATGGATAATATATATAATTGACTTTCAAGTTTATCTATTTCAAATTCTGTCTCGACTCTAAAAATATGCAAATATATGTTTATGTATAGAGATATATCTTAAAATATCTAATTCTCTGTCTAAATGTTTCGTGTCTTTATGTAAAGATTAACTAAATTGATGAATATTAAAAAACTAGGTATCAAGATTCGTTATTTATTTTAATTGAGAATCTCATCTTAAAGACATAAAAATGTAAATCTCTCTCTTCCTCTCTAATCGAGAAAATTTTCTAATTATAAAGGAACTCTAAATATATTCAATGACATGTCTATAAAATAATGTACAACGCATACTTTAATCTCTCTGTTAAAGTTCTTTCAAAACATTATTATCTTTAGTTTTTCTAAAAAATCAATTTAATAGCACAGATATCTTATCTTTAGTATCGGATGATACAAATATTTCTTTGAAATCACGTCAAATCAAGTGCGAAGCACACCTATTTGATAAGTCTCGTGTGCGCGAAAGTAAAGTACTAAACTGACTAAAGAATTATAGAATATTATTACCACCAAAATCATTCAACGAAAACGCTCGAAATATTATTGTAGCGTACGTGCTTTTTTAAATAGAGGCGCGGCCTTGACCGCTACAGCGACGCCGAAAGCGCGCGACCTTCAGTTCGATTCGAGCTACCCTCACGGTCGGACGTGTTAACGTGACGTGTCGCGCATTCGTCGCGAGTCGAGTGATAGACGTGCGGGTAAGACGTGTGTGATATCAAAATCGATCGATTCAACGATCGGAACAATGTGCGAGCATCGCGGACTGTGATAAAAGTGTGAAACTTCCAAATTCGTACGATCGCTGCGTCGTAAAATGTCGATCCAACGCGGAGACGTGAAAATTGCGCAGTCGCGACAGGTCGTTTGTCGTTGAATCAAGTTTTTTCCGGGCAAAATTGTAAGCTCATCGCGAGTGAAAAGTGCGTATCGATATTATGTGCGTCGCAATAAGTGATAATCTGCAAAGATACATCGAGAATTTTCAAAACGAAGCTCGGGATAATTCCAGGAAAAAGACTAGGTTAAGAATACGAAGTGAACTTTGCCGAGAATTTCGATTCGGGAGCGAAGGTTGAAAATATCGCTCGATTATTCGCGATATATGACTTAAAGTAAAGCATGTAAACGTCAGTGTATATTAATTAAATTTCCGAGATTAAATATCGTCTGCAAGTGAGCAATAATAGTCGTGTAATATCGTGTAATATTGTGTAATATCGGGAGTTGAAAAGTGTCACGTTTACGCGGACTCCTTTTCAAATATGTCGGTCGCATGCGCGTTTAATCTTCGCAAAATATGTCGGTAATATTATCAAGAATTTGCCGAAACGTACTCGATAAATTCGTCGTCGAGTATATTTTTTTCCGACTAAATAATACAAGTGTATATCGCGTCGCGAGTGCTGTGTGTGAATGGAATGTGAATTGTGAATGAGAGACTCGACGAGGATAAACATCTGGGTCGTCGCGGCTGGATTTTCCCCCTCCTTCCCAGTTCCAGGAACTAGGCGAGCAAAAGGTAAACAAAATTTCTTGGAATCGAAACGTTATCTCTTCCTCACGATTTTCCACGTATTTAACATAAAATAAATTTGGTAACACCATTCATCTTTACTTTTTAAAGTAAATGGATTATTATCGCGTACATTGATTTAATAGATATATCGAAATTTTTTTTATCTATACTTCTATATATTTCTTAATATTTAATTAAAATATTTTTAAGATAAATTTAATTAAAATACTTTTTTTTCTCACAAATATGAAAATTTACTAATTTGACAGTGAACTTATCGTGAGGAAGAGATCAAAACAGTTATATATATTATATTTAAAATGTAAGAGAAAATAATTTATATATATATTCTTTTCTTCTTGCTTTTCAAATAATATCAGAAAAGAATTTATTAAATAATGAGTAAAAGAAATATATATCGCTATAGATAAATGCCGTATATAATCGTAATTAAAAAACAAATATGCAAATATATAAGAATAATTTTTGTTTGCTTGTAATTTTTCTCAATTGTTTAATTTTTATCTTTGGCAAAAATTAAATATTATAATTAAAAAAATAAATATTAAATTAATAAATTATATATTTATATATTTATACTCTAATTTTATTACAGCAATTATAGTGAAATAAATATTGAAATATTTCTCATTTATGCTAATTCCATTAGACAGTTAAAGGAATACTGGATAAAAATGGGATAAAAAAATAATGTTTGACGCAGTGTTTATTATTATTTATTTTTATCATATTATTTATATACGGCATGTTTATTATTATTGTTTATATATTCTTTTTATCTGTTAATTTATAATGATGATAAAACGAATTAAAGAGTTGACTTAAAGTTGATTATACACTGAGGAAAAAATTTTTTTGAATCAAATAAATTTGTTTTCTTGAAACTTTTGCTCTAAATGGAAGGAATTGTTTATTTCATTTAAGCAAAAGCATTTAATTTTAATTAAATATACATGTTATATTACGTACATTATTTTCATTTGTATATTTTTTATATTTAAATACTATTTTCGTAAAATATATACTATAATTTATTAAATTAAATATATTTTTTAAAATTAAAAAATTTAAAATTTTTGGGAATAAAAAATGCATTTTAATAAATATTTTGTAAAATTAAAATATAAAAATATTTAATTAAAAATTATATTTTTTTAAGCATATATATTTTTTTAAACATATGTAAATAAATACTTAACTTAAGCAAACAGACGTTTTGAATACAAGTAAATACGTGATTAGTACCCACCGAATAAATAGCTTTCTTGAGTTAATTAAAATTTTTTTATTTCAAGATAACTTTTTCCTCAGTGTATGTAAAAATTTTGTTCGTTCGGAAAAAATTAATTTCTCTTACATTCTTGTTATATAATTCATGGAATATATTGTGCGTATTGAGATTTTTTAATTGGAGTACATACATTTCGATGTCATAATATAAGTCTTGTACTAGCACTAAACGATGAATTAAATAAGACTGCTACATCGATTTTAATACCGCGTGATTAATCACATATTCGTTTTGCAACGAGCACAAATCGATGAACATATATTTTTTGGTATAAATTTTAATACGATTACATATGTAACGCTCGCGTGATTAATCACTTATTCGTTTTGCAACGAGCACATCGATGTGACATATCTTTCGATAAAATTTTAATACGATTACGTCTACCTATACGTTTGTATAAATCTGTGCGTTAAGTACAAAATACGTTACAACTTTTACGTAAAGCAGGATATAGTCTCTATACAAGTTCGACTTGATCGAATATTTAGCGAACCAACACTCGTTAATCTTTGGCAGCTCTAGTTTGTCTTTCCTTTCGCCTTGAAAGATAACATACGTGATCAAGAGAGGGAATTATCTTAACTTAACAAATTTCATTAAAAGCGCGGAAATCATTTTTTTTTATTTTGCTTAAATTTTAATTTATCATCAAGTAATTGAACGGAGATAAATTTTATAATTTAAAAAATCGTCGCAATTTCGAATATAAATCCGTGATCGAAAAGTTTCAATCTCGAGTATTTTACGCTTCGTGTAATATGTAAATATAATATATCGATAAACTTGTCAAGAATTGAACGAAATATGTACAGACCTCTCGGGCTATAAACTTTATATCATGAGTATATCCTGAGGAAATATAATCTACGCTCCTCAAACGTCTATAATACTGTTTCGTTTCTTTTCTACGTCCGCGGAATCCAAATCGTTGCCGAGGCTGCCGACTCGGCCTCTCAATCCGACACCACCGCCGACTTGACCGGTCGCTTTGAGCTTCTCTTGCATCTGCGCCAGGATATCTTGCATCCTTCGTATCTGCGAATCGCGAACGTGAGTCGATAGCGAGATAGCGCGAGTAGATACATACATAAGGAAATATTTTGTAAAAATTAAATTGCAAACGCACGATCATCCTAAATTCTAACACTCTTACCTCCTCGTCCTTTTGTAAAAGAAGTCTGTCGGTGTCGGATATACTGTTCTCGAAATGCGGTCCGGAATCTCTCTTTAGTTTACTATAAAAAGAAAGAAAAAAAACCTCGATTATTCATCCTCGATTATGAAAGGGATATTATAAACTATCTATCAAATGCAATCGAAGCGTAATATAGAAGGGATATCGTGCACTTTTTTACTAGAAAATATCAATTTCACAACATTGTTCAATTTTCGTTAGAAGGATTAGTACAAAATTAATTTCCGATTTAATTACCATACGACATCAAAATCATCGCAGACTATTAAATAACTAATAGTTGAAAATTATTGCGGATGCTTTAATAATCATGCAAAGCGTACGGGATGTTCGAAAGCACATCGAACTCTCTTTGAAGAGAGCCAACCTATTCCATTAATTATTTATGTTTTATATTTTAATGTCAAAAATATTTGCAATGCTAAATTAATCTTTGAAAGTAATTATTTTTAATTACATTACTTGGGAAGTATCCCGTACGCATTGCGAACGCGCGATACGCGTTCGTTTTTATATACCTACTGAAAAATGCAATATTTATTTACATGCGTAAATACCTCCGTTCCCGAATCGCTTGCTGTGAAATTTGAGAAATACATTGGGCCCGAAAATTCTCGTAGTGAACGTCCTGCGTGACGTCCTTTAGATCCTGCATATGCGTCGATATTAGCATGGTCCTTAGTTTGACGAAGTCACTGTGCTTCGGGTTCTCGACTATGATCAATCAGAATCGAGACGTTAAAGATCGAGCATAGGAAGGCGAAAGCCAGAGAAGCACTTAATGCATTCAACCCCTTCAGCTTTCGAATATGCTAATTGAGTTGTCGCTGATTGAATATATATTCGTCGAAAGGTTTAAGCTTCAGAAGCTCTTTTGCCAATTACGACTTTAATTCCTAACTGTTTTCATTTCGGCTTCGTTTCCTACTTGACAATTCGATCGAGAAGCTGGGTATTCTTCTAATAAGAGACATCGAGCACATTAAAAATCTCTGTGTTCTGAATCGGCGATTCTTTTGAAGCTATTGCACCAAAGTGCACTTTCGATTCTTTCGCAAACACTGCTCATTAGCGAGGATTTATTTTATAATGATAATTACATTGTGTCTTTCGACGATTGAACAAATTTTCGTTGCAAACGTGAGACGTTAATTTATTTTCGAAACAATATAATGCAGCGACGTGAAAAAATTGATTTTTCAAAATTATATTATACTTACCCTCGCAATGGGTGGAACGAGTACAATCGAAAAATATTAATTTTACGTAGAATATAAAAGTTCACCTTCCACTACGCCCCACGGATATTGTCGACCGCGGACTTTTCTCCCAGCAACTTCCAAGACCGTCGAGCTTCCGACAATCGCGAACGGTATACAGGCTTTTAACTCTTTATCTTGCTGCTTGAATTCTTCGTCCTCGTCGCTGTCGCAATCCGGGAATTGATATATCTATGTGCGAAAAGTTATTTATATATCGTACACACAAACCGTGTAGGATTTTATACTGGGGATATTATAAAATTTACGTCATTAAAAATTAATAATCAAAATATTAAAGTTGAAATTTTGTAACGTTACCTGAATCTCGTGCTCCTCGATATCTGCCAAAATGCGTTCTTTCAACTTTTTCACCTCGTGAGTGGTTAAAGTATCCGCTTTCGCTATCACGGGAACGACGTTAACTTTTCGATGTAAACGCCTTAATACCTCGAGATCAATTTGCCTAAGACTGCAAAGAGATAAACTCGGGATTAAAGTAAGAAAATTGAACTCGTATTATATTAAAATTTCATTAATTGCTATCGTGCGAGATAATTATTTTTCAATACGTAGTATAAATTAGAAATGTCGAGTTGAAATGTTTGAATGTTATCACATACCCGTGACCATATGGCGGTATAAAATACAGACAACAGTGTACTCTGTTATCTTGAATATTTTTTCTATTTAATCCACTTTCATCCGTAAAATATTGGCGAAATTGTTCGTCTATGTAAGCCGAACACGCTTTCCACGTGTCCTCGCAATTTACCGCATCCCCGAATCCTTGAACAGTATTATTACTTGTAACATATTTTACAGAAAATCGATATATCGTTAATATTTATAAAATTGCAATTTACAAAATTATTTTTTACTTGTATATAAAATTATTTTCTTTTATTTATAAAATTCCTTAAACAGTATCCTTGCAATATATTTTAAAGAAAATCGATATATCGCGCGTATATTTATAAAATTGTATTTTATAAAATTAATATCGTTATTTTTACAAAATTATTTTTTATTTGCGTACAAAATTATTCTTTATTTATAATATTAAATCAATGTCTGTTATTGACATATAGAGACGATGTATATTTAATTTGTTTAGTCTGATCGTACGAAAAAAGGAAAAAAAATATGTTACATCTAAAAATATATAATAAAAATATATTTTTCTCACCTGGCGTATCTACGATCGTTAAACGGAGCCGAACGCCGCGCTCTTCTATATCCATTGTCTTTTTCTCGATAGAGGTAGTCTTAGCCACGCGCTCTGAAAGAGTATACGATGAATATTTATCGATTTCTCGTCGAGATCGGGACGAGCAGTTTGCCAACGATGCAAGCTGATCAAATATTTTTCGCGTGTCAATAACTCGTGGAGAGCGTGCGGAAGATACATATCGGAGAGGGCGACCGTCTGCGGGTTGACGTTTACGCCCCCATAATTACCGATTCCGATTATATCGTCGAACATAACGCTCGATCGAAGAGATTGATCGATGACGAGACAATGATTTTTTTGTCTTATCGATAATTTTCCGCATATGTTTACGAGTAGATTGCGAAAAATAAATTACACGCACCTGCCGCATCCGGAATTCGTCGGTCTTTGTATAGATCTCCGAGAAACAGACTGTTTATGAGCGTCGACTTGCCGAGGCCGGTCTCACCCAACACCATCAGGGTGAACTCGAAGCCTCTCTTCACCGATTTTCGGTGCACTTGCTCCGGTAGCGTCGCGAAGCCGATATAATCCCTGTCTTACTGAGCGAAACAAAAGATGATTAATATCGCAACGTCAATATTCCATCGCCAATTAAATCTCGCGATAGAAATATTAAACACTCAAAGAATCAATCGCGTTTTGCGGGATTCAAATTCGTGGAGGGATATAAAACTCGCAAGAGCGTAGCCCCGTAAAGTCACGTATATCGAGGTTGCATTTCGTCCGATGTCAATAAATATCGCGTCTCACCCCTGCATAATTTACATCACGACGAGCAGAGCCAGCCGGCTTCTCGACATCGACTCGAGGAGAGGAACGATTTCGCGTCTATCGAGATCAAACTACCGAGATTAAACTAAGATAAAAACACCTCTTTTTTTCTCTCCGCTTTTCTCTCAATAAAACGTTTACGTACCACCGGACATAATGGCAGCATCTAAGGACGCTTCGATGCGACGACCATAAGCATAAACGTCGACCAAACGCACTAAGGCCGAGGGCGGCTCGTGAATGCCTCGGTTCGTCCGGTCGACTTGCGCTGGCGCACTGTCGACCGGCCGATCAATAGTCGGTCGTGCTCTCCTACGAATGCACTTCTCTCGTCGGGCTGTGCACGCCGAGGGAGAGGTTATAAGCCCGAGCCGGGCGTGTATGGCGCGTGCGGAATAAATAGCAACATTATCAGCGAGCCCGCTGTTTCACTAACGGTTGTAACAGACGGAAGAACGGAAATGACACCGCTTGACGCGGCGGCCCTGATTATGTGCGCTGATCATACGCATAGCAAGTAACACGGCACTCGTGAAAAAATTATTATTACCGCGTGGTCCTTCGGAAATAGAATAATAAAATATTGGGATATAGAGGTATCGAAATAAATCGAGCTCTTTGATGAAATTTGATCGAAATTCTTACATTACCTTTAGTAATGTTTTTTTTTCATCATCTTTTAATTGCGGTGAAGAAAATATAAATATATTTATATATGAAATAAATATGCGTTTATTTACATTGATGCTAAGTAAATTTTATAATTTGCCATGTTGACATTTAGTGCAATTTTAGTATTTCGTGAGAATGCGATAAATTTTCGAATTTTCCGGATTTGTGTCAACAATCGCCCATGATTATTCGTAATGATCTGCAAAAGCGCTTGACAACGTGAAATTTATTACATTTGTACGTTTTCTCTGACTTTAATCTCGATTAATTAATAATTGTCAATTATTTACCCGTAGCGATAATGAATTATTCGAGTATTTAAATGATGTGGCTGTTCTTGATGCGACATGGACGGAATTTAATAAAAAAATAATTTATTGCAAAACAACAAATCAATATTTAAAAAAAGGTAAAAAATTCGTTGGTTTGGACATTCCCAAGAGAGTCCATTCGTTGGGATTCGTCAGTTTTTATCTTTATTTTTATATACGACATTACATCGTTAACGTCGTCTTTGAAGTCTCAGAAAATTGGTGATCTCTGATGAATGTTTTCCGGAACGATATCCAGAATATAATTCTTGCCGCGATTTTCCGTCTTTATCTTGATAGCGTGTTGGTTCTCCTCGCTCACGAGCACGCACGAGAAGGACGTCAGCATATTGACGAAGAGCTCATAGCTCAGAATGTCCAGCTTCCTGACTTCCTCGCCCTGAACGTTGCGGCGTACAGAAAGTGAGGAACGATTCCGCGGCCGCGTTACGTTTTTCTCGCTGACGTGGATGACACTCGGAGCTTTGTCCGTGTCTCACGTTTTAGCGATACCGGTCTTCCTCACGGTCGAGCTGACGGCCTTCACAATGATCTGTACGCTGTTCAACAGCTGCGTGAGATCGCCGGTCGCTGTCGGCACCTTGCGCTGCTCCGCTAACACGAATCTCATGAGCGTCATGCAATCCGAGTCTATTATGTCTTTTGATGTCATCGCGTGCGGTCGAAATAAAGTGGCGAAGAAGCCGGTGAGAGGAGCTGGGTTGCCGGGTTCGGCTCGACTCAACCGAGATTGAAATCGGCGCTACCGAGACATCGCGTTATATAAGACAGGGACTATGATTAAACCGACGACACGTTATCGCGAGAGTGAAAGCAGCGACATTAGTAATCGAGTTTGTCGGCCTCAACGTCGGTTTCCCTCTGTCGACAAGATACGCGTGCTCGTTGAAGATGACAGTTTTCAAAGTGCATTATTAATTAGATCTAAATAATCGCTTCGTTTGTCAAAAATAATTTATATTATATAGTTTCAGAAATTATCGTACGATCAAGTGCAAATGTACAGACATTTGTGTGCGTGTATTACAGGTATTGCGAAAATTAAAACATGATAGAATTTATTTCTGAATTAATTCGCGAAATCAATTATCGTATTGGAAAAATATGTTATCATTGATGTTCGCGATTCATGTTTGATTCGCTGCTACATAAATGTTATTTTATTAATTCTCTGATGCAAACGCGATGAATTATATATTTTTGATAAATTTAAACGTAATCACGCGCGTCGATTAATTATACATTGGCGTGATAAGGTATTTAAAAAAAGTTAAGTCTCTTGAAAAAGCCGATAATCACGTGGAGTGCGCGATCAATGACGCAGTTAATACGCGAATTTAGCTTGGTAGTTATTTCGCTTTTACTGAGATTCTCACTCCTCGCGTTTTATTTTATTCGCCTCGCTTTTTCCGCGAATTATTTTTTCGGAACACGTATTATCTCTGTAACGTATTCGGTTTTGCGCGATATGCGCGACGTTGCAAGCGAAAAGGGAATATATAAAGAAAATATTGTAGGGTGACACGTGCTGCACGCAGCAGTATTATTACGCGGCTATACATCACACACGGGAACTAATTAGCATTCTAAGATTTGTTTCAGCGATTATGCCTTACCTTCCTGCGTTATAAATATGGGGACTAGCGGTATAACAATTTTTGTAAAAATAATTTCCTCTTTCCTCGTATCGCCAGATAAGAAGATTTTGAACTTGTGTACTGCACGGATTTTATTAGATTGTCGATTTATTTGAAAACGCTATTACGAATTCCAATTGAAATTAATTTCCGAATTAATTAATTCGCGATAGATCGGGCCGGAACTTTGTTGCGAGTGCTGTTATTCTGTCGTGCAGTATAATTAAACTAAATGACATATGACGAAATTAGTCGTAACGATGTTAGATGGATCGATCGAACCGCGTACGCGGTAAACATGTAACGGCAATTTGTGGCTCTTGTGACCACTGTACGTTTTATGCAAATTCATTCATCTTCTTTCTGTATCAATGACTTTATTTAATTTGCATGCAATATTACATCAACGTTTAATGAAATAAGCAACCTTATGGATATTAATTTGCGCACCGTGCATGGTGACGTGAATTTATACCATTGACATCTGAATAGATAGAGATTTTTGAAAGGAGTAACTGATAAATGCGGTAAGGCGGAAATACATGAACTTTGGATAATTCCGTTAACATTCGACTATATTCGGCATAATTTGATGATACAACGATTCCATTGAAATCACCGATCCTCAGTCAAATCTTCGCAGAAATGTTTAAAGAACGTTTATTTAAAGAAAATCTCTAAATAATTATATATATATATATATATATATATATATATATATATATATATTGAATAGCAGGTGGAAGGCATTTTCTTTGTTGTTTCGAAAAATTAAACAAATGTGAGAAATAAAAATGTGCAAAAAATTATATTTATATTATTATATTACTTTATTTATACTGTTTTATTTTTAAAATTTTTATAATAATAAAATTATATATATAAAGTAATATATAAATAAAAATATAAAAATAATATGAAAATATAGTAATATTAAATAATATATAAAATATGCATATATACATATATGTATATACATGTTATGTATATATATGTATAAATAAAGGTATACATACATGTATATACATGTTATTTATATATATGTATAAATAAATGTATACATACATACATACATATATATATATATATATATATATATATATGTATGTATGTATACATGTATTTATTTATTAAATATATATATATATATATATATATATATATTTATATTGAATATACATATTAAATATACGTATTAAATATTAAGTAACATAATAAATATAATAATAATATGACATTAGTCACACACAGTTTCGTACAATATATGTGAGCTGAACTTTGATGTCAATGATTGGAATCGAATTATTAATCGATCATTATCGGGAATAACCGAATTCACCCGAGATTCATAGAGTCCCTCTTATCACGAATATCAAAGCTCCCCTCGTCTTAATCGATAGCTAAGCTGCTCCGACTATTTAGTCAGATGTCAATGGTTTATGCACTTACTCTTCCACGTGCTTGTTAAAAATTTGTAACTTTGGTGTCATAATTGTCATAAAATGTCACATTTTTTGTCTTCGTTCGGGAAGTTAAAATGGTAAGAATCGTAATAGAAGAGAGGAAGGATGTTGATGGTGTCCTCTCCATCTCGATTGGCTTCTTTGAGATAAACGCTTGTAAAGTACAGTAATTGTAGCAACGTTTTCGGTACCGGCGTCCGTAATTATTTTAAAAAATGTTGCACGAAATGACGATGGATATTCTGATTGCGTTTCATGAAGCCCGTGGATCGATCGCCGGGAGACTTTTACAAGATCCTGAATTGCATCGGCGACGCAATCCTATTTGAAAATTGGCTATCAAGTTGGAGCGATCCGTGATGCCATTCGATCCAGAAAGTTCGTATAACCTAGATAAAATAAATACATTTTTAATACGTTTATTCTGCTGTTTGTGGTGAATACGACTGGCAAGGATGAGACCATTTTCTCTCGTCGTTTTTCCACTTGAGAACTATATTGAGAATCAGAGATTCAATTGAAAAGTATGATTCCGAAACTCGCAATACTCCCAAAGAGTGTGGTTCTTCATTTTTGCGTCTAAATTACTTTATGAAAAATCAGTTAAATTCACGTGTAAAATTGGCATTTCGTATATTAATAATTATTAATAATTAAAATATTTGAATACATATAATACGTTTATATGTATGAGAAAAATTGATAATTGTTATTTGAAAAAATATATAAATTAAAAAAATATTTTCAAAAAATTAAATAACTTGTCAAAGATAAACGGGGATGAAAATGATTAATTCTGTCAGAATTCACACCGTGTCATGTCGTCAAACTATCGGACCGAGTTACGTAATCATTCTTTTGGGTTTTTTACGAGAAGAGCAAGGACGCCCAACGGGAATCCGAATATTTATTAAATCCGAGAATTTATATCTAAACGCGACAACGTTATGCCATGCACAGTCACGCATAATCCGGTGCTCCAAGAGATATTATGTAAGCACGTTACTTGTTTTTGTTATTATCTTAGCGTACAATGTATTTTTGCGCTCGCGCTCGTTTAAACATCTTAACTTATTAAGGATCTGCGTTTAACGTGTATGAATAAAATATACGTGTATGAATAATAAATCGTTGAGAAGAAAAAGGAGAGCATGTATGCACGACGTATGAATGGCTGCAAAACAAACGGATAAAAATCGATTTTTCGTGCTAAAGCCATTTAAAGAATGTTATATGTTTATATTCGCGTTGTTCGTTTGTACGTGAAAGTAATGTGGAAGAAGAATAACAGAATAACAGAATATTCGATATTCATAATAGCTCCCTCGACAAATTTTAAATAGTATAGAAAATCATGCGTCTAGAGATGGTAAACATCATTCTCTCTGATTTAAAAATGCAAAAGTAAAAATGTCTAGAAAAAATATATAGAAATAATATATAGAAATATATAGAAGCGTAAATAAATTGATTAGTAATAAAATGATGAATTTGCTAATTGATTAATAATTATGCTACATGAAACTTTATTTCAGTCGAGATTTACGTATATTACAGGACTCTATCGAAACGTTTCAACTTTGACCGTAAAGATTTGAATGGTAATTTTACTTTTGTTCGGCGTCGTTATCTTCTTAATGAAAGACGCGTTATTGCGAATAGAAATTCGGTTATCGCGATTCGATTGACTGAATCTTGGGCGGCAGGGGGGGGGCAATCAGACATGACGAAAATTTACAAACTTTTATGAGCAATATCTCGAGTTGCATCATGGCAAATCGTTGGATCAAACAGCTGCCAGAACCGAATCCGACAGGCATGAATTCATAGGAATGCGCCTGCTTGGCTGATGGAAAATCCGTGTCGTCCCGTAACCATCTCTCGGGAATATATTTGTGTGGTTGCAGAAACTGCTTAGGCTCGGTCGGGATTACTGAATGACAGGCGACGACATCAAACTGACGATATATAAAAAAGGAAAAGATATTTTCATAGCACAAGTGTCAAGTAGCATTACTAAATTTTTTCATCATAAAGCTATCTTCAACTTTAAATATTCCAACAAAAATGTACAAATAGAAATAATAATGAAAAAAATTATAAACTTTATAATTAATAATTAGAAAAAGCAAAAAAGAGAATTAACACGTACTCCTGCTGGTATTTTGTATCCTCCTATGCAAACATCCGTGTACATGTTTTTGATATTGTTGACGGTAATAGGAAACATTCGGAGAGTCTCCTTGATGCAGGCCTTGGTATATCTCATTCGATTTAATATTTCGTACGTAATGGGCGTTGTTGTATCCGGTAACGCGGACAATAGTTCTACGAATAATATGTTTTGTTTGTGCGGATTACTCGCGATATAATATAGCATGGCGCCAGCTACGTTACCAATCTGTAATTGATTGCTACTTAATCCTACGCTATTATATAAGTAGCATATTGTATAACATATTTTATTAACATTCTACTTAAAAAATCCCGATACAATTGATGAACTTTTCTAGCTTTAAATTGAAAAACAGTTGCACGTTTCTTGATACATTTTACAAAATATTCTAGCTCTAATAAAACGTAAAAAATATGAATTCTCAATTATATGATCAGCAGTTTTATATTTGTTACATAATAAAATTGAAAAAAATCTTTTTCATTTAAAATCGATTTCAATTTTATTACGATACATTTTTTCGGCGTAAGAATCGTTTTGGAGAGCTCGAGTTACAATCAATTCAATCGTTAATGACTGTCGGAAGTTAGATTCTCGCTTGCTCTCTCACCGTATCAATACCAGACATCAGAATTTCGAGCGCCATTATGTGAGCCGTTAGTTTGTCCAGACGTAAAAGTTTCTCCAGGATACTACGATCATGTAGATTCGTGTCGTCGTCTCGCGTTGTTTCGCGAAGCTTCGCTTCAGCTTGATCGATGTATTTAATAGCTATTCTAAAAGAGATCGTAAATGAAAATGTGTGAATTCTAGAAGAACACGTTACCATTTGGAGTTTGCACTTTAAAACTTGTTGCCAATGTGCAGAAGGGATTATGTGTAAACATTAAGTGCGCAAATACTAGTGGAATATCATGGAGCATTTATTTTACAAGAAGCAATTAACGTGAGATAATACACAGTATATTATCGGCAATAGATTGTTACAATTATGATAGAAAATTACCGGAGAAATATGTCGAAAATTACGTAATGAAAAGTCAAGTTCTCGACTAATACGCTAAGGGATACGAGTTTCAATATTTACCTATTAACTGTATCTACCACGCGAAACCACTTCATGAAATTCTGCGTATTGTATTTCTTCCATAAAGACGGTAGAATGTTCATGCGATACATAACATCGGATAAGTCGTGCATGCAATTAATCATTATTTGCGGTTCCGAGTTGCCGGCGAGGATAGACTCTAAACATCCTAGTCGGCAATCCAACGCGATTGAACATGTTGCTGTTAATTATACAAAAAGTGATTTATTAAAATAGAGAATGATTTTTAACTTTTAATTATTCTTATTATGCCGTTTAAAAATACGTATCACGATTTAATTCAATTTGTAAGATCGCGTATTAAATTGAGAGAGAATGCGAATTATTTTATTTATTCTGTTGTTACACAAACGAATTATTATGTATATATTACATTCTCTCGCGGGTGAAAAAATATATCGTAATCAAATTAAAATCAATTTTAAATGAAAGGTTTTCATCAATTTCCTTTTTTTATATTCATAAAAAATCTGGTTCATTCGCACACATGTACACTTACACTCTAAACTCCACTTATACAATTCGTCTCTAAAATCTTCTGGCATTTCCCAGGTCATACGTCGCAGCTGTCGCAGCTGTTGCATCTTCTGCATGAATTCGTCGGTTATATCGTTGATCTGCGTAATGTGCGTTTTGATTATTTGCGGTTCCAACATATACGAATCATCTTTTGAACGAAAGTCGCGCCATATTGTGCCTTGGCTGAAAATAATAGATTTTTTACAGTAGAAATGGACCGAGATAATATATTGTACGCAATTTACGTAGATCTTTGTGTGTTAGACCTTCGTGGCTATTTGTACTCGCTGGACTATCGATCGTGCAAAATACAGATAGGAGAGACTAATAAAATAGATGGGAAGCGAAGGATGAGAGAGGATGATTAGGATTATGATAAAAACGAGGATCTTTTGCTTTGATGACTTGTATTTCCCGTATTTTGACGAAGTTCCATAACATTTTTGTAACATTTATGTTCGATTTTTTTATCACACGTCGAATATACATCGAGAGTCCCTGTATTTATCTGTACTATATAATCGAAATAATTAATTTAATATTTCAACACAACTTCCAGAATTGGCCACATCAGATAAGTTTTGTTGAAATGAAATCTTGAGTAAAGATATTATCTCTCGAAAGTTGAGAAGCTTGTTTCGCGAAATTAATTATTTTAGATTTTTCAGTATTGTGGGAATAGACTGCGAGAATAAATGCAAATCTATTAAAATTATAGAACATTTTTTTATACGTAGAATATCATTCACATATATCTGCTCTCTCATTTATAATCGTTTTTATTATAGATAAATTTATTTGAGGATTTTAGAATGCATTTTCACTAAATAATATATTAAAAATCCATATATTTTCAGTAATCATTATTTTTAGTTTGGACTTTTTTGAATCTTTATTATAATTATCCATAAATTGTATATAAATATTTTTTCCGAATTATGAGAGAAGATAAACAATGATATATAGAAAACGCAAATTTTTGTTTAATAATTTTATTTCTCTTAAGACGTGTTGTACTGACCTTGCGAGAAGCAGATCGTTTTGTTTGGAGCGTAAATGAGCGAGAGCGTAAATGTTCTCTTCATTTGTGCAATAATAACGCAGACTTTCAATGCTAATTCGCGTCGACCACATGCTTTCCATCCGATACATCTTTTCGCATAGTTCCGATGAGAATAATAAGATGTATGCTTGACCATTCCTTAGGCCGTCTAATTTGACGATATCTCCGTAACGATCACGTAGCTCCCGCAATTGCGCATTCGTATTTCCTGCCATATCGTATGTACCATATTCGCCTATCGTTTTTTACATGCATTAATGAATTAAGAAAATAGGAGAATAGATTGTATTTAAACAATCAACATATCCGTTTACTTACGTGCAGAATTATATTTTATTTTACTTTGCTTAAATCTAATATTTAATTCAGAATAGAAAAAAATAAACTGTAACGATAAAGAATTTTTCGAACTTGCGACGAGAGGAAAGATCTCTTACCTATGTGTGGTACGAATCTAATCCAATTGCCAAACAAGAACGTTGCACGCGGACCGGGAATATTCTCAGTCGGCAGCGCTTGTTCCAGCAGATCATTTTCCTTCTTTGTTTTATCATGTCCACCATAAGCCGATTTTACGTAACGTTGTACTCTCGATAACAAACCTGAGTCATTAATTTTGCAAATGAAAGATCTAGCTAAATACATCATGCTTCGTTGAATATCTCTTAATTTTCGTCCTGCAAAATATTCATAGTATTTGTTGCTAACTGGGCAATCTTGTAAGATTATCAATGCAACGCTTTCAATATGTATACGGTTACATTTGTCGTCATTTGCTCAGCAAGAGATGTATGAAACTATGTCGCCCGGTAAATACATCTCGGAATATTAATTTAGACTAGTGGAAAAATATCACGCTGAACTAGGTAATTTAAGTTTGAAGATTTTTGTAGAATGCATGAAGATAATTTTAGCAAGAATTGATTAATATATAAACGATTGATTTATTGCAGAGATTTATTTATTATATATTGACTACATGATTAATGTATAATAAAAGAAGAGAATCAAAATATGATGGTTTGACATTGTTAGGTCAACTTGACATCGATAAGTTTTTTTGTAAAAGGATTCTCAGATTCTATAAAAGCGTGGATAATATGGATGTGCGTGAAATTTATTACAAAATATATTCACTGCGTTATACAATGAACGAAATTAATTTCAAATTTCACGTTTATTTCGATTTATTCGTAACCATATGTGAAAAATCGGAATTGAAATACAGAATTGAAAACATTTGCGTGATATATTATGTACTCGTATAAAATTGAAACAAAACGCATTTGAAATCCAGCGCAATCTTTTACTAAAATCCTTTCAATCCGTGTATCTTCTTTCTGTAAATTGGACGATCTTCCACGCGTCCTTCGCGATGGAAATCTCTTTTACATCGAACTAGAATTGGTTTGCGATTTTTTATAGTAAATATAAATGTATGACGTTTATATAATAAAAATATAATATACGAAGAAATATTCGCGCAATGTAATTTTTTATTACCGCTAGTGTTTATACTCTGTAGAATCAAAATTTTCATAAATGCGATGTTACGATGACAGATGCAATGTTGTACTCAATTAAATACAATAGTTAACATAAATTTTGCGAGGAAAATACGCGCCGGCTTTGTATGATTAAGTAACCAGTAACGTGCTTGCTCGATATAATTGACCGAATTGCAAACGTAGAATTCTCCGGATTTCCTCATTTAATACCATGCGGAAATGCAACGATAAGTACGATCGATGCATACAGACGAATAACGCGAATTACTTACCGCGATTGCAATAAATGCACTGAAGATTTTTTATATTGATAGAATAATGTTACTAATAGCACTAGCTCGGCACGACTCATCGATCCTATATGGTATTGGTCCTGTATATATATAAACAATAAGAAACGGGCAAATTCGTTAAATTTCTATTCGCTGTTTACATCTATAAGACTCTCGAAGCTTTCAAATGAGAGGAAGAAAAATAAAGAGAGAGAGTGATAGAGATGGAGAGAATTTCTAAAAACCTTTTTTACAACATGAAAAAAATACAAAAGAAATTAGATAAAAATTATAATAAACACAACTATCCTTAACCAAAGCACAAAATTTCAAACGCTGTCATATAATTAGGTTTGAAATCTTAACTGACGTGAGAAAGAAGGAAGAAAACATATTTTTTTGCCTATAGATTTGTGATTAAACTTGACATGACTAGTTTAGATTAAAAATTGTAGAAGATATAAAAATTCATCACTGAAAATGAAAAAGATGCTTCTTAGTAATATCGAGATAGATTTTTTTCTCTTTTTTTATTAGTAGACAATAAGAATAAATAATTGATTTATTGTACGTTGATACAATAAAAGATAAGGAATAACGTCATAAATACTAAACATTTCCGTTATATCTTACATTTGTAACGGATATTAATTTTTAATACTAATGGAAATGTCGTGGAAGATAAATGTATTGGCGTGTCTTCTCTTTTCGAAAGATTATCGCGTGCATTTATAGAAGAAATAATGCCGAGTTTATTTTTTAGCATTCGAATTTATTCATTTTTCACAGATATAATTATGTTATGTGTAATTTATTTTTATTTATATTAGAATTTGTAATAATATTGAACTAAACGGATGAAGAAATTAGTCGTAACAATGAAATAAATTGAATCGTGCCTAATTAAATGGCAATTAAGGTCCTTGTATACGCAGTGATTATATATTTTACATCGCAAATTATATTTTCTTCTCTAATAAAGATTTTATTCAATTGTTAAAATGATATCACATACACACAGCGAATATTTAATAATAAAATAAAACAGCATTTATTAAATATTTTTTCCCTTATTATTTTAATATTACTGTAACACGTATAATATTGCAATATATCTTTCCCAGAATAATTTAAAATAAAATAAATATACAAATATTAATATTTAGTAAAATAAATTTCAGTATGTAACATTTATGACTTTATATCGCTCATATTTTTGTACCAAACACGAGCATTTATACTCGTTTTACCACGAGTTTTCCAAAAAGAATAGCGTCATACAACCCCTTCAGCTTTCGAATATGCTAATTGAATTGTCGTTGATTGAATATATATTCGTCGAAAGGTTTAAGCTTCAGAGGCTCTTTTACCAATTACGATTTTAATTCCTAACTGCTTTCATTCTGGCTTCGTTTCCTACTTGACAATTCGATCGAGAAGCTGGTATTCTTCTAATAAGAGACATCGAGCACATTAAAAATCTCTGTGTTCTGAATCGGCGATTCTTTTGAAGCTATTGCACCAAAGTGCACTTTCGATTCTCTCGCAAACACTGCTCATTAGCGAGGATTTATTTTATAATGATAATTACATTGTGTCTTTCGACGATTGAACAAATTTTCGTTGCAAACGTGAGACGTTAATTTATTTTCGAAAAAATATAATGCAGCGACGTGAAAAAATTGATTTTCCAAAATTATATTATACTTACCCTCGCAGTGGGTGGAATGACTACAATCAAAAAATATTAATTTTACGTAGAATATAAAAGTACACCTTCCATTACGTCTTACGGATATTGTCGACCGCGAACTTTTCTCCCAGCAATTTACAAGACCGTTGAGTTTCCGACAATCGCGAACGGTACAGGCTCTCTTTATCCTGCTGCTTGAATTCTTCGTCCTCGTCGCTGTCGCAATCCGGAAATTGATGTACATATTTATATGCGAAAAAAAAAAAAAAAAAAAATATATATATATATATATATTGTACAAACAAATCGTATAGGATTATACTGGAAATAAAATTTACGTCATTTAAAATTAATAATCGAAATATTACAGCTGAAATTTTGCTACGTTACCTGAATCTCGTGCTCCACGATATCTGCCAAAATGCGTTCTTTCAACTTTTTCACCTCGTGAGTAGTTCAAGTATCCGCTTTTGCTATCACGCGAAAGACGTCAATTTTTTTATGTAAACGCCTCAATACCTTGAGATCAATTTGCCTGAGGCTGTAAAGAGATAAACTCGGGATTAGAGTAAGAAAATTGAATTCGTGTTATATTAAAATTTCATTAATTGCTATCGTGCGAGATAATTATTTTTTAATACGTAATATAAATTAGAAACGTCGAGTTGAATGTTACCACATATCCGTGACCATATGGTGGTATAAAGTACAGATAACAGTGTACTCTGTTATCTTGAATATTTTTCCTATTTAATCCATTTTTGTCCGTAAAATGATGGTGAAATTGTTCGTCTATGTAAGCCGAACACGCTTTCCACGTGTCTTCGCAATTTACCGCATCGCCGAATCTTTGAACAGTATTATTACTTGTAACATATTTTACAGAAAATCGATATGTCGCGAATATTTATAATATTGCAATCTATAAAATTATTTTTACTAAACTATTTTTTACTTGTATATAAAATTATTTTCTTTTATTTAGAAAATTCTTTAAACAATATCCTTGCAATATATTTTACAAAAAATCGATATATCGCGTATATATTTATAAAATTGTATTTTATAAAATTAATATCGTTATTTTTACAAAATTATTTTTTATTTACGTATAAAATTATGCTTTATTTATAAAAGTAAATTAATGTGTGTTATCGACATATAGACATATTGTATATGTAATATTTGTTCAATCTGATCGTACGAAAAAAGGAAAAAATATATATTCTTCTCACCTGGCGTGTCCACAATCGTTAAACGGAGCCGAATGCCGCGCTCTTCTGTATCCATTGTCTTTTTCTCAATAGAGGTGGGCTTAGCCGCGCGCTCTGAAAGAGTGTATGATGAATATTTATCGACTTCTCCTCGAGATCGAGACGAGCGGTTTGCCAACGATGCAAGCTGATCAAATATTTTTCGCGTGTCAATAACTCGTGGAGAGCGTGCGGAAAATACATATCAGAGAGGGCGACCGTCTGCGGGTTGTTTACGCCTCCATAATTACCGATTCCGATTACATCGTCGAACATAACGCTCGATCGAAGAGATTGATCGATGACGAGACAATGGTTTTTCGTCTCACCGATAATTTTCCGCGTAAATTTACGAGTAGATTGTCAAGAATAAATTACACGCACCTGTCGCATCTGGAATTCGTCGGTCTTTGTATAGATCTCCGAGAAACAGACTGTTTATGAGCGTCGACTTGCCGAGACCGGTCTCATCCAACATCATCAGGGTGAACTCGAAGCTCCTCTTCACCGATTTTCGGTGCACTTGCTCCGGTAGCGTCGCAAAGCCGATATAATCCCTGTCTTACTGAGCGAAACAAAAGATGATTAATATCACAACGTCAATATTCCGTCGCCAATTAAATCTCGCGATAGAAATATTAAACTCTCAAAGAATCAATAGCGTTTTGCGAGATTCAAATTCGTCGAAGGATATAAAACTCGCAAGAGCGTAGCCCCGTAAAGTCACGTATATCGAGGTTGCAATTTCGTCCGGTGTCAATAAATACCGCGTCTCACCCCCTGCATAATTTACATCACGACGAGCAGAACGAGCCAGCTTCTCGACATCGACTCGAGGAGAGGAACGATTTCGCGTCTATCGAGATCAAACTACCGAGATTAAACCAAGATAAAAACGCCCCTTTTTTTCTCTCCGCTTTTCTCTCAATAAAACGTTTACGTACCACCGGACATAATGGCATCTAAGGACGCTTCGATGCGACGACCATAAGCATAAACGTCGACCAAACGCACTAAGGCCGAGGGCGGCTCGTGAATGCCTCGGTTCGTCCGGTCGACTTGCGCTGGCGCACTGTCGACCGGCCGATCAATAGTCGGTCGTTCTCTCCTACGAATGCATTTCTCTCGCCGGGCTGTGCACGCCGAGGGAGAGGTTATAAGCCCGAGCCGGGTGTGTATGGCGCGTGCGGAATAAATAGCAACATTATCAGCGAGCCCGCTGTTTCACTAACGGTTGTAACAGACGGAAGAACGGAAATGACACCGCTTGACGCGGCGGCCCTGATTATGTGCGCCGCTCGCACGCATGGCAAGTAACACGGCACTCGTGAAAAAATTATTATTACCGCGTGGTCCTTCGGAGATAGAATAATAAAATATTGGGATATAGAGGTATCGAAATAAATCGAGCTCTTTGATGAAATTTGATCGAAATTCTTACATTACCTTTAGTAATGTTTTTTTTTCATCATCTTTTAATTGCGGTGCTTCCAAGAAAATATAATAAATACATTTATATATGTAATAGATATACGTTTATTTACATTGATGCTAAATAAATTTTATAATTTGCCATGTTGACATTTAGTGCAATTTTAGCATTTCGCGAGAATGCGATAAATTTTCGAATTTTCCGGATTTGTGTCAACAATCGCCCGTGATTATTCGTAATGACCTGCAAAAGCGCTTGACAACGTGAAATTTATTACATTTGTGCGTTTTCTCTGACTTTAATCTCGATTAATTAATAATTATCAATTATTTACCCGTAGTGATAATGAATTACTCGAGTATTTAAATGATGTGGCTGTTCTTGATGCGACATGGACGGAATTTAATAAAAAAATAAGTTTATTGCGAAACAAATCAATATTTAAAAAAAGGTACAAAATTCGTTAGTTTAAACATTCCCAGGGAGATTCCATTCGTTGAGATCCATCTTCATCAGTTTTTATTTTTTATATACGCCATTACGTCGTTAACGTCGTCTTTGGAGCCTAAGAAAATTGGCGATCTCTGATGAATGTTCTCCGGAACGATATCCAGAATATCAATCTTGCCGTTTGTCGCCAGACCACCTGCTTCCTTGATTATGAAAGCCATCGGTACGCATTCGTATAAAAGTCGCAGCTGAAATTACAAAATTACATTAGCATCAATTATATAATAATTATCGCGGCTGTTTAATTTGTTAAACGTATCTGAGCGCAGAGGTGAAGAGAGTATATTTAAAATATGTGATAATATGCGTGTGCACACGATGGCAAACGCGGAAAAGTTAATTATTGATAAACATGTTCCCTTTTAAATTACATGACGCCAATATATCGATAAAAAGTTAGATTCGCGTGTTTACCAGAATGGATAATGCGTAAAGTCCGATAATTTTTCACGTATTTACATAAAAATTGAGAGGTTACCGCTATATCGATTCGAGGTTGAAACCAGATACCGCGTCTAGATAAAATAATTTCCAAAGTCCGATACTCTCCCATACACGCTTATCGGACAGCGTAAACATCTGTTGTAAAGCGAAGCTGTTATACAACGAGCTATTTCATTACTCGAGTTGGTCGTGGTGATAAGTATATCCGTTAAACGCGGGGTCAGAGGAGTGTTTGGTAATAATCAGAGCGAAAATGAACACGAGAAAAAAATACGAGAAGCGAGATAAACGTATCGCCGAGAAGATTGCAATGCGTTGCACAATCGTTTTTCAATTCATTTTTTTTTTCTTTTTTTTTTTCGTTTTATTTCTCGGAAATATTACGAAACCTTTTTACGTTAAACTGATAACATTTGGAAATATTATCACGAGCTTACCTTGCCATTGGGATTGCTCTTGCTCGCGGGATATAGGAAAATACCGCCGTATTTAATCGTTCGATGTACATCGGCGACCATGGAACCCACGTATCTTGCACTGTAGGGTTTTCCGCTTGTGGGATATTTTTTTGATCGTATATATTCCTTAATGGACGAGTCCCATATGCTCTCATTACCTTCGTTAATACTGTAAATAATTATACGATTTTTTTTTCAATATAATCGACGACACAATCTTGTTAATATTTTGGTTTGCGAGAAAAATATAATTTTAAAATATAAATTAACACTCAAGCACGTATCTTAGATAATTTGCGCAGGGAAATTCTATTTATAATTATATGTTATGTGCAAACTAATGTTTGGAAAACAAAACACACATGTATAATGTATATACTTTAAGATATATATTAAAATTATGAATAGATTTCCATTCCTTGAATTTTGCCGGATATTGCAGATTTTAACCATTTGAATATAAATACAACGACTACATTAGTTACGTAAATTTTCGAAAATTACAGCATCTCTCCGAATGCGATTTTCGCGGAATCATCTCTATCTCTTTTCTCCCTTACCTATATATGTTCCCTCTGTCAGGCATACGTATGTTCCTTTCGGTCAGTATAAATTCCCCGATGGCCGGATCATACATGAATCCATTAACGCCGCGACCGATGGAGAGGACTATCATGGTAGCCGAGCCGTAGAGAGCGTATCCCGCCGCGATCAAGTTTCTTCCCGGTTGCAAGGTGGTTGCCTGCGACACCGCGGTATCCCCGGATTGTTCGGGTTTCTTGTAAATTCCGAAGATAGAGCCCACCGAGACGAGGCAGTCGATGTTGGACGAGCCGTCGAGCGGGTCGAAGCACACGATGTACTTGCCGCGCTTCTCCGTCTCCACCTCGATAGCGTGCTGGTTCTCCTCGCTCACGAGCACGCACGTGGCGAAGGAGGACGTCAGCATATTGATGAAGAGCTCGTTGCTCAGAACGTCCAGCTTCTTGACTTCCTCGCCCTGAACGTTCGTGTTGCCGGCGATACCGTACCTGAGCAAATCGAAATGCATCGTACGCGCTTAACAGCTGATTGCTATTCCCCAACGATCATTGTGCGGTCAATCGAATTAGTTGCGACAATCGGGTAAATGTAACGTTGGAATAGCTGTCGTACTATTTTCCAATAATGTGTGCATGTGTATGTGTGTGTTAAAAATATAATATAAATATAACTTTTTAAATTTTAAATTATAAATTTTTTTATGTAAAAAGATGTTAAATTCGAGATTTGAAAAAATATTAAATAATTTTTTTATTATTAAATTAGAAATGGTCCAAGTAATTATTAGGATAAATATCGCGAAAGAATATTGAGAGGTAAGAATTATTAGTTATATCATCGGAGAGAATTTTAATTATTACTTTCCAATCTCAACTTGAGGCTTGCTTATGCTAGTTAATCCGTGTCAGATTATTGAGAGCTTGCTTCTCGATGCAAAAGCGACCAGTTATGAAATGGTTTTATTCATGTTGACGCAGTAAGCACTATAATAAAGGGAAATCATTTATACGTTATTTATATGCAAGGCTATACAGAATTGTCACGGCATAGAGACTAATGTTTACTGGCGTGTATCGGCAGCTTGAGCATGATGGTAAATGCGCGAAATTACATGCGGCTGCCGAATACATTTGAATAAAATAGTGATGAGCGAACGTTAGCCCGAGTTGACGACACTATGGAGACTTGGCACATGCACTATGCAAGACATTAGTCGAGCCTGCTCTGCCGCGTGTTAAATTGTGTCCATCGTATCAAGTGAAAATGTAAAATATAAAATTGCACATAAAGTATAAGATAATTTAAGCATAAAAAATATAGGAAAGAAAAAGAAAGAAAATTTTATTAATTTGCAAAACGACTTCTCAAGCAAATGTTTAAAGTAATTAATTCATTAAAATCATGTATGCGTCCATAATTAATTAATTTTTTAATTTCTCTTTATTTTAATCGATTAACAAATATTGAAATATTGTCGGTTTAACAAGTCAATCTTCCGCACGTACTTAGTCACTTTTCTGTAATCGTCAACTCTAACACACATGTTCAGCTATTCTGTTGTAGCTGAATTTATATATCGGTCAGTTCTTGTGAAATTATTTCGAAATGTGAAGATTTCCAAGAATAACTGTTCAATTTATTTTCATTCCGGAAACTTTAACAGTTTTTCGACGTCTCCCCAGTGTATTCTCTAATTACTCTCGATTTCCTTTTTCAACCGCGCATCTTGATTGATAGTAGAGCTGTATAAAACTTGAACTGAATTCCTATAATTTAGAAAAGGATAACATATAATTTAAAAAAAAAATACGAAGGATATAAATTATTATTAGATTAAATTATAACAAGTATATATCTTTTAAAGTATCTTTTCTCTCTCTCTCTCTCTCTCTCTCTCTCTCTCTCTCTCTCTCTCTCTTTCTCATGTTTAATGTACGCTATAAATTAAAAAGTTCTAATTTATAAAGCAATTCTCTTGGGACGTGTACCTTGCTTTTATCTACTCGACGTACAGAAAGTGACGAACGATTCCGCGGCCGCGTTACGTTTTTCTCGCTGACGTGGACGACACTCGGAGCTTTGTCCGCGTCTACTCACATGTTAGCGATACCGGCCTTCCTCACGGCCGAGCTGACGGCCTTCACAGCGGTCTGTACGCTGTTCAACAGCTGCGTGAGATCGCCGGTCGCCGTCGGCACCTTGCGTTGCTCCGCTAACACGAATCTCGTGAGCGTCATGCAATCCGAGTCCATTATGTCTTTTGATGTCATCGCGCGCGGCCGAAATAAAGTGGCGGAGAAGCCGGTGAGAGGAAGCTAGGTTGCCGGGTTCAGTTCGGCTCAACCGAGACTGAAATCGGCGCTACCGAGACACCGCGTTATATAAGACAGGGACTATGATTAAACCGACGACACGTTATCGCGAGAGTGAAAGCAGCGACATTAGTAATCGAGTTTGCCGGCTTTAACGTCGATTTCCCCTCTGTCGACAAGATACGCGTGCTCGTTGAAGATGACAGTTCTGAAAGTGCATTATTAATTAAATCTAAATAATCGCTTCATTTGTCAAAAATAATTTATATTATATAGTTTCAGAAATTATCGTACGATCAAGTGCGAGCGATGTACGGGCATTTGTGTGCGTGTATTGCTGCAGGTATTGCGAAAATTAAAACATGATAGAATTTATTTCTGAATTAGTTCGCGAAATCAATTATCGTGTTGGAAAAATATGTTATCATTGATGTTCGCGATTCATGTTTGATTCGTTGCTACATAAATGTTATTTCATTAATTCTCTGACGCAAACGCGATGAATTATATATTTTTGATAAATTTAAACGTAACCACGCGCGTCGATTAATTATACATTGGCGTGAAAACGTATTTAAAAAAAATTAAGTCTCTTGAAAAAACCGATAATCACGTGGAGTGCGCGAACAATGACGCAGTTAATACACGAATTTAACTCGGCAGTTATTTCGCTTTTACTGAGATTCTCGCTCCTCGCGTTTTATTTTATTCGCCTCGCTTTTTCCGCGAGTTATTTTTTCGGAACACGTATTATCTCTGTAACGTATTCGGTTTTGCGCGATATGCGCGATGTTGCAAGCGAAAAGGGAATATATAAAGAAAATATTGTAGGGTGACACGTGCACGCAGTAGTGTTATTACGCGGCCATACATCACACATGGGAACTAATTAACATTCTAAGATTTATTTCAGCGATTATTTCAGCCTTACCTTTCTGCGTTATAAATGTGGGGTCTCGCGGTGTAACAATTTTTGTAAAAATAATTTCCTCTTTCCTCGTATCGCCAAATAAGAAGATTTTGAACTCGTGTACTGCACGGATTTTATTAGATTGTCGATTTATTTGAAAACGCTATTACGAATTCCAATTGAAATTAATTTCCGAATTAATTAATTCGCGATAGATCGGGCCGGAACTTTGTTGCGAGTGCTGTTATTCTGTCGTGCAGTATAATTAAACTAAATGGCATATGACGAAATTAGCGTCGTAACGATGTTAGATGGATCGATCGAACCGCGTACGCGGTAAACATGTAACGGCAATTTGTGGCTCTTGTGACTATTTTACGTTTTACGCAAATTCATTCATCTTTCCTGTGTAACAATGACTTTATTTAATTTATAAGCAGTATTACATCAACGTCATTAATGAAATAAGCAATCTTATCGATATTAATTTGCGCATCATGCGTCGAAACGTGAATTTATGCCATTGACATCTGAATAGATAGAACTTTTTGAAAGGAGTAACTGATAAATGCGGTAAGGGAGAAATGCATGAACTTTGGATAATTCGGTTAATATTCGGTACAATTTGACGATATAACATGATTCCATTGGCATCATCGATTCTCAGGTCTTCGCAGAAATATTTAAAGAATGTTTATTTAAAGAAAATCTTTAAATAATTTTATATATATTTTAAATAGCAGTTGGAAGGCATTTTCTTTGTTGTTTCGCAAAACTAAACAAATGTAAAAAATAAAAATGTGCAAAAAATTATATTTATATTATTATATTACTTTACTTATACTGATTTATTTTTAAAATTTTTATAATAAAAAAAATATATATATAAAGTAATATATAAATAAAAATATAAAAATAATATGAAAATATAATATTATTAAATAATATATAGAATATCCATATATACATATATATATATATATATATTATATATGTATATATGTAATATGTATATATATTATAAAATAATATTAAGTAATATAATAAATATAAAAATATAAAAATAATATGACTAATATTATTTAACATTATAATATGACTAATATTAGTTAGACACTTCATACAATACATGAGTTGAACTGTGATGTCAATAGGAATAACCGAATTCAACCGAGATTTATAGATTTCCTCCTTATCGCGAATGAAAGCCCCCCCCTCGATAGCTAATACTCCGTCTATCCATTCAGATATTAATGATTTATACACTTACTCTTCCATGTGCTTGATAAAAATTTTTAACTTTGGCGTCAAAATTGCTATAAAATGTGTCGCATTTTCTGTCTTCGTTCGGGAAGTTAAAATTATAAGAATCGTAGTAGAAGGGAGGAAGGAAGTTGATGGTGTCCTCTCCATCTCGATTGGCTTCTTTGAGATAAACGCTTGTAAAATACAGTAACTGTAGCAACATTTTCGCTGCCTGCGTCAGTAATTATTTAAAAAAATGTTACACGAAACGACGATGAATATTTCGATGGCATTTCACGAAGTCCGCAGCGTGAATCGATCGCCGGGAGACTTTTACAACTCGAAGAGCCTGAATTTCATCGGCGACGCAATCCTGTTTAAAAATCGGCTTTCGTATTTGAGCGGTCCGTGGTGCCATTCGATCCAGAAATTTCGTATAACCTAGATAAAATAAATACGTTTTTAATACATTTATTCTGCTGTTTGTGGCGAATACGACTGGCAAGGTTGAGACCGTTTTCTCTCGCCGTTTTTTCACTCGAGAACTATATCGAGAATCAGAGATTCAATTGAAAAATATGATTCGAAACTCGTAATACTCTCAAAGAAAAGTGGTTCTTCATTTTTGCGTCTAAATTACTTTATGAAAAATCAATTAAATTCACGTATAAAATAGGCATTTCGTATATTAATAATTATTAATAATTAGAATATTTGAATGCATATAATACGTTTATATGTATGAGAAAAATTGATAATTGTTATTATTTAAAAAAATATATATAAATTAAAAAAATACTTTCAAAAAATTAAATAATTTGTCAAAGATAAACGGGGATGAAAATGATTAATTCTGTCAAAATTCACACCGTGTCATGTCGTCAAACTGTCGAACCGAGTTACGTAATCATTCTTTTGGATTTTTTATGAGAAGAGCAACGACGCCCAACGGGAATCCGAATATTTAATCCTTCGAGAATTTATATCTAAACGCGACAACGTTATTGCCATGCAGAATCACGCATAGTCCGGTGCTCCAAGAGATATTATGTAAACACGTTACTTGTTTCTGTTATTATCTTAGCGTACAATGTATTTTTGCGCTCGCGCTCATTTAAACATCTCAACTTATTAAGGATCTGCGCTTAACGTGTATGAATAAAATATCGTTGAGAAGAAAGAGGAGAGCATGTATGCACGATGTATGAGTGGCTGCAAAACAAACGGACAAAAATCGATTTTTCGTGCTAAAGCCATTTAAAGAATGTTTATATTCGCGTTGGTCGTTTGTACGTGAAAGTAAAGTGGAAGAAGAATAACAGAATATTCGATATTCATAATAGCTTCCTTCTCGACAAATTTTAAATAGTATAGAAAATCATGCGTCTAGAGATGGTAAACATCATTCTTTCTGATTTAAAAATGCAAAAGTAAAAATGTATAGAAAAAATATATAGAAATGTATAGAAGCGTAAATAAATTGATTAGTAATAAAATGATAAATTTGCTAATTGATTAACAATTACGCTACGTGAAGCTTTATCTCAATCGAGATTTAAGTATATTACAGGATTCTATCGGAACGTTTCAACTTTGACCGTAAAGAATTGAATGGTAATTTTACTTTTGTTCGGCATCGTTATCTTCCTAATGAAAGACGCGTTATCGCGAATAGAAATTCGGTTATCGTGATTCGATTGACTGAATCTTGGGGGGGAGGGGGGGGGCAATCAGACATGACGAAAGTTTACAAACTCTCATGAGCAATATCTCGAGCTCCATCATGGCAAATCGTTGGCCGACACATCTGCGAAGACCGAATCCGAAAGGCATGGATGCAAAGGAATGCGACTGCTTGGCTGATGGAAACTCCGTGTCGCCCCGTAACCATCTCTCGGGAATATATTTGTGTGGTTGCGGAAACTGCTCGGTCGCGATTAGTGAGTGACAGGCGATGACATCAAACTGACGACATACAAAAAAAGGAAAGGATATTTTCATAGCAAAAGTGTCAAGTAGCATTATTAAATTTCTTCATCATAAAGCTATCTTCAATTTTAAATATTCCAACAAAAATGTACAAACAGAAATAATAATGAAAAAAATCATAAACTTTATAATTAATAATTAGAAAAAGCAAAAAGGAGAATTAACACGTACTCCTGCTGGTATTTTGTATCCTCCTATACAAACATCCGTTTGCATGGTTCTGAGATTGCCGATGGTAATAGGAAACAGTCGGAGAGTCTCCTTGATGCAGGCCTTGGTATATTTCATTCGATTCAATGTGTCGTACGTAATGGGCGATGTTTTTTCCGGTAACGCGGATAGTACTTCTACGAGCAGTTTATCTTGTTTCTCCAGATTACTCGCGATATAATACAACATGGCGCCAGCTACGTTACCAGTCTGTAATTGATTGTTACTTAATCCTGCGCGATTATATAAGCAGCGTATTGTATGGCATATTTTATTAGCATTCTACTTAAAAAATTCCGATACAATTAATGAACTTTTCTAGTTTTAAATAGAAGATAAGTTGCACGTTTCTTGACATTTAAAAATATTTTAGCTCTACTGGAATGTAAAAAATATAAATTTTTGAATTATATGATTAGCAGTTTTATGTTTGTTATTATTGTTCATAATAAAATTGATGAAAATCTCTTTCATTTAGAATCGATTTCAATTTTATTACGATACATTTTTTTGGCGTAAGAATGGCGTTTTTGGGAGCTCGAGTTACAATCATTTCAATCGTCGATGACTATCGGAAGTAAGATTCTCGCTTGCTCTCTCACCGTATCAATACCAGACATCAGCATATCGAGCGCCATTACGCAAGCCGTTTGTTTGTCAAGACGTAAAAGTTTCTCCAGGATTCTACGGTCATATAGATTCGTGTCATCGTCCGTTGTTTCGCGAAGCTTCGCTTCAGCTTGCTCGATGTGTTTAATAGCTATTCTAAAAGAGATCGTAAATGAAAATGTGTGAATTCTAGAGGAACGCGCTACCGTTTGGATTTTGCGCTTTAAATCTTGTTGCCAATGTGCAGAAGGGATTATGTGTAAACATTAAGTGCGCAAATACTAGTGGAATATCATGGAACATTTATTTTACAAGAAGCAATTAACGTGAGACAATACACAGTATATTATCAGCAACAAACTGTTTACAGTTATGATAGAAAATTATCGGAGAAATATGTCGAAAATTACGTAATGAAAAGTCAAGTTCTCGACTAATACGCTAAGGGATACAAGTTTCAATATTTACCTATTAAGTGTATCTACCACGCGAAACAACTTCTTGAGATTCCGCGTATTGTATATCTTCCATAAAGACGGTAGAACGTCCAAGCGATACATGAGATTGTGTAAGTCATGCACGCAATTAATCATTATTTGCGGTTCCGAATCGGCGGCGAGATTAGGCTTTAAACATCCCAGTCGGCAATCCAACGCGATCGAACATATTGCTGTTAATTACACAAAAAGTAATTTATTAGAATAGAGAATGAATTTTTAACTTTTAATTATTCTTATTGTACCGTTTAAAAATACGCATCACGATTAAATTCAATTTGTAGTGTCGCGTATTAAATTGAGGGAGAATGCGAATTATTTTATTTATTCTATTGTTACAGAAACGAATTATTATGTACATATATTACATTCTCTCGCGGGTAAAAAAATATATCGTAATCAAATTGAAATCAATTTTGATTGAAAGAGATTTTTTATAAATTTTTTTTTATATTCATAAAAAAAAATCTGGTTCACTCGTACACACATGTATACTTACACTCTAAACTCCACTTATACAATTCGTTTCTAAAATCAGCTGGCAATTCCCAGGGACACAAGGGATCTCGCAGCGCTCGCATCTTCTCTACGAATTCGTAGCTTATATCGCTGATCTGCGTAATGTGCGCTTTGATCGCTCGCGGTTGCATCATATATTTATTAACTTTTGAACGAAAGTCGTGCCACGTTTTGCCTTGGCTGAAAATAATAGATTTTTTACAGTAGAAATGGACCGAGATAATATATTGTACGCAATTTACGTAGATCTTTGTGTGTTAGACCTTCGTGGCTATTTGTACTTGCTGAACTATCGATCGTGCAAAATATAGATAGGAGAGACTAACAAGATAGATGGAAAGAGAAGGAGAGAGGATGATTAGGATTATGATAAAAACGAGGCTTTTGCTGTTTTGCTTAGATGCCTTGTATTTCCCGTATTTTGAAGTTTCATAACATTTTTGTAACATTTGTATTCGATTTTTTTGTCACACGTCGAATATACATCGAGAGTCCCTGTATTTATCTGTACTATATAATCGAAATAATTAATTTAATATTTCAACATAACTTCCAGAATTGGCCACATCAGATAAGTCTTATTGAAATGAAATCTTGAGTAAAGATATTATCTCTCGAAAGTTGAGAAGCTTGTTTCGCGAAATTACTTATTTTATTGTTGGATTTGCAGTATTGTGATTATAGATTGCGAGAATAAAAGGAAATCTATTAAAATTATAGGACATTTTTTTATACATAGAACATCATTCACATATATCTGCTCTTTCATTTATAATCGTTTTTATTATAGATAAATTTATTTAAGGATTTTAAAATGCATTTTCACTAAGATATAAATAAGATATTAAAAATCCATATATTTTCAGTAATCATTATTTTTAGTTTGGACTTTTTTGAATCTTTATTATAATTATCCATAAATTATATATAAATATTTTTTCCGAATTATGAGAGAAGATAAACAATGATATATAGAAAATGCAAAATTTTGTTTATTAATTTTATTTCACTTAAGACGTGTTGCACGCACCTTGTTGTGAGACCGTATTGCTTGCCGTAAAAGTCCTCTCTATTTGTGCGATAGTAATGCAGACTTTCCATGCCGATTCGCATCGGCCACGTGCCCTGCACCTGATACATATTTTTGCATAGTTCCGGTGAGAATAATAAGATGCACGATCGACGATTCATTAGGTTGTCCAGTTTGACGATATCTCCGTAGTGATCACGCAGCATCCGCAATTGCGTTATCATATTGTGTGCACCATATTGACCTATCGTTTTTTATGCATTAATGAATTAAGAAAATAAGAGAATAAATTGTATTTAAAACAATCAACATATCCGTTTAATTACACGTAGAATTATATTTTAAGACTTTAAATCTAATATTTCATTCAGAATAGAAAAAAAATAAACTGCAATGGAGGAGAATTTTTCGAACTTGCGACGAGAGGAAAGATCTCTTACCTATGTATGGTATGAATCTAAACCAATTGCCAAGCAAGGGCAATGCTTTCGGGCCGGGAATATTCTTAGTCGGCTGCACGAACAGTTGCAGTGCATTGTTCTCCTTCTTCATTTTACTACGTTCACCAGAAGTCGTAGTCGATTTTACGTGACATTGTCCTCTCGATAACAAACACGAGTCATTAATTTTGCAAATGAAGGATCTGGTATGCATCATGCTTGTCGAATGTCTCTTAATTTTCTTCCTGCAAAATATTCATAATATTTGTTGCTAACTGAACAATCTTGTAAGATTATCAATGCAATGCTTTCAATATACGGCTACGTTTGTCGTCATTTGCACAGCAAGAGATGTATGAAACTATGTCGCTCGATAAATACAGCTCGGAATATTAATTTAGACTAGTGGAAAAATATCACGCTGAACTAGGTAATTTAAGTTTGAAGATTTTTGTAGAATGCATGAAGATAATTTTAGCAAGAATTGATTAATATATAAACGATTGATTTATTGTAGACATTTATTTATTATATATTGACTATATGATTAGTGTATAAGAAAAGAAGAGAATCAAAATATGATGATTTGACATTGTTAGGTCAACTTGACATCGATAAGTTTTTTTGTAACAGGATTCTCAGATTCTATAAAAGCGGATGATATGGATATGCGCGAAATTTATTACAAAATATATTCACTGCGTTACACAATGAACGAAATTAATTTTAAATTTCATGTTTGTTTCTCGGTTTATTCGTGACCGTATGTGAAAAATCGAAATTGAAGTATAGAATTGAAAACATTTGCGTGATATATGCACTTGTATAAAATTGAAACAAAGCGCATTTGAAATCCAGCGCAATCTTTTACTAAAATCCTTTCAATCCGTGTATCTTCTCTCTGTAAATTGGCCGATCTTCCACGCGTCCTTCGCGATGGAAATCCCTTTTACATCGAACTAGAATTGGTTTGCGATTTTTTATAGTAAATATAAATATATGACGTTTATATAATATAAATATAATATATAAAGAAATATTCGCGCAATGTAATTTTTTATTATCGCGATAGTGTTTATACTCTGTAAATCAGAATTTGCATAAATGCGATGTTACGATGAGAGATGTAATGTACTCAATTAAATACAATAGTTAACGTAAATTTTCCGAGGAAAATACGCGCCAGCTTTGTATGATTAAGTAACCAGTAACGTGCTTGCTCGATATAATTGACCAAACTGCAAACGTAGAATTCTCCGGATTTCCTCATTTAATACCATGCGGAAATGCAACGATAAGTGCGATCGATGCGTACAGACAAATAACGCGAATTACTTACCGCGATTGCAATAAATGCACTGAAGATTTTTTTATTAACAGTATAATGTTACTAATAGCACTAGCTCGGCACGACTAATCGGTCCTATATGGTAGATAAACAATTAGAAACGGGCAAACTGGTTACATTTCTGTTTGCTATTTACATCTACATATAAGTCTCTCGAAGCTTTCAAACGAGAGGGAGAAAAATAAAGAGGAGAGAGTGATAGAGAAAGAGATGAAGAGAAATTTTAGAAACTCTTTCTAAAATATGAAAAAAATACAAAAATAAACACAACTGTCCCTAACTAAAGCACAAAATTATTTCGAACGCTTCCATATAATTATTATGTTTGAAATCTTAACTGACGTGAGAAAGAAAGATGAAAACATATTTTTTTGCCTATAGGTTTGTTATTACATTTGACGTAACTAATTTGGATTGGTTTAAAAATTGTAGAAGATATAAAAATTCATCACTGACAATGAAACGGAAGCTTCTTAGTAATATCGAGATAGATTTTTCTTTCTCTTTTTTTATTAATAGACATGAAGAGAATAAATAATTGATTTTTTGTACGTAGATACAACAAAAGATAAGGAATAACGTCATAAATACTAAACATTTCCGTTATATTTTACATTTGTAACGCGTCTTAATACGATATTAATTTTTAATACTAATGGAAATGTCGTGGAAGATAAATGTGTTGGCATGCCCTCTCTTTCCGAAAGATTATCGCGTGCATTTATAGAAGAAATAATGCCGAGTGTATTTTTTAGCATTCGGATTTATTCATTTTTCACAGATATAATTATGTTATGTACAATTTATTTTTATTCATATTAGAATTTGTAATAATATTGAATTAAACGAATGAAGAAATTAGTTGTAACAATGAAATAAATTAAATCGTGCCTAAATAAACGACAATTATGGTTCTATTTGTGTACATAGTGATTATATATACATCGCAAATTATATTTTCTTCAATAATAAAGATTTTATTCAATTGTTGAAATGATATCACATACATACATACAGCGAATATTTAATAATAAAATAAAACCGCATTTATTAAATATTTTTTCTCTTATTATTTTAATATTACTGTAATACGTATAATATTGCAATATCTTTTCCAGAATAATTTAAAATAAAATAAATATACAAATATTAATATTTAGTAAAATAAATTTCACTATGTAACATTTATGACTTTATATCTCATATTTTTGTACCAAACATGAGCATTTATATTCGTTTTATCATGAGCTTCCCAAAAAGAATAGCCTACGTTAAATTTTCCTATGAAATATCCTTCTCGGGCGTAGATGAAAATTGTAAGAATCACACAGTCGGTCGATATATACATATATACGATGTCTTCTTTACCCCGGTTGGCTTCTTTGGATTTCAGGTGCTCGCAAGCGTTGATTGTAGCGTTATTTGTTGGCGTTTATAATTTAAAAAAAAATGGCGCAACGTCGCGCAATGAAGGACGACGATTTTGACGGAGAAGCACGAAGCGTGAATCGAGCGTAGGAGATTTGAGACGATTTACAAATCGATGAGCTTGAATCGCATCGGCGACGCGAGCGTGTTTATATATCGGCTTTCGTACTTCAGCGGTCCGTGATGCCATTCGATCCGGAAATTTCGTATGACCTAGATAAAACAAATGCGCTTTTAGTATGTTTCTTTTGCTGTTTGCCGCGTGCGACGAAAACGATTGGGTAGGGTAGTGCAAGCAACGCGTTTTCTCGTACTTTTCCCTCCGAGAACCATCTCGAGAATCAGCGATTTAATTGAAAAGTGTGATTCCGAAACTCGTAATACTCTAAGAGATTGCTTTTAATTTCCGTGTCAAAACTTTGCGAAAAAGCAAACGTTATAACTCACATATAAAACTAATATCTCAGTGCTGAGACAATATCTGAGTATGTACGGTTTATAGATGTATGTATGCATGTGTGGGTAGGTGCATTTGAAATGTCAATTTCAGATATATTTAATTAGAAAAATTGAGAAATATTTCGAAAGCAAATATTTATACGAGTATATTAATAAGAGTAAAAATAGCTATTTGTGCAAAAGTGTATGCTTATTAACATCAATTGTCGCCCCGAGTTGTGGAATCGTACTTTTTAATTCTTTACGAGGAGAATAACGGCGTAAACGAGAGAATCCGCGAGAATATTTAGTCTTTCGGGAATTCATACTTGAGCGTGACATCGTTATTTCATTGCCATGCATAGTCACGCATAGTCCGATGCTCCAAGGGAATCTGCATATTATGCAAGCGCATTGTCCGTTTCAGTTATTATCTTTGCATACGATATACTTTTTCGCGCGCGTGCGCGTTTAAACCTTTCAACTTATTAAACATCTACGCTTAGCATGTATGAATAAAACATGATTTGAAAGAAGAGCGTAGTTTTCCGCGCAAGACGAACGAGTGGATTGGAAACAAACCGACAAAAATTGGTTTTCCTCGCTACACTCATTTAAAGGATGTTTACATTTATTCTCCGACCGGCTGTGTACATCATGTGCGTGAAAACATGCAAACAAGTAAAATGCAATAAGAATAACAAAATTTGGTGCTCGTAGTAACTTCTTTTTCATTACTCGACAAATCTTGAATAATACAGTAAAGCAGAATCAAGTCCTTGGCCGAGAATAAACGTATTAATTTAAAGAAATAAAGGAAGAGATAAAAAAAGAGAAGATGCAAATGGATTGTTAACAAGATGATGATTAATTCGCCAACTGCTTGATAATGATATATGAAATCTTATCTTTCTCGTCAATTATCAACTCAAGTATGTCGACAACTTTTATCTAAATTTTTAATTGCGAAAATTTAAACATAATCGTCAAGATTTTAAGACATTTTTGATCGACGCTATTATTCTCCGAATAAACGATGCGAGTAAAAATCCAGTTATCTTGATCCGATTGACTGGATTTCGGGAGCGATCGAATTGTCAGCGGAATAAGAAGTTTACAAACTGTCAAGAGCAATGTCTCAAGTTCCATCTCGGCAAATCGTCGGCCGGCGCATGTACGAGGGCCAAATCCAAAGGGCATATACGCGAAGGGATGCGCCTCCCTAGCTGATGGAAACTCTGTATCGCCCCGCATCCATCTCTCGGGAATGTACTCTTGCGGTAGCGGAAACTGCGTAGGTTCCATCGCCATCAGTGAATGACAGGCGAGGACATTAATCTAATGACATACGAAGGAACTATTGAAAATTTCGTTAATATACAAACTGTTTTGCGACATGCTCGACTCTAGTCATAAATTCTTTTTACACGCGATTTAAAACAAGATTTTTCTTGGTAAGAATATATTAAATAATTTTCCAAATTCTTTCGAATTTTTTCATCTTGAAATATGAGAACGCAGACATTAATTATAGAATAAGAGGCTAATCTTAAATTCTACAATTAAATAAGAAACACGAGAAATAAAAAGCGACACGCACTCCCGCTGGTATCTTGTATCCTCCAATGCAAACATCGGTTGCCATAGTTCTGAGATTGCCGATAGAAACAGGAAACAGTCGAAGGGACTCTTTGATGCAAGCCTTGACGTACTTTAATTGTTTTAAAACATCATCCGTAATAGATGACGTTTTATTCGGTAATAGAGATATTACTTCTTCTCGCAGCTTCTCTTGCTTCTCCGGATTATTCGCGATGTAATACAGCATGCTTCCAGCTACGTTACCGGTCTGTAACAGATTATTAATCCAACGTGACTATGCAAGCAACATATCGTATTATTTCTACAAAGTTAGTATTTCACTTTTAGAATGTCAATTTGACGTGGGCGAAATTCTCCACTTTTTCCGAAAAATATCATATTCTCGATATTTACAAAAGGACTGCAATATTTACTTGAAAAAAATGGTAAAGATTTTATCTTAATCTGGATTTATTATTACTTTATTTATACTTTATCACGCGAAGAATAATTCAATGAATGATGACAATTATTTCGATCGTTGACAAATGTTAGAATCTCGTACTTACCGTATCAATGCCGGCTGTTAACATATCGAGCGCCATAACGCGAGCCACTTGTTTGTCAAGACGCAAGAGCTTTTGCAATATACTACAATTATGCGTATCATTATTTAGCGTCGTTTCGTCAAGCTTCAGCTCAGCCTCTTCGATATGTTTAATGGCAATTCTGAAAGAGATTGTCAACGATAATGATCGAAATTCATAAATTATCTTAATATCGCTAGTCAAATAATTAAAGGATCAATAAATTGAAAGAATTAGGCTCTTTATATATTTAACAACACGATACACAATAAACGAGCGATTAAGAACCATCGCGGATGACAGTGCGTAAATTTTTTCTTGAAGATTAATTACGAAAATAACTCGCGAAAATTTATAAACGTGCACAAGGCATATGCATATATTTTATATATATTTGCTTGATGCATTTAAGATACAGATTCTCATTTTTGAGAATTCTATAAATCCCTCTTTACCCCCCTGATGAGACGAGAAAAATATCGGGGCGAAGTCGTTGAATCGGGAATAATTAATCTTAATTAATCGGGAGTAATTAATCTTTAAGAAAAAATTTACGCACTACAATCCGCGGTGGCTCTTAATCGCTCGTTTCTTGTGTATCGTGTAATCAAAGAATCATTGGAAATAATGTAATCGACCTATATAAATCATAGTTTTGTGACTTGTGAAGTTTTACAAAACTATGACTTATATCTACTCTTTGATCTGGTATACTTGAAAAGGATATCACAACCATACGGTCGAGAATTAATAAATAAAATTTTGACTAGTTTTGATCGATTACATTATTTCCAACGATCCTTTGATAATGATCGAACTCGGTAGAATTAAAAACTTGGGTGATTATTAACACGCGGGAAGCGCGTGCTAGCGTAACAGGGGGGATGACATAGAACTATTAATTGTCATTCTACGAAAAGTAATTACGGACGACACACGATTCATTATTGATAACGAGCTAGTCGTAGCTACACGACACGAAAATGCCAGAGAAATATACGGAGGATTACGGTAATGACGATGAAAAGTTGGCGTATTCACAGGAGTTTGCGAGTAATACGCTGACGTGGTGCGGTATAACGAGTATAAGTTTCAATATTTACCCATTAAGCGTATCTAGCACATGGAAGAACTTCTTGAGATTCCGCGTATTGTACAGCCTCCACAGAGACGGCAGAACATCCAAGCGGTACATAAGATCGAACATTTTATGCACGCAATTAATCATTATTTGCGGCTCCGAGTCGGCGGCGAGATTAGACTTTAAGCACCCTAGTCGACAATCCAGCGCGATCGAACCCATTGCTGTTAATTACAAATAATGACAGATTATTGTTTGACGATCGACGAGTCTAATATTGCAACAGAGAGCGGCGCGTTTTTAACTTTCCGCTCTCGTCGTATCGTTTACAAATGCATCGCGATCCACTCGTATATTTACAGAGCCGCAAAGTGAATTGCGAGTGCAAACTACTTTATCAATTCTATTGTTGCAAGCGAGTTTTATATGTACATATATTTCACTCCCGCGATACTTCATCTCCATTTTTGAAGAGGATAAAAACATCGGTGGCGAAAAAGTATCTATCCGACGGACTCACATTCTAAGGCCCACTTGTACAATTCGTTTTTAAAATCGCCAGGCACCTCCAGGGTTTCAGGATCTCGTAGCGTACGCATCTTTTCCACAAATTCGTCGGCCATTTGGCTGATTTGCGCGACGTGCGGCGTGATCGCTCGCGGTTGCATCATATGTGGATTGATTTTCGAGCGAAAGTCGTACCACGCTTTGCCTTGGCTGAAGACAGAAGAGGGCTCTTTTTAACGGGAGAGGCCGATACATCGTACGCAATTTACGCGGCCTATGCGTTTGATCTCCCCGCGGTTCTCTGTATACTTGCTCGACTATCGACCGTCCAGGAGACAGACGAGAGTGACCAGCACCAGAGAGGGAGAAGGAGAGAGGATGTATTAGCGGCGACGAGGACAAGGGTTGCTTCGTCAGCTCGTGTCCTCGTATTTTGACGAATTTTCGAGATATCGATTCGTGTTCTAACCGAATATAGCTAATGGAGCATTATTAATCCAACACTTTGGCAAGACATAATTTACGGAACCATTCGTGAGATGGGATGTAATATCAAATAAGCAAAAAATATCGCGTCTTAGAAACTGAGAAGATTGCTTCGCGAAGTTACTTACGCTTCGCGTTTCTTATATTTCGCGATAACAGACTGCGAGAATAAAAACCTGCGGATGGGTGAATAAATATAATCAGTCGTGCGTAAAGAATGGAAATTCCTCTCTTCCAAGACGCGCTACCAACCTCGTTCCAAGACCGTACTGCCCGTCGTAGATGTTTCTTCTACTCTCGCGATAGTGATGCATACTCTCCAAGCTAATCCGAATCGGCCACACGCCTTCCACCCGATACATCTTTTCGCATAATTCCGATGAGAATAATAAGATGGTCGTTCGACGGCCTATTAAACCGTCCAGTTTGACGATGTCACCGTATTGATCACGCAGCATCCGAAATTGCGTTGTTAAATTGCCGATATATGTGCCGTATTCACCTGCGTCGTTTTTTTTTTATTCGAATTAATAGAGCGAGAAAAGATGTTGTTGGATTAAACAATTGGCACATTTTTTTTTTAATACAAGGTGACAAGGTGATAGATGTAAGATTATATTTAAATTCTCTCATTCTTTAATATTATTTTGTTTTATCTGATTTTCGTTAAATTTTGCACCTCAATTTGAGCAGGAAAGAATAACTCAGTAAGAGATAAAAAGTAGTCGAGTTTGTATTAGAGATATCTTACCTATGTATGGTATGAATCTGAACCAATTGCCAATCAAGGGCAACGCTCTCGGACCGGGAATATCCTTGAACGGCCGTGCGTTTTGTAGCTCGTTATTGATATTCCTCATTTCGCTCTGTTCGGTCGAATAATTCGCCATCGATTTCGCGCAATATTTCGATAACAAACGCGAGTCAATAATCTCAGCAATGAGAAACTTGGCGAGCATCTTGCTTTATCACGATCTTGGTCTTGTCGTTTTGCAATATATATATATATCTGTAAATATTTGTCACACCTGATACTACTGAAGGATATCGCATTATTATTGATTTAACGCATTTAACATATGTCGGGTTACGTTAGGTTATTTACAGCAATGGACATGCGAAACTATGTCACTCGATAAATATTATATATGACTCGGAATATTAGTTTAGACTAATGGAAAAATATCGAGAACCACGCGTAGAATTTATAAGACAAACACATACAGCCGTACGAATAACGTTGTCGCACATGCGCGCGATGCCGAACTTTTCTTAATATACACGTCCTAGTTGTGAAAAATGAAAGACCAACATTGAAATTTTAATCTTGAGTAAGAGATTAAAATACGGTGGAAAGTCTTCTCACTTGGGAATATATTTCTCCGCGATAGAAATGTTAATTCGTTGATTGATGCACGTAAAACTGCTTTTTCGAAATTTCCGATAAATGCGCTGGGACATAATCTACATAATTTTTTTAAATTATTGTCATTAATCGATTTGATTGATGCTATAAATTAACAACACGAAATTTATTTATTTGAGAAATTGTAGGAGTTTAGCAAATATGGAAAAATAGCATTTTAATATTGAAAAAATTTTTCATTTAAAAAATTTAGAGAGGAATATTTTTTATTAAAAATGTATTTTAAATAATAAAACTAAAATAAAAATACATTTTTGAAACAAAATTATAATGCCGTTCTAATTAAAAATATGGCCATGATTTAATTTTAATAAAAGATAAAAAATAGAGAATAGCTATTTTTTATCTTTACTTGTCATTTGACTAATGAAGAGAGTTCTTGAAGCATTTATTTTTTGTAAAACTAGACATTTAAATTTAGAAATTGAATTTTTCCAATTTCTTCAATTTTTTCATTTTTTACAACTAACTAAAAAAATAGAAATTTGATAAAAGTTTTAATCGAAAATGACAAATGTATAAGAATAAAAAGATTTATTTTTACATTTTAAATGTCTATTTTAATATTAATAAAAAATTTTAATAAAGAATTTTTTTCTTTTTTTAAATAAAAATTTAAAAAGCATTTCACTTTTCAATTCGCTAGACTCTTACGATTAAGATTTTGTATATTTTTAGGTTTTGTATATTTCTAAGTTTTGTATATTTCTAGGTTTTTCAGAGAGTTTCTTTATCCCAGTTGGATGTTTATATACAGTTTTGGCAGTCAAAAGCTTAAGGATGGACGATTTGCCGCGTGATATTTACAATCGGTCGACGTCTCGGGCTACCATTCAATTCGGACATTGTATAACCTGTAAAGCACGATAGGGGGATTTTCCGGGAGATATCGAGTTATGGTCCCAGGGAGACCCTGGCGCGGCCTGGCTATGCCGCTGGACCGAAACACGCGCGAGTGCCTCTATATCGACACACGTCAGTCCACGTTATAGCACTACGACGATGATGACGACGAGCCCGAACGCCCCCCCCATTTTTCACCTTCCCCCGCAACGCGAGCGTTTCGATCCGACATTTCCCGTCTTAGCTTAACCCTCAGACGTCGGAAATACTTTCAATCCGGAGAGTAACGAAAATAGGTCATATTTCACCTCGTGGCCGTTCTTCGTGGCACGACAGGTTTGTTATTACAAGTTCCGAATGCAGGAAACGCCTGATGAAGCAACTTTTGCCGCGTAACTTTTACCCTACCATGCAATATTTTTTTTTCTTTTCTCCTTTTTTTTCATCGGAGAAAAATGACGCAGCCTTTTCAAGTCTCAATGGTATCTTTAATGAGTCGCAACGAGTCGAACTAGTCGACATTCGGATTAATAGATGTAGCAAAACTTTTTAAATATTTTATCGATTATATTTCGATATTACGCAGATATCGTGTCTTGTGAAAGATTTATCATTCAATTAAAGAATACTGATTAATTTCGTAAGCCGCAATCTAACCGAGCTTTACGGCTTTGATCGAATCTCTGTCTTGTCTAGTAATCGACGAATGTCGATTTGAGCAAAAATATTTATAGAATGTAATTCTAATATTATCTTATAGAATGAATGTAGTTGAAATAATTAGCGAATAATGATCTACAAGTTATTTATTTATTTTACTTATTTATTACCACGATGCGCGCGATGTAATTATTTATAAATAATATAAAAAAATAATATATAAATAATATATAAAAGAGAATAAGGAAATGTGAGAAATATATGTAACATAAATAAGGAAATGATGATATAATTCAATAAGATCTTATAATTAGATACATGCTGATGCGCGAAATTTCGCGGAAATATTACGCAATACTGCAGATGACATCAATCTTAGGTTCGCTTATCTTAAAAAAAGGATCGTATTTTCAGCAAGATACGCGTGTAGTATAATGCATTTTAATTAAAATATTGTTACACGTGTATTTAGAGATACTGTGAAGTATAACGATAAAGCAACAAAGGACAAAAAGGAAGCGGATTCCGCATTGAAACGTCAAACTATATGTCTCAAATATTCGCAGTATTCGACATAATGTCGGAATTGAGGGCAACGTGCGCATATATATATATATATATATTATATAGTGTATTACGCATTCGCGTAACGCTCTGCGTCAAATTGGAACAAAGCGCACTTACAATCGAGCGCGATCAAACAATATTGTATGAGATACGTACCTTTGAGTCTGTATCTTCGTTCCGTGCAGATTTGTCGATTTTCCCATCTACGTGTCTTCTTGAGATGGAATAGCCCGTGCACTAAATCTAAAAACTACTTATTTACCTGTTGCCTCTTGAATAAATGAGAATATATTTATAAGAATCAAACATGTACAGAGATGTGCCGCGAATGTACGATCTTAAAGTCTTTTGATATCGCGAAGATATCGATTAGCGACTGAAGCTGTTATGACGCGAAACACTTGGTCATTTGCAAGATTAGCGAGAAAAGTACCGCGCCGATAGTGGCTTTATCAGACTGAATGGCAAGTGACTGATAACATTGCTTCCTGCGATCGCACGTGGAATTGTCCCCACTTCAAAACGTCAAAAATCTCGAGTACTTTTGTTCGTTTGACACAATCAAAATAATATTAATGCCATCGACACATGCGAAGGAGCGAGTTACTAATCGCGATTATACGATAAATATGCCAAGGTTTTGAATTTATTTTTAAATTTAATTTTTTTCCCTCTCTAACAAATCGTTGTTAATCGATAAAATTAATTATTGATCGTGTACGATAAATGAACAATTAGAGATGGACAAATTACATTACATTCCTTCATCTCGATTATTTATCGATTATTTTAACGAGTTTCGGTAACGGAGAGAAAGAATAAGAAAGTAATAGAGAAAAAGGAGAAAATTGTTTATTTTTATCTTAGAACGAGCGTTCTAAGGTATATGAAAAGTAGAATAAAATAGCATAGAAGAGTCAGGTTAAAAGTGTCACAGTTTTAAATATAGCTCAGACAAAGCGCAAAGTTATTTCAAACACTGTCATATAATCATCCTGACCGAAATTTTAACCGAAAAGAAAGGCGATAACAAAGATGTTTGTTTCCCTGTAGAGGATTGTGATGAAACTTAACATAAATTTAAGTTGGGATCTTAAAATTGCAGAGAATACAAATTAGCGCGCGGAATAAAAGCTCTTCGATAATATCGAGACACAGACTTTCTTTTTTTTTCTTTTTTTTTTTATACAAATATACACAAAGAATAACTGATTAGTCTTTTGCACAGGTTTTGGAAGAGATAAAGGACACATAAATACTATAAACATTTTCATTATACATGTATTCAGGACATTAGGCGTTATATTATTATAACTTTCAGGAGGGTAATAGAAATATCGCGTGATTAACATTTTTCCGAAATGTTATTGCATACATTTAGAAATATGTAAAAAAAAATAGAGGATATTATAAATATTATAAATTTTATTATCCACATTATATTGTTTGTGACACGTGTCTTAACATTAATTCTCAAGAATGAAATATCGCGAGATAAGAATCCATGTTCTCTCTCGAAACGTTATCGCGTGCATTTAGAGAAAACGCGCATTGGACATTTAATCTCGAATAAGCTCGCGTAATTCGCAGTTAGCACGCGACGTGGAATAAAATAACTCGTGACACTTTCATAATGTAGATGCCACGATACAAGTTTTCGCCGAGGAAAGAATAATCTAGACGCCGCGACGTAAATTTTCGTTAAGACCATGTCTAGCTGAAATTCGATCAAGAATCGCGTGGCAGAAATCTGAAACGCCATTTATTTTCACGTATAATCTCATTTCTTGTATATTAAACACGCAATATACGCGCATTTGTATACCGGCAATTTTCGAAATTGAAAAAGAAAAAAAATGAAGGAAAATCTGAAATCAATATTTATTTTTATCCCGCGTCTTTCTTTGCAAAATTATTTATTGTTTCGTATCGTTTCATCTTCTATAATTATTACGTATCGATTTATTTGTCGATGTTACGACGCATTTATATAATTGACACGATACTTTGGAAAGAGCGTAAGTCGTGCGTTACGTCTCGTTATATCTCGAATTGCATAACGCGTGAAAAAGAGAAGAGCTCCAAGGGCCCGTCGTGTTCACGCTCGCATTAGACGTGAATTCGATCGTTTAGCGTCTCATTACGGATCTTGACGCTTTCGGTTAGCTCGAGGGTGAAGACTGGAGGCGAAAACGAACGTCATGTATGTATGGCGTATATCGACGGTTGGAAGCGTGATTCTGTCTCGGGGGTCTAATCGGTTCAATCGTAACAATGGTATCATGAAACGGTATCGATACGCCGTAACGATATCGAATGAATTTTTGCCGCGATTGTTGCACTCGTGATACTTAGACAACTCGAGAGCAACGAGAAACGGAGACGATCGCTCAAATTTTTCTCGGAGGAAAACCTCTCGCGAATAACGCGAGAAATACTCGGTCATTTATGTCGATATTATTTTTATTGATGACTCGCTATGGACTGTATTTATAAATTATATTTATCGTAGGCGAGGAAGAGTCGAAATCGGTAAAAGTAGCGCGCGAGAAGAGGGACGCTGGATGCTGGAGGCGAGAGGAATCGGTGGCGCCGACGTCGTCGTCATCGTCGGCACCACCGGCGGCAGTGGCCGCGGCAGCGCAGGAAAGGCTCGCGAGAGAGAGGCGAAAGATGTATAGAAAATCTGGTGGCGGGCTCTCTCTCTGGGCGTCGCGGGGCGGTGAATGACGTCACGTTGCTAAAGCGACGCGGCAACGCGAGGCGTCTGCGTGGGTCGGTGGGTGTCTGGGGGTCCGGGATCAATAGCGCGCGCCAGCAACCAGGTAGTAGGTATGGGTGCATGTAGCTTTCTCCACGGTGGCAGTCCAGGAGACGGACCTCGCGAGGTAGGACACTTTACGAGTCGAGCGAGAGAGAGATAGAGGGAGAGGAGAGATAGATAGGTAGATAGGTAGAGAAATAGAGAGAGTTCGGCGGCCTGTCAGTGTCGTGCCGGAGAAGAGCGGCGCTATGCCAATAATCGAGCGTAGCAGCGGGGTGTCCAGCGTCTAGGACTGTCAGCCTCTCCAGGTAAGAAGGGTCCAGCGCCAGCGTCCTCCTTCCTTCCGATCCCGGTTACGTGGCCGAGAGCGCGCGAATCTCGTTCCGAATCTCGTTCCGAATCTCGTCTCCGCAAATTCCCGCGGCGCGATTGACGTCTGCTCGGGAATCGTGACAGGGAATTCCCGGGACTCTCGCTTCTTCTCTCTCTCTCTCTCTCCCCCTCTCGAAAGAGAGAGAGAGAGAGAGAGAGAGAGTGCGAAACGAATCGGACAGCGTGCGACCAATCTGCAAGTCGATCGAGGTGGCGTGTAAGATCTCAAAGTAACATGGAGCGAAAAAAAGGCGAGCGACTGCGAGGAGCTAGCGAGAAGGAGAGAGAAAGAGGAACAAGTGGGAGAAGCGGGCATAGATTGGCAGATAGATTGGATAAGTACGTACGCACGCATGCACGCAGGTAGCTAGGCGGATGACATAGGGATGGATAGGTTGAGGTTGATGGATGGATGGACCGATGGGCGGATCGACGGCAACGCCGAAACGGACGGGACGGATAGATAAATATGGGCAATTGGCAGAACGGAAAGACGGATTTCGCGGATACAAACGTAACGGAATGCGGATGAATGGATTGCTAGGTCAATCGCTCGACACTGTTGAAGATTGCGCGACCGGAAAAATGTAGTCCCTTTTATCAAGATTCCCAAGATTTCGTCGTTTCGTGTAAACCGACGGTGAAAATCACAGAGAGATATATATTTTGAATTTTTTAAATTTGTATCCATCTAAAAAAAAATGAGAAACATTTAGATATCAACGATTATAATTTTTTTTTTCAAACGAGATATTCAGATATGCGTTTCTTTGTAAAAATAAATTGGTGAGAAGGAACGAACAATGGAGATTGAGAGATGGCTTATTATTCGCGAGAGTAATTCTGGAGAGAACCGGTTATGAATATTAAGTTTTTAAACGCGCGCGCGCGCGCTTTATGCTAATTTTATTTTTCCGTCGGATTTTGCTTAACGATAAGCATGACGTATATTTCGCCATTAAAGTTGCATCAAGATTGATAAATTGCTGGGACGCGTCAAATATACGATGCCATTAAACTATGGCGCGCGGATGCATTTTCGAGCGCTTTATTTACCCTCCGTCAAATGGCTTTTATCAATCAATGACTGAATGATCACAGCGAGATGATCAGTCGTTTCGCGTGATAAACTAATTCGTCGCGGGTGAAATGCATGTGTATCCCCATACGTTATCGCTCTAATGACGATGACAAAGATACACCCACGCACACATACACAAACACACAATATATATATATATATATGGCAAACTAACTCGGGGCATATGTCGTAAATCGCTTGCCTGCCTCCTCGCGGTAACCTACCCGCACGCTCTTCTTCTTTGTCACCATTTGTCAGCACCGTACCTAAATTATGAGTTATGGTGTCCGCGTGGTCTATTCACGTAGCTCAAGTATGAAGAAAGGGTTTATTAAACTCCATATAAAGGGAGAAATCGATATTCTTTCAATATACTCGCGGTAAATTTCACTCAATTTTGCGCAACGTTTATAGAAAAGATTTCCCAGACAATTATCCAAGATTCATCTTGATTGTAAATTTCGCGCAACCTGCTTTTCTCGCATCTTGAAGATATAAAATAGATCACTTTTAAATGATTAAATTAATTCACGTTTTAATCTCGAGATTTTGATATAATTTTTCAAGTGCTACAGATTATCAGTAAAATGATAGAGATTGCGTGTTATCTCATCCACTGACAAAATGCTAATTTGTTAACGATAGATATAAGTGATAGGAGCGTAATTCACGAAGCGAGATGTTTCGGGGCGATACGATCGCTCTCGCCTTTCCCGGTATCGCAAACGACTTTGACACATTATTGATTGAAAAATATTTCTTATTATCTACTTGCCGGCTCACTTGCTTGCCGTTCACGTACAGATCTCGTTAGGCGCAATCGCGCTCAATCATTGTCTCGCGTCCGGTCGGAACAAAATACGAGCAGTTCGTTAAAATCATCTTCTCGTCGGCGTACTTTATCGTCGACTGTCCGCTCTCGAATGGCAAATAACAGATAATATTCAACGCGCGGAATATTCCACCATGGATCCCGCAATATCGCAAAACAACAGAGATTAATACGCGAAAGGTATAAAGCGATCAAATATTTGCACGGGACTGTAGATTTAAAGAAGTTTAATTCTCTCGATTTCTCAAACACTCGCACGATTGAAAATATCTCAATCGAAGTTGCTCTTTACTCGGGCAAGAATACGCGTACTTTTCTTTTTACCGTAAGTAAATTAAGGTTCCAGCTGTGATCGAAAATCACATGCTCGAGATCTCGGCAACAATATTGCAAAGAGCAAAGGCTCGAAGGAGGGGAAGCGAACTGGCATTCAAACGGCCGATTAGCTCTCTCAAGTACCCGGAATATGCGGGTATTTCGAGGTCGGGGGTCGAGGGTCGGGTCGGTACTCGAAACTTTCGGGTTACCCGATATTGCCGACCAACGTGTCGTCGCGCCATATTTCACGATCTTAAAACACCCGTAATTATTTACGTACATCGCGCAATTTCCGAGTCTAAAGTTGCGTCAAAAAAAAAGAGAGAAAAAGGAGAACCCCCTCGAAATACACTCGACGAAATACACTTGACGCTATTGTTCGTAGAATGCCACGTGTGTAATTTATTATAGCGGACGGGAAGGATTTTTCAGACGACCCCTTGTCTTATCCGACGGAAAATCCCGCATTCTTTCGACAAAAATAAGTTGCGTGCGCGTATCTTGGCAAGCGTTCAATTCTCGCGCGATGCAACCACTTGTGCTTAAAGTCACGCTCAAGGCAGCCGTCCAATTCGCGTCAGCCTTTCAGATAGACAAATAGATGAAGCGGACAAGCGAAATAGACCCCGTCATCTCCCTCACTTAATGAAAGATACCTCGGATTCGATCTCGTCTCAGTGGCACGCGAACGACGATCGCGTCGCGATTTCTCCTCCGTCTTCCGCGGAAGAGACCCTCGATTCGTATATACGTGTGTAATATTAGAGTCCCTCTTGCCATCGCATAATCAATTTAATCTCGCGAGACGGTATATATTCCCGTACGGTACCCCTAGCAAAGGAACACACCGGTCTTGGCCGCGCTTTGATCCACACACACACGTTGCCTTAATTTGATCAATCTCTGGGAGTTGGTGAGACATGGTAAATGGAGGCGTTCTCCGCTTTGTGCCTCGCGCGCTCGTCGAGCTTCCTCGCGTGCTGTATTAAATATCGCGAGCGTATGATATCGTAATTAAGTGAATTATATAGTTTGGAAACAACGCCAGCTGCGACAACTCCGAGAAAGTTGACGTATAATTGGCGGATAATTGACGAAGTCATCATTTTTCGACGGAATCGGGTGCTAAACTCGAGCGTTGTCGACTTTTGCTCGGAATAAAAGCGTTCGTTTCTTCTGAAAAAAAAAAAAAAAACGGAGGATATATCTCGGGTCGCGAGAGAGTAATGTCTAGATTGATCGCGCGAGATATAAGTTTAATCACCGCTAATGGGAGTTTTCGTCCAGTTGGGTGCAAATCTTGTTCCTTGCTTGCAGGCCGGCGCGATGTGGCCTGGAGTACTACCGTTACTGGTGTTACTAGCGGTCCTGCTGCATCCATCGAGGTAGGTATTGTTTTGTCGCATCGATAATTCGAAAACGATCGCGCAACTTTGGAGGTGGATTCCATCGAGTCGTGTCGCGTTCAATTAATAATGCAGCATTCTGCGTTTTTGGAACGTCGTCAAGAGCGGCCCGGTGACTGTTGGTCCGCGTTGCGATAGAAACATAATCCCGAGAAAGCAAGTTATGGCTCGTAAAGACGTACATTATTGACCCCTAGGATTATTGTTACGGCGCATAAAGTTTATACGAGGCTCAAACGTGCTTAGCACGTTCGGCACACGTTCGGAATTTTGTATCCCTGTCCCAATTGTACGAGCGAAAGTGAAGTAAAAATCTCATGGAATCCATAAAATGATTTATCTAAAGAAAAATACAATTTGCAAGTATACGTGTTGTATTCCTTCGTGCTTTGTATTTTCGCGGAATTGGAATTTATTTTTCAAGAGCGGTTGCGTGACGCGGGGAAATTTCTCTTCCCCGGAAATTAGATTCCTCGCTGACGGTATCGTCGCTATGTTTTTTCCAGATGTACGCAGACGCAGGTGAAGGTGAACTTTCGGGAGAAGGAGAAGCAAGTGCTCGACAACATCCTAGGACCAGGCCGGTACGATGCGCGCATCCGGCCGAGCGGGGAGAACGGAACAGGTGAATATAGAGATTCTCGTGCATCCTTATTTACTCCCTCTGCCCATCCTCACCATGTACCGTGTAATTTTGTTACCGACATATCTTGCGGCGAAATCAGCCGAAAAGTGTGAACGTAGGAATATGGAGAAAGAGGAAAGAAAAGAAAAAAAAAAGATGAAAAAACGGGGTGAGAGACGGAGAGATACACATACATACAGTTCGGCGAGAGGGGTTGAGCTCCCCCCCTTGATCGAGTGCGGAAAATTGAACGCGCGATGCAATACGATCTTGCCTTCGTCGTCGTTTGATGCGACGCAACGCGCAGATCGACGAGCGCGCGTCCCGAGTCTATCGACAATACGTGGTATATACATATAATAAGCGAGCGAGACGAATTGTGCGAGAATTTTCCGCACGTCCTTAGTGAATGCATACCGAGCGGCGAGAAATTTCTTCATAAACTTTGCGAATACGAACGGCAGACCGGCCCCGTTTCAACAAGGAGCCGCGATCGGCCTCGAAATCTCGCGAGAGCGTGATTCCTCGCGATATTATTATCGCGATCTTGCCATTGTCTTGGAATTGTCACATATACTAGTTGCCTTCGTAGAGCGGACGGATCTCTTACTAGTGGCTCGATACAAGTATGCGAGTAGATTGGGAGAAATATATCATTTATTAATATCATTTTTATACATAATTAAAAATTTTTTATTTTATACATGTATTATTAACGCATAATTTTATATGGATTATAATACGGGTTATATCAAGGCATAGATTGATCCTTGAGCTTCGATTAAAAAACGATTAATCTCACGACGATGATCGCACTTTCTTGATCGCGATAGAGCAAAGATTTCGCAAATTCCCCCGAGTATCCTCGAGCAACATACGCGAAAGCGATGCGCAATTCATCTTCCAATCTCCTCCACATTACAGGCAAGATGTATCAATTTTTCTCTTTTCCTTTTTTTTTCGCAATGTGGCAATTTCGAGTCCCAAACGGAATCCCACCGATATCGATCGTCGTCGACTGCATCGCGATAAATATCGCGATTCCCGTAGTCAGCGGGTCGAGTGGAAGGCGAGTCGTTGATTTGGCGCGATAGATAAACGAAGCCAAGTAGATACGAGGATGTTGCCTCGTATCAACGAGAGAGACGATGACGATTGTTTGGTCCAGTCGCGTTTATCGTAGCCTAAATCGATTAACTTCTCAAGTGGGCTGCGCACGGTCAAGTACAATGGTAGCCAAGATAAACTAATTAAATATCGGAATATATGACAGCGGAGTGTTATCTGCACTTTGGGCGCTTTTCGAAATCGCTTGCTCGTGCTCGTTTTATATATCGAAAAGAAATTTCAAGAATAATTGTCGTTTGCCGAAATATTTCGCGTAAAAAACAAATATCCTTCTTTCTTCAAATTTTTATCTTACGATAAAACGTTACATTTGCATCTCTATATTTAAATACTAAATAATGCCACGCGACGACACTTCTTTTATTGCATACTTTATTTACTAGAATTCTGTTTATAAGACAGAAAGTAATTACGTGCTAGAAATCTTGAAATCATTATAATGATAATTTATACAAGTACAATTGTATCTTATATTTTATCTTACATCTTTTTAGAGAGACGTTGTCGAATTTAGGACTGAAATCGTAAATAGAATTCTGTCCTCGTAAGGAACCGTAAAAGAGCAATCGAATAAATCGCGTCCCGCGAACGCGATCACGTGTCGCCGTAAAACGGACGAATGCGACGAGAATATTCCCCAGGGGTGCTGCCGCGTGCCTATCCGCAGATATATATCGCGTTAACTCGGAATGGGAGAAGGAGGACGACTTCTTCATTACCTGTGTAAAGGCGTGTCGCGCGATAATAAAGCGTTTTTATAATCACCCGTCCCGCGCGAGTCTCCGAAGCTATTTTTGCATCTCGCGAACGCGATTACGTATAATTCGAACGGAGCGGCGGTGCTTTTTTTTTAAACATCGGATCGCGTGCCTTGATAAACGCGACGCTCATTAATTTTATTGCCCGAGTATTAGCCGTGAATGCGCGTCGTCGGGGGTGAGTTTTTGCTCGGCCGGGAAGGAATAGAAATTCATGGCGCTTCGTGCCCGGCCGCCACTTGGATGCCTTGGCATTAAAAAAAAGAAGAGAAAAAAAGAGGACCGTCGAGATTGCACGCAACAGGACTAATGCTCGACACGTCGCCGAGCGAGCACCGGCTTGAGGAGCAGGACCTCACCGGGCGTAATTCGGCGATGGCCGATTATCGCACCCCTCGATCGATCGCGCATTCGTAATTTCGCCCCGTCCGTAATCAACGACCCGTTTATCGCGTCGATGACGTCGCGCGACGGAGTTAATCGATGATGGGGGATGGTAAACGCCGCGTATGACGCATTCAAGTCCAGCGTCATACTCTCGATCCCCTATGCTCTTTCGATCGATCAGGCGCGAGGGAGAGAGGGTCTTTTTTTATAAAATTGTCGCTCTCATATATTCAATCTATGAGAATGACGAATTTAAAATTCATAAAATGTCTATATGTATGCAAATCTTTTCTCCACGAGTTTTTTTTTTTTAATACACTTATATACATACTCACGACGCATTAACAAGATTATACATCATAAATTAATAATCTGTTAATGGTGCTCTTCAAGTTGAAAAAACGTATCTGCGATAGATGAAGTTTCCGGTTCCGGAAACTATAGGTACCGGCAAGAAAACGTTGATAACAGATGCCGGCAAGAAAACGTTGATAACAGATACGTTTTTAGTTAAAAGGACGGAAATTAGGTCGGCCGAAAATTATGCGTTTCCATGAATCTTTGGGAGCGCTGGGCAATGATAGATGTATAATTTATGAGTCTGCGGATCTGTATTTGCGCTCGGACTACAATTACCTGTAACACGCTACAGTGTGTAACGGTGTAATGAATGGCGCGGTACCAATATCGATCAAACACACTATTTTGCTTCGCATTGTCTGCCATTGCCGTTGATTTACAATCTTGATGAACTGTTGTCGTTCAATCTTTCGCCCAATGTCTTGCATTACTTAGACCTGCGATACCGTCTCGAGCTATTGCAATAGGCGGATAAGCGCTCACGATTGATCACGCGTGGGCGAGTAAGATAAAAAAAAAAATTACACACAGAGGCATTTTACATACTCTCCTGGTCTCCTAGTCGCGCAAAGATGGTAATTTATCTCGCGATTTGGCTGGACTTCTTTCGGAAAAGACGTATACAAATTGACTCGAGATTGTTGCGCATCTGCTACATGTAATTTTTTAATTAATCTTGAGCCGGTTCTCGACGAAAAGTGGATTAAACAAGTTTTCGATTTGCGCTCTTTTTATTTTTCCAGCACTTGACACACATGTATTTAAAAAAAAATTACGAGAGTATTTTATATTAACTTGAGCGAGCGGAGGATATTTTTACCAAACACATTTGCTTTCGATCAGATAACTATAGTTGTGTTATTTTGATCGAGGAGTCTCGTTGCATAATGCATGTGTGTTTGGTAACTGTTGTACTTTGTACACGAAACTCGATCGCCTTTTACAAATAGATCGTGAGAATATATCACTTTTCGTTCAGCTTGCTCCCGACATGTTTTCGCGATCGTACGAAAAAGACAATGTTTCTCTTGGCTCATCTTACAGAAATTAAAATAGGCAAGGAAAAGTATAGTATGAAAATGTCGCTATTACCGCTAGTTGCCTCGAGATAGAATTGAGTCTGTGGGATGGAAAACAATGGCAAACCGCCACATTAGGGAGAACATTACACACGCGTCTTTTGTGGTTGGCACATTAATTGTATCTTACGCGCGTCTTCCGTCTGCATAAAGCAAAACCTGGACCGAATACCGACTATTGTATGCGATGTAACGAGCATAAGTGACTCGAGGAAGATTCATAACTGGCATAGGAGGGAAAAGGAGGAAGTACGAGCGTGCAACTGCACGAATGATATTCATTGCCGAATATTATGAACTACACTAGGTGATTAATCATGCCAGTTATACGATTAAATTCGCTACGATGGTGGAAGGAATTCGTCTTTTCAATCAAACGTATATAAAGTTTGATCTAGATACGCCAGTCATGCAAGTATAAATACGGAATAGATGAAATGTCAAGGAAACAGACAAATATTAACGTGCGCGAATGAAATTTTGCATCGAGGTAAAAAAAAAAAAATGAATAAAGATTGAATATCGCTCTAAACGAGCCATCAAAGACGGTCATATTACTCGGTAATTAAATGAAAACTTGCGCGTAAAATTGCGCGTTTACTTGTGTATGTGTTATTTGTCAATTAAAAGCTTTACAGGATGGAAAATTGAGGAAAATTTTAGCATGTTTGTTAACGTTAAATGAAAGAGAAATATAACACGCCCGCACATAGAAATATTTTTTTATAGAAAAAAAAATCTTAATATTTTTATCTCCTACATCTCGAAAACAATAAGTTTTTATTTATATTTTATTTTCGGAATTGCGCATTCTACTCGAATTCTGATCCAATTAGCTCGTTTCCAATACAACCGTATAAGGTGTGACAAGACAGCTCGAGTGCCTCTTAAATAAGGACCAGTGGCTCACGGTAAATATTAACCGAATCAAAATAAAATCTATCGAGACGATACGTACGTGCTATGTACATATTTGCATTCATGTTTACATTACGGCTCGATCGTCGTCCTGCGATCGAAAGTTAAGCGGGCGAGGCGTGAGAGAACGCCTGTCGGAGCAGGTGTTAACACATGTAACGGAAAGAGAGCCACATGTGGATACGATATCGAGAAACAGAGAGAAGGAGAGAGAGAGGAAGAGAAAGAGAGAGAAACGCACAGACATACACGCAGCATTGATCTGGCTGGAGTCTCTGGCTCGCGATCGGCATGTCATCCGATGCAGTTATGGGATTCATCCGCGGCCGGATTTGGCAGACCGCGACCGGATTTCGCGTTGGACACCCGTCACGCCAAATCGGCGGGGATGAGATTTCGGGGACGAGGAGAAACGCGTCGACGTTGCCGACGTATAGCAGACGAAGGGTCAGTTTTGCCTGGGAAGGGACAATTGTGTGTCGAGAGTCGAGTCGAGCGTTATCGACGCGAATTATCGCGCTTCGCGACGGCCTTCGTCCTTTGCAACGAGCACCTTTGCCAACACGACATACGCACGCGTACTGCTTGCACGCAAGATTATCTCGAGCGAGCGCACACGCAAGTTGAGTCACGCGTATAACCGAGAAATACCGGAAGAAGGCTTTAACGCTTCGCGAACTCACCCGTATCCTCGCTCGTGTCGAGTCCTTTTATACACGCTGGATATACGCGTCGTCCATAATTAACAGATAATTAGCTGCGATAATTAAGATCGTGCAATGCTAGATGACACAAATACACGTCTCACAATATATATATATATATATATATATATATATATATATATATATATATATCGCACCTTTCATCGGACTGTCATCGAAAGCGAAAATAATTCTTATCGAGATGTATGCCATTGAGATGCGCGAATGGATTAAGGCTTATATATCGCTTCAGATTAAATCCTCACGCGAGAACGATTCAGGTATGCAATTCACGTGAGTCACGATCCCGCAATTTGTTATCGCGTTTAAATGACAAAACAGAACTTTTACACAATTTTCCTCGATGGCGCTTTCCAACTTTTCACGATAAATGGTTTCTAGTTCTTTTTTTTTTTCCTCGCAAATCGCTATACTTGGTACGTTAATCTCTTTTCATGACTCCGCAGTTTTTTTCGTATCTCAAATTCCTGAGAAAGAGACGTTTACCCCCCCCCCCCCTACTCCTTCCGGCTTCCTCAATACGTGATTCCTGTGTTAATGTTTGGAGCCGTTTCTCGAGGAAAATAGAGGTAAAGTTCTCTTTCAGAACGATCATTCTTCGATCTCGACAATATTCCGCGACTTATTGTTAGATCTCAACCGAGTTCGGTATGGTCCGAATACACTTTCTCGCTCATTCTTGATTATTACGCACCAATTTTTGTCCTTCTAATCAGTCCTGCGACTCGACGGGATCGCTTTTAAGTAATAGCCAAGAGCGCGGTAAAAAGATAATATCGGGCACATTCCAGTAGAGTATGTAAGCCACCAGAAATGCTGACTCACTAAAAGGGAGCTGTATTGTTTTTGCCCTTAGATGGGCCGGCCATTGTCCGGGTAAACCTGTTTGTGCGAAGCATTGCGACAATTAGTGACATCAAGATGGTAAGTATATATGCTAATCAAGCCAAGCCTTTTGAAAACCGCAACCGGCCGCAATTCGCCGTTTTCTTCTCTTGCCGACGCGGTTTAACCTCCCCAAACTTCCTCCCCTTTCCCCCTTTTTAACCCCCTTTTGTCTCTGTCACTTTGCAAAAATGCAGTAGGCGCAAAAGTAGGTTTAGGCGGTCTTGGTTTCGCAATCGAACGAGTGTGTGAGAGAAAAAGAGAGAGAGGGAGAGAATGAAATCCCAGAGAGAGAGAGAGAGAGAGAGGGAGAGAGAGATAGAATCCAGCAGCGGACGGCGACGACGAGCTCGATACTTCCTCGAAGAGAGCAAACAGGTCGGCAAAAGCGGTAGCAACAACACACGCAACGTAGTAGAGAGCAGCAACGTAGCAGAGTGCCGGTCAGCAAGCATCTTGTCCTCCTTTACCCGCGCTCTTTCGTCCTCTCTTAGCTCCTCCTGGTCCCCTCGCCTCGCCACGTTGCTAGCCGCCATCGCTAGCAGTCTCTTCCCGAGGGAGAACGCCACGTCCACACAACTGACCACCATCACCACCGCCACCTTTAACCAAAGCGCCCGAGAAACCCACCCCAGAAACTCTAGCACTCTATAGCATAGACGCAGGCATGTGGCATTCCAGCTTATTTGCGTATGTTAGTTACGTCGCATTGGATACGGACGGACCATCGGACGAACGTGGAGCGGCCGGATGAAAGAGTGACACTCGGGCCAAGAGTGACGCGTGGGCGGGAAAATTTTGGGGGCGCGATTATACTCGGAACCCCTATTTCGGGTTTCGCTCGCGTAACGCGGCCGCTATTGATCGCTCGGATCGTTACGTGCCTCGATCTCTCCGAGTCGCGTAATTATTTTACGGGAGGGAGGGAGCATTTCTCCCCTCTGCCGTTTTTTGCCCCAAAGGTAATCTTATTTCTCGTTATTGCGGAACGGAGCGGAACGTTATTGCGAGTTCCGAGTGTAACGCGAAATCCCCGAGACGACACGCGCCCTTTTCTTTCCGAGAAACTTCTTCTCGAGAGACACTTGAGGAATGTGTGAAAGGCTACACAGGACGTGGACTCGAGACACGTCTATCAGGCTTTTATGTCAGACTCGGAGAAAAACTTTGAAAACACGTTTTCCTCGCAATGCTCGCAATGGACGCTCAACGCGATTTCGCGGAGGGACGATCGGCCGGCCCGTTGCACTTTGTCGACACCGCGGAGCGAAACTTGTGTTTCACATAGGTAACGAGATTACACGTATACCACGTCGCCGCTCGGGCACCGGAAGTGCACGTCGAGAAGTTACATCGGACGCGTTCCGGCACTCTCGTTCGTTCTATGTGAGACGAACGTGCTAGGCTTGCCGTCAGGAAGGCCTCTTCGTGCGTTCGAGTTCCTCTCTCGTGTAAAACGCACCGCTCGCCAGATCAAAGAGCGATTTCACGAAAGGACGATCGATCGGTCGAAAGGCTTGCACGGGATGCTCTCCCGGATGCTCGACTTTAATTTTTACAACGAAATTATTGAAGGAGAGCGAACGTTATATTTCGTTCGCCACACGTATAAAGATACATTTATTAATCGATAAAAAAAAATTGCCACTATATTATTTATTATACGCGTTAGAGACCGATCGATTGTTTGTTATAAAAATTTTTGCAACTGGTGTCGCATATCATATAATAATTAAATTTCAAATTTAAACTGGAAAAGCTATATATTTTCGCTTCCTGCAAAAAGCAGGTTGCTCTTTGTCAAACTATATAAACGAGTCTACCTTTATTATTACTTTATGACAAGAGAGAATTTATCATTTCAACTTGGGAGGGAATGTTTGTTTCTACTCAGTTTTCAAAACTTGTACTTATCTAAAAAGTGTTGATATCGCCTGGAGATGATGATGAAGAAGAAAGATTTCTGAATATAATGAGTTTGATAGAAATGCCTGCATCTAATCGATATATTATTATACAAATTATTTTTTTTTTCAATTTTCTGAATAATTTATAATATTAATTATTAACGAGATTGAATCACATTTAGCATACTTGGAAAAAAGATGAGTATTTGTTATCGAAATTATTTGTAATGCTTCAATGATTAATATAACTGTAATTTATGTATAAAATATACAATTATAATTACATTAATAATTGGACCATTGTAAATTTCGGACGCAATATAACAAACGCTCATCTTTTTTTCAAGTGCCCCAAATGTGATTCAAACTCGTTGACGACTAATATTGTGAATTATTCAGAAAATTGAGAAAAGAATAATTTATATAAGATATATATATATCTAATAAAAAATATATAATATATATATATATCGATTAATTGCAGATGTTTCTAATTATTTAGGTAATTGCACATAATGTTTGATATCATTAGCAAAATTGAGGATATTCAGAAAGAAAATTAAGTATTCATTCTCTGCGTGAAAAAGTCTACGCATCAATCTCACAAACAACATCAGCCATTTCGCGAGCGCGATCATTCTTTTCAAACAAGCGCTCATTTTTATCCCGTGAAAGATTTGAAGCTTTTTACGCTCGCGGAAAAAGGAGTTTCTGTTCCACGTGGCCAGAGATAATTCAAAATTGATAAAAATAGTTGAAGTGGATCGGCGCGATATCGACGACAACGACCGGACGTCCCGACGAGCACCGCGTGTCCGACGTCTTGTCCTGGTTCATGTAGGGCGGAATGGTACGCAAACACTCTGTATGGCTCAGGACGATACGGCTGGCTCGTTCATGCTGCTGCGGACGGATTAAGACTCTTCTCGATGATGACGTGTAACGCACGAGAAGCGCGTCGTTGACGGTTAAACGCGACTAAACGTTGATAATGATGCTGCAACGCCGCGAGCCGTTAATCGCCCTTCCGATAGCTGTCGATAGCCCGCCGGGCTATTTCGCTGACTATGTACAGGTTCCGGTTGGACTAAGACGCAATTCGATCACGTGGAAATTAGTTTCGATCGGTCTCGAACAGACAAGGTGCATAATAAAATGGGAAAGCGGCGGATTTATTAATCGTCATCGCTAAGCTTATAATTTTGAGATTTATGCGTGTCGATTCTTAAGGATGTTTTGTATGTACAATCCCAGCAAAAAATGTATTTTGAGTATGAGAAATTGTGGAATATTATAATTTGATCTTAGCTACAATGCAGAGATGTATTTTTTAATATTTATTGCGCTTTTGTTGAAATATTCCGAATTTTGTTAATCGAAATGATTAACTTTTGGCAGAAAATTTTGACAGATACATTGCTAACTTCATCGAATTATATTTAATATCTTTTTAACCTGTTAGTATTTGTATAATATTATTTGACCAAATATTTCCTCTGTATCTAGACTTTTGCAAATTTTAAACAAATTCTGAATATTATTCCCATGTGTTTTTGTCATTTGAATCGTCGTTTCCAATAAAAACACATGTTAATTCGGTGCAAATTAAAATCCTTATAACTTGTGAACGCTTTAGTGAATCGATTTAAAAATTGTACCGAAGATTCTAAACATATGTAAGGACATTCTGTACAATTTTCATTAAATTCTCAATATTGAAAATAGGTACAAAATATCCTTAAGTGAGAATAATTTTCGAGAGATATATTTATTATCAAAAGTAACTTTGCTCGCGAGGGAGAGGCATTGTCAGCTTCTCGAAATAGCTTCAACAAGACATTCTTCTTCGCTCGCGCGAAAGATAGATCGATTGTCTACGAGCGATGTCGAAGTGTATTCGTCCATAAACACGGATCGCTTGTTATTCCGGTTCCCTCTTCCGTAATAATGTCCATCGTGTGTTCTCCACGTGCGCCATATGACGCCTGGCATCGGTTTCTAATAGCGTCGAATGTCGCGCAACTTGGAGATTGATGCGAAGGCGTTTAACGTTGTTGTCGATGCGTCGTCGATGCATCGAGTTCGAAGAGTTAATTAATACACTTTCGAAACTCCTCCAAGCTCTGGAATTGCATGTTCCTGCCGCGATCGCGATTTAACATCCTATCGATCTACCTGTACGTTAAACGCGCGTCGCATTTTTTGTGCGTGCATATTGAGAGGGCGGTCACGGCTATGTGTCTCTCGCTTCGACGCTAATTGAATCGCGATGGCGACATGGAAATTTCGCTCGATAATATATCGCGCGGACAGGGATGGCTCTAGATTCCGAAGAGCGCGAAGAAAAATCTCCGAGCCCCGTGCGAATATCTATTTTTTTTTATTTGGATTATTGTGTCCGCGTCGCGCGCTATTTTCAATTTTTCCGGGGCTGTTGGCGTCCTCGGGATGGATTTTCGCGAAAGGAGAAACGATGATCGAAACGCGCCGTCCGGGCAAACAAAGTTTCGGCTCTCCCTCGCGGCATGAATATTTTCATCGGTTTTGCATCTCTCAATTTCGCTCTGTATTTCCCAAGTTTCGCGAGGTTTTTACACCTTGGGGAATTTTTCAAAGAGAAATCGTCACATGTGCGCGCATATATACACCAGTGACTACATCGCAAAAATTCTGTCGAATCGCAACAACAAGCAGATCCAGAGATCGGATTAATTCGACATTGACGCGAGACAGATGCGTCGTCGGATGTGTCGCGACGACGACGACGACGACGACGACGACGATGGCGGCGGCTGTCATCGATTTTTCATCGCGTTTCCGCTTATCCGATCTTTCATATTTTAACCGCTCGATTGTGCCGCGTGGCGGGCGCAATTTATTTAACTTCCCTTGATCCGTATCTCGTGATTCGCGTCGTTTGTTCGTCCCGCTTGTATCGATTATCCTCGACGCGCCGGTTATTACCTACCTAGCTACCTACCTACCTATCCGCCCATCCACGGATAGCGTCGATTCCGTGCGAGTAAACAAGGTAGCACGAGAGAATTCGTTTCGCGGTATCGCGCGACCGATATTCCGCAAATTCCTCGGAATAACGTTCGCGCGTTCCTGTACGTCATACATTATTTCCGC